CTAAAGGGTCGCAGCTTACCTCAAAACCAACACTTACTGGGTGACAAACTTCTGTTCATTCGTTCAACAAATGCCTACCTGGGCTTCCTTTGTGCCAGGCCCTGTTCTGGGAGGCAAGAATATAAAAGTGGTCCTCGGGGGCAGGAAGTGGGTGGGCACCACACTGCAGTGAGAACTGCGTGGCAGGCGGGGGAGGTGGAAAGCCGTGGTGATACTGCACACATGTGCAGGCCTTGACACAACTCACTCATCAGGAAGCCCTGACAACCCAGGAAAAGCCCCATCTTGGTGAAAGACAGGATTTCCAGATGCCTGAGCAGGGGTCCCGGGCAGGCCAGCCTAGCAGAACCGTCCGGCCAGGGGCTGGCCCTGAGCACACCATGGCCGCCCAGGCCAACAAGGCTGGTCACCAAGGTGAGAGCAACTTCAGCACCAGGGAACACGCATTTCCCCACGACGGAGGCTGGAGAACAGGAATGCATGACTGTTCAGTAGCATGACTCGGAAGCCAGCACATGCCTTCCAGAGAGGGAGGACGGGCCGAAGACTCGCCTCTGGCAGTGCGATGCTGCCCCTCGCTCTGGGGATGGCAGAGATCACCGGAGCTTCAGCCCCAGCCAGCCACATGCTCTCCTTCCCTAAGTGCCAGTCACCCCACAACTGTCTCCTGTGCCTCAGATCCCAGTAAAGCTCAGTGAGAAAGAAGCCTCAGCACCCCTACACCCCGCCCCACCCCCCGCCCCAGGAAGCATCAGTCTCTGCCCGACGGTTGTAGCAGTTCCCAAATGTCTAGTGACAGGTCCTACACATCCTGGTAAAGAGCCGGTTGGTAAAACGGTCCCGGTGGTTTCTAGCTGCATGAAAAGGAGAAATCCAGTGCAGTAAAGGAAAAACCACTTCACCTTATCAAATCCAAAACCACTGACTTCCAAAGTCGGAAAAGACACATGTATCAGAAGAGGCAACACAGTGACATGCACTACATTTTGGACACTCACTGTTCCCAGAGTCTCTCCTTTCAAAGAGGGTCTGGGTCTGGATTCATGATCACAGGCAAGTCAAGCCCCCTCTCTGGCCTCCATTCCCTCGTCTGTAAAATAAGGCGCTGGACCAGATCCCTGCGTGCAGGAACAGGACGCTTACCGAGAAATTCCAGTATCAGCTTACATTAAGGCTCAAGCAGTGAAACAGCCCAACAAAACCACAGCTTCTCCAGAGAAGGCGGAAAGACGCTTTAAAATGAGAAACATATGCTAATACAATAAGTAAATTGCTGATTTTTCTTTTCTTTTCTTTTTAACTCATCTGTCAAAAGAAACGGTGTCTGTAAAATTACATGCAACTAGCTGAAGTTTGAGCGGGGCTTATGCCCTCCAACCTACAATGCTTCTTGGCAGTCAGGGTCTCCCCTACCGCCGGCCCCTAAAATGAAGAAATTAAAGCTTATGCAAATGACTCCTTGGATCTGAAAGGTGAAAGGGAAGATGAATTGTTAATTTCCACTTTACCACCACAAAACTTTTATTCTCACAGCTCAAAAGGAACTACGAGACTAAAATTCACCCTCCCTAAAACACACCCCTGCTCTGAAACCCTACATCTGGATGCTCCTTTCCTTTGGAGAGCCTTCCTTCCATTTCCATTGCTTTTACAGAGCAGACCCCTGACCTTGGGCATTGTCTTATTCTGTGATTAATTCAACTTTACACATCAAAACAATCCTGCATAGTCAGTAACCCACCAGGAAATCAGTTTCTTTTTTCAAAAGAAATATTCTGAATGTACAAAGATGGACAGAATAATATAATGAACATCGGTGGCCCTGGCCAGTGTGGCACAGTTGGTTGGACACTGTCCTGTGCATGGAAAGGTTGGAGGTTTGATTCTGAGTCAGGGCACATGCCTGGGTTTTGGGCTCATTCCCTGGTAGGGGGTGCATAGGAGGCAACCAATCATCCATGTTTCTCCCTCTCTCTCTAAAAATAATGCTTAGCAGGTGTGGCTCAGTGGTTGCGTGTCAACCATGCACCAAGTGGTCGTCAGTTCGATTCCTAGTTGAGGCACATGCCCAGTTTCTGGGCCAAATCCCCAGTGAGGGGCATGCAGGGGGCGGTCAATTGATATTCTCTCTCATCGATGTTTCTATCTCTCTCTCCCTCTTCCTTCTCTCTCTCTTTTTAGAGAAAAAAAAATTTAAGTAAATAAGTAAAATTATTTTTTTAAACACACACACACACACACACACAAAACATTCATGTACCTACCACCCAGTCCTAGAAATAAAGCCACTGGAAAGCCCAGGCACCATTCCTGCTCACATTGCCCTCTCTTCCCAAGCAGTAACCACCACCCCGAATCCAGGGCTCATCCCCCCCCTTCCCACGCAGTTCTCCCACGTGGCACAGACACTGATCTCCTCAATTTTTATAGAAATGGTGTCATTCTGCATGCAATCACTCTGTAAATTTGTTTTTCTTGTTAACGTTCTGGTTTGAGTCATGTTGCCACCTATAGTGCTCAGTCCTTTATGCTCACTTCTGCATAATATTCCACTTACGAATCTACAGTACACGTATGTGGTCCAGACGCTACTACTATTTCACACGGCTGCCATGCCGTGTCTTCTCTGTGCCAGCCATCTCCCATAACGTTTTTCAGAACCCTCACAACGACCTACAGACAAAGACAAGACTTGCACTAGAGCAGAGGAAACGGACAAACTTGACCCACACGTGCGAGAAGGTGGACTCGGGCTGCAGGTTCAAGTTCACCCAGCTCACCCAGCTCTAACACCACACCCGACACGGCTCCCACAGCCCCACTTACGTAGCTGTCTCCGTTATCCAAACACTTTAAGTGAAAAAAACTGATACGGGGCTCCAAAATCATCTGAGAAGAATCTGAAACAGGATGCTGCTTTCTTTTTTAACAACTCCACAGGAAATGTTTCACAGGGATGGTCCGTGTGCAGGGAGGACAAGGCTTTCTTTGGCAGAAGTCCCCGTGTACTCACTGGGGTCATGCCCAAGTGCACACAAATGCTTTCTAAGTAAGCTGGGGCTGAACTGCAACCCTGCCTGGCTTCCTTTGGAGAAACAGGCTGTCTGCACCCACTTAGAGACGGGAACGGGTGAGCCTGCACAAACACTTCGGGGAGCAGCCCCAGCTGCTGTGACTGGGGATTCCGGGAACAGGCCTGCGCACACCAGGCCAGGGAGCTGGCACAGCCCCCTCTGCTGCTCTTGGCGCGCTCTCCAGAAAGCTGTCACCCGCCCCGGCCCAGCCCTGCTGCTCTGGGGAAAGCCCAACTTACAACATGGAAGAGAAAGGAGAAAGAGGGTGGAGGGAAGCATCCAGCAATCAGGCGGGCAGCAGGGGCGGGAGAGGCCAGGGCCCAGACCCCCATAACTCAAAGCAGGGGGACCCCTCGCAGATGATGGACCCCTCCAATGGCAGGGAGACCTTTGGCTCCAGGACTGCTGACTCTAACTCTATTTCTTTTAAAAAAAACACTTTTATTGATTTTTCAGAGAGAGGAAGGGAGAGGGAGAAACATCGCTATGAGAGAAACGTCCGTGGAACCCCATCCTGCCTCCTGCGTGCCCCCTGCTAGGGACTGAGCCTACAACCCAGGCACGCGCTCTGACCGGAATGAAACCGCGATGTCCTGTGTGGTGCACACGATGGCACCCCGAACCCACTGAGCCACACTGCCCAGGGCTGGCCCACATTTCTGCACTACCCCCCACCTGCTTCCACCGCCAGACTTAGGAAGCCGCATGCGCCCACCTTTCCAGCCAAAACAAGGGCAAGAGAACAGGCTCGGGCTGAGGGTGGGCTCTGGGGGTGGGTTCCGGGTCGGGCTGAGGGCGGGCTCTGGGTGCAGGTTCCGGGTCGGGCTGAGCGGGGGATTCTGGGTGCGGGTTCCGGGTTGGGATGAGGGCGGGCTCTGGGTGCGGGTCCCAGGTCGGGCTGAGCGGGGGATTCTGGGTGCGGGTTCCGGGTCGGGCTGAGGGCGGGTTCTGGGCGCGGGTTCCGGGTCGGGCTGAGCGGGGGATTCTGGGTGCGGGTTCCGGGTTGGGCTGAGGGCGGGCTCTGGGTGCAGGTTCCGGGTCGGGCTGAGCGGGGGATTCTGGGTGCGGGTTCCGGGTCGGGCTGAGCGGGGGATTCTGGGTGCGGGTTCCGGGTCGGGCTGAGCGGGGGATTCTGGGTGCGGGTTCCGGGTCGGGCTGAGCGGGGGGTTCTGGGTGCGGGTTCCGGGTCGGGCTCAGGGCCGATTCTGGGTGTGGGTTCCGGGTCGGGCTCAGGGCCGATTCTGGGTGCGGGTTCCGGGTCGGGCTCAGGGCAGGCTCTGGGTCGGGCTGAGGGGGGGGCTCTGGGTCGGGCTGGGTGTGGGCTCAGGGCGGGCTCAGGGCGAGTTCTGGGTGCGGGCTCAGGGCGGGCTCAGGGCGGTCTCTGGGTCGGGCTCAGGGCGGGTTCTGGGTGCGGGCTCAGGGCGGGTTCTGGGTGCGGGCTCAGGGCGGGTTCTGGGTGCGGGCTCAGGGCAGGCTCTGGGTCGGGCTGAGGGGGGGCTCTGGGTCGGGCTGGGTGTGGGCTCAGGGCGGGCTCAGGGCGAGTTCTGGGTGCGGGCTCAGGGCGGGCTCAGGGCGGTCTCTGGGTCGGGCTCAGGGCGGGTTCTGGGTGCGGGCTCAGGGCGGGTTCTGGGTGCGGGCTCAGGGCGGTCTCTGGGTCGGGCTCAGGGCGGGTTCTGGGTGCGGGCTCAGGGCGGGTTCTGGGTGCGGGCTCAGGGCGGTCTCTGGGTCGGGCTCAGGGCGGGTTCTGGGTGCGGGCTCAGGGCGGGTTCTGGGTGCGGGCTCAGGGCGGGTTCTGGGTGCGGGCTCAGGGCGGTCTCTGGGTCGGGCTCAGGGCGGGTTCTGGGTGCGGGCTCAGGGCGGGTTCTGGGTGCGGGCTCAGGGCGGGTTCTGGGTCGGGCTCAGGGCGGGCTGGGGGCGGGCTCCCACCTTGAGCACCGTGACGGTGCCCGCGCTGTGCACCTGGAAGTGCGCGGGCGGTTCGGCGCCGGGCTCGGCCGCCTCGTCGGGGCCCTGGTAGCTGAAGCAGGCGTCGGCGATGTCCAGGTGTCCGAGCGGCAGCGCGTCCTGCGGGCTCTTGAAGTAGTACAGGTAGCAGCGGCGGGCGTCGAACACGAACCAGCGGCTGCGGTAGCCGCGCAGCGGGCCCTTGCCCGACAGCTTCTGCAGGTAGCCGCACAGCCGCGCCGGCTCCCGCCCCAGCGCCGCGTCCTCGCCGCCGCCCTCGTCCGCGCGGCCCCCGGGCCCCGGCATCGCCCGCCGCCGCCCGGCCCCGCGCCGCCCGCGCCGCCGCCTCACCCGCCCGGCCGCCCCGCCCTCGCGCGCAAGGCCGCCTGGGGGTTGTAGTCCCGCCCCCGCCACGCCCACGGCCGGCGCGCGCAAGGCCGCCTGGGACTTGTAGTCCGCCGCCCTCGCCTCCGCCCCTCCCCGGAGCCCTGCGGGCGGTGCCCGCAGATCCGCGGCCCCGCCACCCGCGGGCCCGCCCCGCCGCACTCGACCCGGAGTGCGCGGGGCTCCAAACCCGCCGGGGTGTCTCCGCAACACCGTGGGTGCGAAACCGGACGTTTAAGTGTCTGCCCCGCCAGAGTCACACTCACGGCACGAGTGCCAGCGCCTCCGGCCGGGCACGAGTGGGTGGGTGCTCGGTAAACATTTACAGGATGCGGGAATGCAAGCCCACGCGCGTCCCGCCTCTCCGGACCTCAGTTCCGCACTCAGGGCTTCCACGCGCGTTCGCGAGCTCTCCGTGCAGGCAGGAGCCGACCCGGGCATCCCGCCGCACGAGGCGGTGGTCGCGGGAGGGACGTGCACACGCACAGCGGGAAAACATCCTGTGCTGCGGGAATGATGGCCTTTGAGTAAGGATTAGCCCTGAAACCGCGGTTCGTACTTACCAGCACCTGTAGGTTACCTCGTGCACGTGCCCACGGTCAGGAGGTAATTAGGATGGTTTGATCGCCCAGTGAGGGGATGGGGGCCTTGAGTCTCTGCCCACTGCTGGAGCCAGGGGAGTGGCCCCAGCCTTCCAAGGCCCCATGGGGCCTCCAGGACCAACTCTGATGTCCTCTCAACCCCCAGACCCCTCCCAGGCCCCCAGCCCTGCCAACTCTCTCAAGACCACCCTGGGATGCTGGTGACTTCATGCAGAAACCCTGCCTTGTCTCTCTCCTCATCCCTGGGGCGGTGATCTACACGAGGGCGCCACCATGGGGCTTTATCTCCTCCCCTTAGCACCTCTCCCTCCATCATCAGTTTGGACAATTTTTCTGGTTTATGTGAAATTCTAAACAAATGCGTCCTCAGTGTCTCCTTTTTTCTAACTAGTTCATGCCCCACCACCACCACCACCCCACACCCCACCCCACCCAGGCCCTCCTACATGGAAATTTGGGAGCTGTCTTTGGTAGTTCTGAATTTCTTGGAACCTTTTTAAAATGGCTTGTTGACATTTTACAGTTCCCAGGGTCTCGGGTTAAATGTCAGTGTCCTGTGGTCAAGAACCAACTTTACACAGCTTACCTGTGCCCCCCCCCCCCGTGCCTAATGTGGGGGTGCGGGCTGCCAGAGCATTGTCCTACATGCTTATGTGAGTCCCTGCACCCTCATGCCTCCCCTAAACCTAGTGACCAGAAGGAAATGGCCAACCTAGGAGGAAGTGGCTGCTGTTTACTGAAAAGGGGAAATTTGGGCAGTGAACTTGCTTTCCAGCTTCCTGCCCTTACTGGGGGAGGCGGGTGTGTTGAATGGACCCGGCTCTGGAGGCCAGGGGAAGTTTCCAAAAATAAGCCCTGGCCGGTTTGGCTCAGCGGTTAGAGCATCAGCCTGTGGACCTAAGGGTTATGGGTTCGTTTCCCAGTCAAGGGCATATACCTGGGTTGCAGGTTTGATCCCCAGCCTGGTCAGGGTTGTGCGGGAGGCAACCAATCGATGTGTCTCTCTCACGTTGATGTTTTTCTTTCTCTCCCTCTCTCTCTCCCTCCCTTCCTCTCTCTAAAAAATAAATAAATAAATAAGGGAGAGGTTGTGTGATCACTCGTCCTCCCTGTGCCTTAGTTTCCTCACCTGTAAAATGGCCTACTGATAGTTATTTACCTCCTAGAGCAGTTCTGAGGCTTAAACGAGATAATAACTACAAAGTACTTGGCACAGTCCCTGATGCGCAGTAAGTCCTCAGGCTGGTAGCTAATTCGGTCAGCAGAGAGCCCCGACCTGCTCTGTGCTTGCTGTTGGTGATGCTGGAACTCAGAAGGGGACTAGACCTGGATCCCACCGCAGGAAGCTCTCCGCCTAGGCAGGCCGCAGAGCTTCAGAGAGGGGGCCCACAGGGGACCCTCTGCTCCTGACTGCGGAGCTAGTTTCTAAGAGGCCTCATTTCCCTACCAAATTGGCAGGCAAATCTACACATCTTGTGGTTCTCTTTTGTAGAGGACAGGCATCTGAGGTGCTGACCAAGCCCCCAGGGCTGGGCAGATAGAGGCCTGGCTGCCCCTGGGAGCTGAAGGGTGGAGGATTGGCAGGGAAGTGGTCGGTTCCCACTGCACAGGCTCAGGAAAGGAGAGGGAGGGTTAGCACTGGGTTCTGGCCTCAGTGAGGCACAGGCCTTAGTCAAAATGTCTGGAGAAGCCTCAGGCTTCCCCCTGAGAGCGTAAGCCAGACTGAGCACCCCCAGGAGAGAGTAACTTTTCAGTAATCCCTTACCATCTATTGGTCCTATAGGAGAAGCATGACCTTGAGAGAGTTTTGATGATACAGACAGAGACTCAGAAATCTGGTGACTTCCCAGGGATGACTTGGGGGTGGGCTGATGTTTATCACATGTGCACGGTGACTCCCAGCCACTTCTCTGCAGAGATTGGCTCCCCAACTCCCAAACCCTACCAGTTGGGCCCTTTCTCTCCCCTCGTTTTTGTATTTGTTTTTAACTTAAAGAGAACAAATTTTTATTCCTTTATTGATTTTAGAGAGAGAGGAAGTGAGAGGGGGAGAGAGAGAAAAATATCGATGAGAGAGAACATCATTGGCCACCTCCTGCATGCCCCCTACTGGGGATCAGGCCCACAATCTGGGCATGTGTCCTGACTGAGAATCGAACCAGCAACCTCTTGGCGCATGGGCTGATGCTCAACCACTGAGCCACACTGGCCGGGCTCCCCTCTAGTTTTTTTTACAAATGAAGAAACTGAGACACAGTGAGGTTAGTACCTTGCTTTAAGTCACAAAGCCAGCAAAGGGGATTCTAAGCCCATTAATTGGACCTCAGAGCACCCTGGGTGGAGGAGGGCGGGGCTGCTCCAGGATCCTAGGTCCCAGGGTGTGGCTCCCAGCCGGCAGCCACAAGTGATGAGCTGAACCACGGGATCCAGAGTGCCTGCCAGTGTCAACCGACCTGGCCTTCACCGAGCTCATGTGATGCCCCAGACCTGGGCCTCGCCCGCCTCACCTGCATTTCTTCTGCGTGTAAATATAGACTCCATGTATTTGCCTGACTTCGGAATCATCACCCCTGTCCCAAGCTGTCCTGGGCTCGCTCTCCTCTTGTACACAAAGCCTTTGTCTTCTTATGCAAATGCCCAGGTTCTGCTCATAAAAGTATCCGGCCTAGAAGGGAGGTGGAAAGAGAATACTTCATGGAAAATTGTAGAAACACATTTCTTTGTATTTGAATACTTCCAGGACTTTATGTTGGCAGCAGCCCCACTCAGCCATGAACTGCTCAGAATAGTGGTTTTTTTTTTTTTTATCCTCACCCGAGGATATTTTTCCACTTTTTGTACAGATAGAGTGGGCGGGAGAGAGGGTAAGGGAGAGAGAGAGAGAGAGAAACATCGACGTGAAGGGACACATCGAGTGGCTGCCACCCGCACGACCAACCAGGGCCGGGGACAAACTGCAACCGAAGTACGTGCCCTTAGCGGGAACCGAACCCGGGTCTCTCCGGACCGCAGGCCGACGCTCTAACCGCTGAGCCAAACTGGCCAGGGCCAGAATAGTGTTTTTTAAATGTACAAAATAAAATCCATGGAATCACGGTGGAAATGGATTATACTGAGAGAAAGTTACCAAAATATTTGTGATGTACTGATGCAATGTGCTTCTTTATTAGCACGTTAAATAACAAGATCCAGCATTGGGTCTAATCACTGTAATTTTGAGGTAATGAGGAGCAAAAATGATGTCTCAAGGCGTCTGACACAGCAGTGATGCGACATGGAGATCTCTCTGATTTTAGTTGCTGTGGAAGGAAATGTTGATTTCAGCTAGAGGTTTGGGAAGATCAAGACGTAAACCCTCCTGCCCCAATTTAGGAGAGTCCAGGCCTTGTCAGCTTGGGCCTGGGACTTCCACTCTAACCCCAGCATATCCCTGGCTTGTGTGTGTGTGGTGGAGGGACCAAGTAGCAAGTACATGAGTGATGGCTCCCTCCCGTGTCCCTCACTGCGGTTGACGCCTCACTGTCAGGGCTGGAAATGAACTGTTATAAAAGCGATGTTCCCAGAGGCTCCTCCAGAAACACTGTGCGCCGGTGTGGACAGCGTGACCTGCAGATTTTCATGCCGTCCGCAGGTGAGGCAACTGGAGGCCCTGTGACCCCCCCCCCACACACAGATGGGGAGCAGGAGTCTTAGACGGGAAGGCGCTGCCCGGGTTGAGGTGGCAGGCTGGCTTCATGCCCCTGCCTTTCCTCCACTCCACACGTACACACTTGCCGTGGGCATTTCCATCTGGATCTGAGATGACGTGATGACGTGTTAGAATGAAGTGGTAACATTCTTACAACATATTTGACTTGTTACACACCACCACCGTCATCATCCAGGTGACGGCCAATCCTAATCACTTGTGATGACGAAACTCACCAACCTTTCTAACAACAGGTTGTATGATGGCCCCGGTTTTACAGAGGAAGACACTGGGGCCCCAAAAAGCTGTTACCTGCTCAAGATCATGCAGCTCGTCGGACAAAACATGGCTGTATCGTCCCTCTTTCTTTCTTTCTTTCTTTCTTTCTTTCTTTCTTTCCTTCCTTCCTTCCTTCCTTCCTTCCTTCCTTCCTTCCTTCCTTCTTTCTTTTCTTTTCTTTTCTTTTCTTTTCTTTTCTTTTCTTTTCTTTTCTTTTTTTTCTTTTCTTTCTCTGCTTTGCTGAAGTAGAACATACACCTCGAATGGTGCGCAGTTATGAGTGCAGCCCTGCATGGGTTTTCCCACAGTGAACACACTCCTTAACCCAGCACTCGGACTGAGAGCCGGGATGCTGGCAGCGCCTCCCCAGGGCAACCTCATCTTCCCTTGTATCACCCTCGATCGGTCCTATTATTTTTAAGTTTTGTTTATTTTATTGATTGATTGATTTTAGAGAAAGAGAAAGGGACAGGGAGAGACAGAAACATCGATGAGAAAGACCATCGATGGGCCACCTCCTGCATGCCCCCCGCCCTCCCACGGGGATCGGGCCCACAACCTGGCATGTGCCCTCACCGGGAATCGAACCAGCAACCTCTTGGTCCATGGGTCGATGCTCAAGCACTGAGCCACACCAGCTGGGCCTATTTTTTAATTTATGTAGCTGTTCCTTCTTAACCATTATGCTGTCACATTTGTCCCCATAATGACCCCGGAGTTTAGAAAAATCTTGAGTGGAAGGGGAATTAACCAGCAGAGTTTTACCGGAACACAGGTGGCCCCCATGAGGGGACCCCAGAGTTTGCACTTGCTGCTTGGCTGACCACAGTCATGCTCTGGCCTTCACTCAGGGCTGGGCTTCAGCTGTGAGGCTGCAGGTCTGGGGAAGAGGTCAAGCCCGGCGGTGCAGCTCACCGGCTGGGTGCGCCAGGGACCTCCCCTCCTCTCTGGCTGCAGACGTGACCCTCTCCCCAGTGTCTGCCGCCAGCCCAGAGTTGACAATAGGGCTCCTGTGTGCTGTTGGCGGTTGGGGCGGGCACGGGCTCAGGCAAATGAGCCGGAGCATGTAGATATAGGGCGTGTGGGCTCTGCCTCCGCTCCTGAGCTGGGCAGCATGGACGGCAGCCTGAAGCAGCCCGGCGGAGGCAGGGGGCCCGAGGGGATGGAGGACAGCCAGGCTGTGTCCGCACTGCAGGAGCTGGCCCTGAGGTGGTTCATGGAGACGCAGGCCCCTCTCATTCTGCAGGACGGAGCCCTGCCCCCCTGGTTTCACGGATTCATCACCCGCAAGTAAGACAGCACCCCCATCCACACGCCCAGCATGGCCCACAGCCCTCCGGGGACGAGAAGACGGCCTGGTTCTTGCTCTCTCCCTGGGCTAGGCAGGGACCCTGGGAGGTCGTGGTCAGGGTGCAGACTGAGGAGCACCCCGTTCCCTGGGGCACTGGCCTACACTCTGTGTATAGAGTAGGACCCAGACGGGCAGCGGGAGCAGGGTGTGTTCAGACCAGCTCTGAAGAGCTTGACGAACACCCAGGGGCCCGTAACCCTTATCAGCCAGACCGAGCACTGTTAGGGATGAGGCTGCCGCTGTTTTAAGTGGGGACTGTCCAGGAAAACCTGGGTGTACAGTTACCCCAGAAATAAAGGCCCACTGCGGGGCTGGCGTTCCAGTGGGGCTGGTTCTCCAAGCTGCCCAGGCACTAGGGGAGGGACTGTCAGTGCTGCGGGCCTTAGGTCCTCCTCGCCCAGCATCTGCATGGAGCCAGGTTCCCGGGCACGGGCACGGGCCCTCTGCCCAGGAGGTCCTAGTCTTGGTTCCCCGCCCTGCTATCGCCACCTCGAGGTTCTTCCTGTTTGAATGAGACGCTCCCCATTCCCACTGAGCACTGGGCCCTGCAAACACTCAGTAAACATTGGGTGAGTCCGTGGCCGAAGCCCTCTCTGGTCTCTGTGCTGCTAAACCAGACAGCTGGAATTTTCCAGCCTTTTTGCAAAATACTTGGCACCACTTTGAGATAGCCACAGCTGCCTGTGACCAGGCTCTGGACATAATGGAAATTCTGAGCAGTGTGCACGCTACGCAACCATGCACTGGGGTCCCGAGCAAGGACCCCCCAAGCCTGAACATCTCCAGCTCCGTGGACTCCTCCTTGCTGCAAGGCCATTCGGGTGGGTGGCCAGGGCCAGTGGCTGCCACGGGGGTGGGACATGTGGCCTCAGGACTCCAACCCAGAGCTGCTCCGCTGGGCCCAGACAGACCGCAGACCGGCTGAAGGTCTGCGCAAGTCAGTTGCCGAGGTTTGGAGGCCTGTGCGCTGGGTGTGGCACCCAGGGCATGGCCAGCAGGGGCTCCCCCAGGCAGGTCTGACTCGGGCTGCCCCTGCTGCTCCAAAGGGCACTGGCCTCAGCTAATGGCCTGTGTTCTGCCCAGGCAGGCGGAGCAGCTGCTCGGGGCCAAACCTCTTGGCTCCTTCCTCATCCGCCTCAGTGACCGGGCCACCGGCTACATCTTGTCCTACAGGTAAGAAAGGAAGCTGTGTGTGTGGGGGGGGGGGGGCTTGCAGGCTAAGGCTCCCATAACCCAGCCTTGCAGATAAGCACAGAGGCCCACCAGCCCACGCGCCTGGCTTTCCCTGGGCCATGGCTCCCTCACTCCCTCACTTCCAATGCTCAGCCACCATGTCCTGAGCAGCCGTGCACTAGCATGGCAAAGGGGGTGAGTGGGGGCGGGGAGAACTCTCCTGGTGGGAGGCTGGGGAAGGCTTCAGAGGTGAACTTTGGGCCCAGGATAGAAGGAAGACAGGCACAGTGGCTGGGGCCCAGGAGGCCTTCCCAGTAGGTGGAACTGCATGTACAAGGGGCCAGAGGCGTGGGAGGCCAGGGTGCTGGCGGAGCCCCAGCTCCGGGGCAGCTGCAGGGCAGGAGGGCGGGTGCAGTGGGCATGGGGGCGGGACCCCATCTTTTCAGCACAGCGGGGTTACCGTGAGGCTGCCTCAGGCCAGAGCAGGGTCAGGCTTCACTTGGATATTTTGTTTCTCGTGGATTTTTCGGTATTCTGATTTTCTAAAGCATTGGATTGTTTGTCCTGATCATGGAGTTTTGTGCACCCTTTAAATTTTGCACCAACCTGGGTGTGTCCCTCCTGACCCTTGCCCGGCCCTGCCCTCCCTGACCCCCCAGAGCAGGCTCTGTGCATGCCAGGAACCTCGCTCCTGGCCCTGCATGACCACCCACCGCCGGGAGTGGTTGTCAGGTGGCAGCCCATGGAGGCCACCTAGGCCGGGGGTCAGCCCCACGGAGGGCACCGAGGCTGGGGGTCAGCCCCACGGAGGGTACTGGGGCTGGGGATCAGCCCATGGAGGGCACTGAGGGTCAGCCCCACGGAGGGACACCGAGGCTGGGGGTCAGCCCACGGAGGGCACTGGGGGTCAGCCCCACGGAGGGACACCGAGGCCGGGGATCAGCCCACGGAGGGCACCGAGGCCGGGGGTCAGCCCCACGGAGGGACACCGAGGCCGGGGGTCAGCCCACGGAGGGGACAGAGGCTGGGGGTCAGCCCACGGAGGGCACCGAGGGTCAGCCCCACGCAGGGCACCGAGGCCAGGGGTCAGCCCATGTAGGGCACCAAGGGTCAGCCCCATGCAGAGCACCGAGGCCGGGGGTCAGCCCATCTGTGTTGCAGGGGCAGTGACCGCTGCCGGCACTTCGTCATCACCCAACTCCAAAACCGGCGCTACCTGGTCTCTGGGGACACCCACAGCCACCGCAACCTGGCCGAGCTTGTGCGCCATTACCAGGAGGTGCAGTTTGAGCCCTTCGGGGAGACCCTGGCTGCTGCCTGTCCACGGGTAGGCACCCCTCCTCCCTGGCGTAAGGGTAGTAGGCAGGTTGCCCAGCCTGGGGTGCCCACCACGTGGGGCCATGTGCCTTTTCTCCCCTATTTCCTGCCACGCAGGGGCGTTCAGCACAGGGTCACGGGCCCTGTTTGCAAAGGGTCTCTTCCCCAAGCGCAGGGACCTGGGGCGTGTTTCAGTCCCTCACAGAGTCTCTGGCAGGGGGCTAGGGCCGGCCAGGTACACTCCTGCTGTGTTCCCACCACCCCCAGCCGGAGGACAGCGACGAGTACGACACCATCACCCTGGGCCTCCATCAGAACCACCCGGGCCTGGACGACCCACCTGCCACGGTGTCCCCCACGGGGGTCCCAGACAAGGCGAGCAGCCCCCACCCCCCTCCAAAGCCCCAGGCCTCCTTCCTCCACTCGGACAAGAGCTCGGATGCGAGTCCCTGGAACCTGCCTGAGGAGGAGAGCACAGAGGTGAGGAGGGTTCTGGGCCGTCAGACCGGGAATGTGGGTGCCATGCCCACGCGGGGGCCTGAGAGGCCACACTGGCCAATCCTTCAGGCTGCGTTGGGCGAGCCAGGCTCAGAGGGGCGCAGACCCAGCTTGGGACCACAGGGTGCTTGCCTGTGCCGGGGCTTGCCTGTGGAGTCCGTGATCTCCCTGAGCCTCAGTTTACCCTTCCTGTGAGGCTTGGATGAGAGAATGGGTCCAAAATGCCTGCAGTCCCTCAGTGAGCTGTAGAGCGCGGTGCCCGTGCGCCAACACTGTGCTCATGGGAGGGGCTGAGGGATTGTCCTAAAAGCAGATCACAGCGTGCCAGGGGCTTCTCCTGTTGGCAGTACAGTCTGAGACCTCCCACCTCAGCAGGTGCCCACCACCTCCCTCACAGGCCTCTGGGTCTTCTGTGAACACACCCACATCGTTGCGACCGCAGGGCCTTTGCACTTGCTGTTCCCTCTGCCTAGAACACTCTTCCCACCAGACACCTGCGTGGCTCACTGTCACTGCATCCCGTTCTCTGCTGAAATGTCATCTCCTTGCCCGGCCGGTGGGACTCAGTGGATTGAAGGTCGTCCCATGGACTGAGAGGTCCGGGTTCAATTCCCAGTCAGGGCCCAGGCCCAGGCTGTGGGCTCAATCCCCAGTAGGGGGCGTGCAGGAGGCAGCCGATAGATGTTTCTCTCTCTCTCTCCCTAAAAAATTAATAAAAACATATTTAAAAAAATCAGTTACTGCAGGCTGGGTTCTGAACACATGCACCCAACCCGGTATGTAAGTCAGGTAAACTGAGGCCCAGGTGAAGGCCCCAGCTTTTCTGAGGGCACTTTAGTTTACTTGCCGCCCTTTTATTGAAGGCTGACCTTTCCGAGGTGCTCTGTCCCTCTCTCCCCAGCCCCCCAGCAGGGTGCCCCCCCTCCCCGAGAGGAGCACCTCCCTTCTGGACCAGTCTTTCAGAGGCTCCAGCGACGTTATCTACACAGACCTGAGAAAGATGAACCAGGCGCGGCTAGGTCCGCGCACAGAGGCGTCCGGCAGGCGTGGACTGGTTCCAGCGGACAGCGAGGCCTGCTCCCCAGGCGAGGAGGCCCAGAGGAGACCCTCAGTTGGAAGCCAGAACAGGCCTGATGACCCAGGGCCTGCCATCTCTGGGGGAAGCCCAGACGTGGGCCCGACAGTGTCTCCCACTTCTTGGGGCCTCTTCCTGCCTCCCAGCAGTGAGGCCCTAGGATGCTCGGCTGCGACCTGGAGCCAGGGGTTTCCGAAGGCCGGCCACAGGGCTCAGCCCTGTTCTGCGGATGCCTATGCAACCGTCCGGACAGCAGGCTCCCTGCAGGAGGCTGGCGATGAGCCAGACCAGGAAGGCAGGACCTACGAGCAGATCCCAGTCTGGGGTGGCACCGCCAGGCCCCTATTTCCTGGGGCCGGTCTCACACACGGCAGGCTGGCCGGGCCCGCAGACTGTGACTACGAGAGGATCTCGGGGACCCCGGAGCTCCTGGAGCCTAGGAACACCTATGAACAAATCCCAGCCGTCAAGAGCAAGGACCCTGGACGTACTCTCAAGGTGGGCTGGGGGGAGCGGGGCGTTTGCCAGCCCTCAGGAAGCAGCTGGTGGCAGGAGGGACCTGTGGCCCTCGGGCAGAGGCTGGGCAGGACCGCCCCTGACCACAGGTGCCCAGAACTTCCCAGCCATCTGGTCGGAGGTGGTGGGAAAGGCAGCTGTAGGTTTGGGTGTGAGATAGGAGCTTCCAGGCCCTTCTGAGGTCTTCTCTACAGCGGACTGGGGCTCCCGGGCCCTCCTTGTTGGCCACTTTGGGGGGGTCTCCTGGCCACGTGGTTTTGGGCAAGGCAACTAAGGGTTGCCAGATTTAGCAAGATAAATTACAGGACAGCCCGTTACTTTGAATTCCAGATAAATAATTTTTTTAGCATAAGTATGTTCCAAATACTGCAATTATTTATTATTTATCTGAAAGGCAAATGTAACTGGGCATCTTGTGTTCTTACTGAGCAACCCTACCCAGGTGTCCGCATGTGTAGGAGGGACCGGTCCTCAGGCTGTGGTCCAGGGGCGGCCACCTAGAGCCGCGGTTTTCAACCGGTGTGCAGCAGGAATTCTTCACACACCAACACCTGACTATTTTACTCAGGGGCACTGACCTCTTTTCCTTTATACTGTCAAGTAGGTTTTAAAAATGACAACAGCCGCCCTGGCTGGTTCAGCTCAGCGGCTACAGCGTCGGCCGCAGACCGGAGAGTCCCGGGTTTGGTTCCCGCTAAGGGCACGTGCCTCAGTTGCGGTTTGCCCCTGGCCCTGGTTGGGGTCGTGTGGGTGGCAACCAGTCGATGTGTCTCTTTCACATCGATGTTTCTCTCTCTCTCTTCCATCCTCTCGCTCTCTCTGAAGGTGAATGCAAAAATGTCCTCGGGTGAGGATAAAAAAAAAAAAAAAAAAAAAAATGACAACAGCCAACACAATAGTCTGGTGAGAATGAATAAGAAGTATTCTTATTTCTTTCTTTTTTTGTGGTACGTGCCCCTAGCAGGAACCGAACCCGGGACTCTCTGGTCCGCAGGCCGACCAGCCAAACTGGCCAGGGCGAAGTATACCTATTCTTTCATCAGACTGGGAACAGGTGTATTTTCTGGCGTGCCGCAGACCAGTTCGTGTGCCGCGAGGGAGAAAGGTTGAACGTCGCTGTCCTAGACGAGAGCACTAGGTGTCTCCACGCGCTCAGAACAGCGCAGAGACGGCTCTGGGAGAGCAGAGCAGCTATTCTGAGGACCCGACAGGAGAGGAAGGGAGGGGACGCAGGCCTGGGGGTGGCGGGGGCAGAGGGAGGTGGCCAGGGATCCCCAGGGAGGCAGGGGACCCTGCTGAGCCCTCAGCCCTGGCGCCCAGGAGAGCCCATTCCCTGAGGGGCACCCTCAGACCCCGGCAGGTGAGGCTTCCTCTCCCGGCGGACACCCAGCGGCAAGGCCTTCACGGGCTCTGCCAGCTCCCCCCTCGGGCTGGGCTGTGCCCGCCCTGCACAGGGCGCCTCCAAGGCCCTGCCTCTCCCGGGCCCACAGAGCCTGCCTGAGGACAGTCCTGTGAGCCAGAGGCCACGTCCCATGACTGCTCCTCCCGGCTACAAAGTCCACGTCCTCTGGTCCCACGTGCAGCCCTGCCCACTTCCGCTGAGGACAGCAGACATGGCAGGGCCTGGCTGGGCAGGGAGCTGCGGTCAGGGCACCCGGGCCTCCAGCAACAGAAGGGAGACCTGGCCTCTCTTCCCCGCCTTTTTCCAGACCCTTCCTCCCCTTAGCCTCCTGAGCAAACCCTCACTCGAAACTGGAAGGCCGGTGGTGGAATTTCTGCCCAGGTGAAGGGCTTGGCCCCCAGCCATGCTGAAGCTCCTCTGAGCCTGGGTGGCCCCCCACCCCCCTAGGGACCCCGGCTTCAGCACCTTCTCCCTCCTTGCAGCCCGACAAGCTCCGGAGGCTCTTCTTTGCGGACAAGAAGCACAGACCCTGAGAGCCCGGCCTCCAGCGGCCCACACTGTGGGTTTCCCAGCACCTGGGCCAGGCCAGGTTCCCTGGGAGGCCTCAGCTCACACAAAGGTGCCCCTCGGACCCAGCCAGCCTTCCACGGAACCGGGCTCGAGACACAGCGGGAGGGGCCTTCCTGCTGCCTGCAGCTCCTGGCTGCGTCCGTCCGGCTCGCCAGGGCCTCCCACCGTCCCTGGAAGGAAATCGAGGCCTGTGGGGAGGACTCATGCTCCTCCCGAGACCCAGCCAGCCAGGCGGCCCTGGCCTCCCTGGAGCCTTAGGTCCTTGCCCAGGACCAGCTGGACACAGGGCACACGGCCTCTCAGGACAGCCACCCCTCAGGTCGGGCTGCTCTGCCTGGACCCCTTCAGCACCTTTGTTCTGTCCCACCTGTCTCCACCCCCTAAGGGTGACCATCAGCTTGCTGCTTCCCGCCCACTGCCGCAGACAGACTGACCGTCCGGGACCAACACTGCAGGCCCCGCCCATTGTGGGCAGAGCCAGCTCGGTTCACACTGGTGGGAACTCTCCCTTAGCGGCCTCTCGGCCAGGGGGCTTCTCCCTCTGAGAAATGGGTGAGTCCCCACCTCCCTGGGGAGTCGTCAGGACTGTGTATGCCCACCAGCCTGTGCCTGACACACGGTGCGCCCCATCGGCGCTCAGGGGACGTCCGTGCCACCAAGGAAACGGACCCAGTGCTCACCCAGCGCCCGTCCTGCGTGGGGCCCGCCCGAAGAGCTGGCACAGTGCTCTGCCCTCCGGAGGCACAGCCTGGGATGAAGTGGGCGCCTGAGTGGGGAGGCAGAGCTGAGCCCGGGGAAGTGCTGATGGCGGCCGAGGAGGAGGGTGGGACTGGGGAACACGTCCTGAAACTGGCAGGCAGGCAGCACGGGGACAGGAAAGTGTTTTACTAGCAGGAGTTCACAGATTCGTGGACGGCACACACCCGTGAGGATTCCGCCTGGTTGGGGAAGACAGACACCGGGGCAGAGCCCTTGGGCCCGCTGTTCACTCAGCTGCACATTGGGAAGGGTGGGGAGGCGGGGACAGATGGGGGGTGGGGTGGGCTGCGGACGGAGCCCAGCTGTGGGACTGGAGGAAGATTGCATAGTTCGTTAACATCTCGTCGTTAACATCTGTCTTTTCCCTTTGCCCTGGGTGGCCAGGCATGTTTCCGGCCCTTGCACAAGCCGGTCCCCCTGCCCCATTAGGCGGTCTGCCTTCCCCTCCCTGGGGGCCTTCCTGACGGAGGAGGTTGGGGGACAGAGGGAAGGCCTGTGAGGGGCTGTGGGGCCAGGGGCCGAACCACAGCAGGCTGCCAAGGGCCCGGCTTCTCACACCCGCTCCCCTGGTTGAGGGTTTTTTTGCTGAAAGGCCAAGGAAACGTCCGTGGGTGTAGCCCTGGAGGCCACAGCTGCTGTCCCGGGCGCTTGGAGGTCAAAACTGTGTAGACAGCAGAGGCAGACGGTGGGCTTCGGGGCCTGAGACCTCGGCCGTGTCCTCAGATCCGAACGTGGAAGGTGCTAGAAGGAGAACAGGCAAGCGAGGGTGAGAGGCCTGGCTGGGGAGTATGGCTCCTCAGTGAGAACAGAGCAGCCCCGCTCAGCCCGGACCGTGCCTCGGGGGGTTCAGAGCACAGGGCCACCCCACGCCAAGGGAAGGACGGCTTGGAGGATGGCCGTGTCCTGGGATCCACCCCAACACAGTCACAGGCCCCCAGGTCTTCATCCTCCATCCAAGGGGACGGAGGTTTCCCAGTCACTACGGAGGGAGCTAGGCTGGGATGTGACCCCCGGCCTCCTGGCTGCCGGGGCCTGCAGACACCACTGTCCTTAGGAGCAGTGACAGGGCCTCAGCCCCCACGGGGTCCCAGGAGGCCGGCCTCTGGCTGTGCCCCCCGCTCAGCCTGCCCTCCCAAGCCAGCACCAGGCAGCACCTGAGGAAGTCGGGGGCCTTGGCGATCATGTCCTCAAAGTCGGAGTACCCCAGCTTGCCGTCGCCATCCAGATCCGCCTCCTCGATGACCTTGTCGCACACGAGCACCACCTCGTCCTCCTCCAGCTCCGACTTGGTGAGCCGGGCCAGCGTCATCTCCAGGTCCTCCTTGCAGATGAAGTTGTCAGTGTTGAAGTCTGGGGGGGGGGGCGCGGGGACGCTCAGACCGGGACTGGTCACACTGTACTCCACCAGCCTCTCCACACACACTCTGGGGGCACCACACTCTTGCCCCCAACTGGGAGGGACCACGGAGCTCGCCCACAGGCAGCCCTATGCATCACATACGGGGCGTGGGGTTCGCGCCCCGTACAAACCCACGATGCCCGAGACACTTCAAACACCCACGTCTGAGGCTTCCTGCGAACTTCATGGTCCCGTTGACCCCGCGGTCCCTCTAAAGCTGAGGAACCCAAGACCCAGAGAGACAGTGACTGCATCAAGGTCAGAGGGCTGCTTGGAGGGTTCTCTGTGATGCTAAGACCGCATCTTCTCAACTGCACCCCATTTCCTCTGGCCCGCAGCCAGACTCGCCGTCAGGAGACGCCCATGCCCCTTAGGGGGGCCCAGGGCTGCCCTGTGTGCACACGGGGTGAGGAAGGGGCTTGACTCTACTTGGCACCCTCTGACCGTTTTCCCACCCAACGACCGCATCTCTGCACCGGACACTTCTGCCTGGAGGGCCTTTCCTAGTGATCAGTCCAGCAAACTCCTGTTCATCCTTCAAGTTTGGGCTCCGATGTCACCTCCTGGCGGTGGTTGGGGGCTCTGCCCACGGAGCTCCCCCCGCACTGGCCCACCTGACAGTGTGGTGGTGACACAAGGCGGAACTGCTCCCGTGTCGTCGCGAGCTCTAGCTCACGGACTTCTCAAAGCAAATCTGCTCAGTAGGCAGCGGAGGACCCACTGCACAGATGAGGACACAGAGGCCTGGAAAGCCACCCGCCTGAGGTCCCGACTCCCATCTCCGACCCCTCCTGTGGCTGCCCCCGGGAAGGGCACCCAGTACGCTCGGGAGGGCTGGTGGGCAGGGGACTCCCGAGCCTGTTCTACACGAGGAGACGGGGGTCCAGGGCTGATCCTTGCTAGAGGTCAGAGCTGTCTCCTCAGGTCCACCACCAGCCCAGGCGAGCGAGGAAGCCTCGCTCCTCCCATCACGTGTCCCCCTCTCCGCAGACAACAGCCTTTCCCGGAGCAGTGCCGTGGGGTTCAGGGCTAGAGGGGTGACAGGTGGAATTCAAGAAGCTGTCTAGGAACCGGCGACCACGCTGGCAGACAGTGCAGGCTGCTCTGACGTGCAAATACAGACGGCACACATGCACCTGCCCAAGTCCTCTGGAGTACACATGGCAACCACGCGTGAAAACAGCCTGAGGGGCCCCGGTGCCTGGTGACCAAAGGTGCTGGGGACAGAAGGTCTGCCCATAGCTCTTTGTTCCAGGAGGTCTCAGTCCCTCCCCGGGCCTGGGTGCCCCATCTGAGGACCGTCTGAAGCACCCGTTGGCACAGGGCTGTGGAAGAACCAGAGCTTTTTATGGTGCTTGGCGCCCTCTGGTGGCTGGTGGGACAGCGACCTGAGGGCTGGGCGGGCCTCACCTCTGGCAGCCTGGGGACCTCTAGGAGCCTCAGCACCTGGCAGAAGCCTCCTCTGCAGCCCTGGCCTCAGCTTACACCTCCAGGGTGCTGCAGGACCCTTCCAGAACACAGAGCTTCCCTTTCCCACCTAACACCCTGCAGTGGCCCGGTGACCTGGCCAACAGGTCCACACTCCTCGGCTGGCTGCCGCCACCCACAGCTCAGCCCTAGCGGGGCCCTGCCCTGCGTGTTCTGCATCCCGAGTCCTCCCAGGCTGCCCCTTTGCCGGGTGCTCCACTTCTCCCGTCCACGGTCCCCTCTTGTCCTCCCAGGCCCCATGGAAATGCCACCACATGTAGACTCTCCCTGCCCGCCTAGGTGGGGCCGGTCCCTCCTCTGCGCCGGGGACCCCGTGACGTCTCTCGTACACTAACTGTCCCCACTGGCCACCCAGCTGGGCAGGCATGCTCCTCAGTGTTCTTGGTGTCCCCAGTGTCCCCCGGGGGGGAGCAGGAACTGGATGGCCCGAGGACCTGAGCGCCGCCCCCTAGGTCCTCATTACCGTAGATCTTGAAAGCATAGTTGGCCTTGAGGTCGCGGGGAGCCGACTCGCAGAGCACGGAGAACATGTCCACAAAGTCATCGAAGGTCAGGTTCCCCTCGCCGTCCTCGGAGAAAGACTCCACAATCCGCTCCTTGAAGGGGTTCTCCTGGAGAACGAACCACAGCAGTTATCTGGGGGCCTCCAGGGCAGCCTACGTGACCCCGGACAAGCGACCTAATTCCCCTGGGCCTCAGTTTCCCCATTGCCACTTAGCTGGGCTGTGGAAGGGAGGCAGGAGTTACAGCGGGGAGATGGCCCGGCCGGCACCTGGACAAGCTCACCGCGACGTCACGCACACTGTGCATCCAGATGGGCGCGAGGAGCTTAGCAGGCCACGGTGTGCTCGCTGGAGCACGGGCCCTAGTGAGGTAGGAGCAGGGGTCAGTCCCTGGGCCCAGAGCTGCCGCCTGTCTTGACGTGTGAGTGGGGTTAACATCCCCAATGGCAGCCCTCAGCTCAGGCTGGGCCAGGCCAGTGCAGTGGGAGACAGAAGTGGGGCCCCCAAGGCTGGACAACTAACTGGATGGGACAAGCAGCAAGAGTCAGGCAGCCCGTCAGACCCCAGGCCAGCGACCACCCAACTCCTGGAATTCGCCTCGACCAGTCCAGAGCCTGAGACGCCTTCCTCGGATGCCCGGCCACTCAGGGCCACCCTCCTGGAGGCTCAGGGGCTACCACGTGGTCCCTTCCACATGCCCTAGACCAGAGGTTCTCAACCTTTCTAACGCCGCGACCCTTTAATACAGTCCCTCATGTTGTGGTGACCCCCGGCCATAAAATGATCTTTGTTGCTACTTCATAGCTGTAATTTTGCTACTGTTACGAATCGCCATCAGAAATATGTGTTTTCCGCTGTGAAACGGTCGTTCCGCCCCCACAGGGGTCACGACCCGCAGGTTGAGAAGCCTGCCCTAGGCCCTCCAGTGACCCTGAACCTGGGCTCAATCGCTTCTGTGGGCCAGGCTGGGCGACTGACCAGGGCTGAGACGGGACTCAATGTCCTTCAGGACAGAGGTCAGAGCTGGGACACAGGCCCCAAGTGAATAGATACCACGCGGTGACCCCAGTCACATGTCCGCGGCCTGGCCAGGGGCTGTTTGCTAAGTCCCACAGTGACGGGAGTCGTGCCCCAAAGCTTTCTCGCTGGCGGAGGGTACTGTGGGTGAGGAGCTCATGAAGGAACCTGTGTGTCACATAAAGATGTGGTCTGAGCACCAGAGGATCAGCCCCACCCAGGAGCTCATTAGAAACACACAACCTCGCTCTGGCTGGTTTGGCTCAGCGGTCATAGCGTCAGCCCGTGGACCAAAGGGTCTCGGGTTCAATTCCTGGTCAAGGGCACCTACTTGGGTTGCACTTTCAATCCCCGGCCCCAGTCAGGGTCGAGTGGGGAGGCAACCAATCGTCTCTCTCTCTCCCTCCCTCCCTCCCTTCCACTCTATCTGAAAAGTCAATGGAAAAATATCCTCAGATGAGGATAACAAAAAAAAAAGTAAAACACAACCGTGGGGCCCCCACGGCTCCGGAACCCGAGCCAGCACTTTGACAAGACCCCAGGGCGTTCCTTGCCAGGCGGAGTGCAGAAGGCGCACTGCAGAGGGCTGGCTGTGAGGAGCACACCAGGCAAGGCGGGGAGAGGAGAACGGATCTAAGACAGCAGATGGGCCCGGCCGGTGTGGTTCAGTGGTGGAGCGTCGACCCTGCACCAAGAGGTCGCCGCTTCGATTCCTGGTCAGGGCACATGCCCAGGTTGTGGGCCCGACCCCCAGTGGGGGACGTGCCGGAGGCAGCCAAGCGATGTTCTCTCATCGATGTTTCTCTCTCTTTCTCCCTGTCCCTCCTCTCTCTCTAAAATCAATACAGAAAAAAAAGCAGATGGAAGGGCTGTGTGGACAGCAGACTGGCCATTTAACAAAGGGGCCAGTGGCCTCCTGGAGCCCCGCACGCAGCTCGCATATCCCTAGTAAGTGAGGGAATTGAGGCACAGAGAGGTGACGCGGGAGCCTCTGCGCCTGCCCCACCCAGAGGGGCAGGGTCCCTGTCCCCAGCCCAGCCGCCCAGCCGGCCCGGCGCAGTGGCCTCTCACCTACCCGAAGCTCTGGCATCTGGATGATGAGGTTCATGGGCACGTGGACGATGGGGCTCTTCCTGTAGTCCATGGGGACCACGTTGGGGGCCAGCTCGTAGAACCTGGCGTGCAGCCTGTGAGGGAGCAGAGGAAGCGCTGTGGGGGCGAAACCCCAGCTCCCAGGCCCGCGCCTGCCTGCGCATGGCCACTGCGCTGCGGGCGGTGCCGATACCTCTGAACAGTGATTTAGCAGTAAAATCTCGAGCTTTAAAAGCCTGTCCCTTCTGACTCAGAAGTCTCCGTTAGAGACTTATGCCAAGAAATGTCTCAGAGGTGTGGGTGGTATGTCACAGCGTCACAAGAATACCCACTGCAGTGCCAACAGACCGGTGCAATGCTGAAAACCCGAAATGCCCCGCTAAGTGGATTAAGGAGGTGGTGAGACCATTTTTTTTCTTATCTATTTTTACCATTTGCCTCAGGAAAAGCAATTGTAAAGAAATGACAAAACCACGCGATCCAAATTTTTGATCAATATACATGAAGGTGAGCTAGATACCAAAAGGCTCAATACCCTGAAAGGTTAATCACTCCTTTGAGGAGGGGGGAGGATTAGGGGTCACTTGTTTGTCCTCTCTTGACTGGCTTTATTTTCTAATTTTTCTACGGTCATGGATCACATGCGGAATAAGAAAATTAAGAATAATTAAAATACACGATACAAAGGTTTTAAAAGGTTGACAAATAAGAGACAGTAAAGTAACACACAGGCAAAGGTCCCGGGCAGCTTACTGGGTGGGCCTGTGTGCCCACTTATTGCGGGGTTGGGGGAGTCGGGGTGCTGAGCTCTTACCTATGGGAACAAAGGTGGCTGACTGGGGAGCTGCCCACTGGGGGGTGCGGGGGTGGAAGGGCTGTGCCCAGGCAGCAACGGGATCCACCCGGGGGTGCAGGTGCGAGCAGGAGGGAGACGCCCATCCCCGATGGTTATCTGTGAGTCTGACTTGGTATCACTGAGCTGGGCCCCGGGCTGCAAAGAAGCCACAGCTCACCTTTCCTCCTGCCATCTGGCCAGTGCTCAGGGGCAGCTCACGGTCCCGTCGGGGGGGGGGGGGCAGTGCTGAGGCTGCGGAAGCAGGGCCCTGGGTCTGTGGCCCATTATCAAATCCCACAGCCTGGTGTTCCTGCTCCTCGGCACTGCACTGAGGGCGGGGTCATGGTCCCATTTTACAGGGGAACCTGAGGCTCAGCGAGGCTCAGATTTCGTGCAAGGCCCCGGAGCAGGGAAGTGGGAGCAGAGCCTGGGTGTGCTGATGCCAAGGCCGGGGGGCTGTGCCCCTCACCCTGCTTTCCAAGGTGGTGGAAGTGGGGTGTCCCTGCCCACCAAGGGGTCAGGCAAGAACAGCAGCCAGTGCAGAGGGGAGACGCCGAGGGGCCCTGCCACAGCCCTCTTGAGAAGCTGCAGCAGGGCTGTCACTCCAGCCTGCCTGTCGACCTCCAGGGAAAGTGATCCTGAACCCTTGTGGCTTTTAGTGCCACCTGATAGCCCAGGCAGGGGCCAGGTTTCCTGGCCTTCTGCATGTCCTGTTCACCGTCGGTCCTGAGGCTCCGAGGCTACCACCACTTCATCCCTCCTGTTCTAGGCCCAGTCTCCCAATCCCCAAAGAAAGGGATTGTCCTGGGAAGGGAAGACACGCTTGGTGGACAGTTCAGGGCAGTGGAGGCATCACAGACCTCCCAGGAGTCAGAGGTCATCAGAGCTGGCTGGAGCCGGAGGGCACTTAGGGGCCCTTGATCTGACCAACAGGGACCCCTAGTTGGACAGGCTCCAGAATGAAGGGAATTAACAAGGCCAGGTGTTCATTTCCTGGTTATGACAATGCCATATTGGGGGTAAAACTGGGTTCTCCCACCACAAGGTAACAGTGAGGATTAAATGAAAATGTGCCCGAAACCACCACCCAGAGCCGGGTACATGGTCAGCGGATGCTCAGTTCCTGGCGGAGGGGTCTGGGTCCAGGAAGAGTGGGGGGCTCTCAAGTTCACACTGCAGCCTGCACTGGGGTCCTGACAGAGAGGACGCTCTCCTGGGCTCAGCCAGCACGGCCAGACCACGCGGGGTCCCAGGCCCTGCCCCGCGCAGTCCCAGCTCCGAGGGGTGAACGGAAGCCACACTTACTTGAGGATGTCTTTCTTATTGAAGAACGTGCAGTCCTGTCGAGAAAATACAACACAGTCGGTTGTACAGCCTCGGCTCCCCCTTACTCAGACCCCCACAGGGACGGCCCTGGACCGTCATGCCTCGTGCTCCAAGACGGAGGTTCCAGGCACACAGACTGGGCAAGATCAGCACCTTCCGGGTGGCTGAAGCCACAGGAATCGACAAGGTCATGTTGGGAAGGTAGTGGAGAGGCTGGGTGGGGGTGAAGTGTGGGGGAGAAGGTGGCAGGGAGGAGCTGGTGGCATCTGGACAGGGAGGGGCATCAGCCGTTTTCAAAGCCACTCGGGCCCCTGTAGAGTGCAGCCCAAGCTGGGAACCACACCTCACTGTCCATGATCACCAGGGGCCGGGTCTGAGGGGCTCTGAATATCCATTATTATTTAATCCTCCTCACTAACCTATGGGGCAGACCTGCTCTCCCTAGGGAGACATGGGAAAATAGGTTCAGCAAACCGCCACTCTGTCCGTGGAAAAGGTTATGGGAGTGGCGATGCTTATGGTGTCTGCTGAAAGAAAGAAAGAAGGGAAGGAAGGGGGAGGGGAGAAAACTCAGGGATGGTGCAGGTGTGGGTGGCTGGATGGTGCAGACAGGAGGGGTGGGCAAGGAAGCAGTGAGCCCTTCAGTTCAACGAGACTGCGGAGGCCTGGCCAGGGCCCTGGCTGTGGAGACAGAAGGGGATTCCCCCGGGGAGGCCGGGTTATAGGACTTGTTCTCCACTGAACACGTGTCTGCCGGACAGCAGAGCTGGGACAGCTGGAGGAACAGCCTGGGGTCTGGGGAAGGCAGCAAGCAATGTTTAGAGTTTGAAGGGTCTGGGAGATGGTTCTGGAAGGCAGGAAGTGGTCTGGGAAGAAACCAGAACCCTAGGGATTGCTGGCACCTGAGGACAGGAGGGGGCACATGGGGAGGGGGGATACAAATGGGGGCCACCAACAGCCCCCTGGCTGGCCTGTGGCTGGCTGGAGAGTATGAGGGAGGGACATGTGATGCTCTCAGGTCTCATGGCTCTCCTTTCTCCCACCCCACTGGTCGGCGGGGTCCAGCCAGGCTCTGGCAAAGGATCAGAACCCAACACGAGGGCTGGCTCCAAAGTGTAACCCAATGCCAGGCTGGTCTGAGTGGGAACCCGGGCTCCCCGCCTCCACGGGGCGACTCTTCACTCCTCAGCACCGTCTGTCTACCTGCTCACCTGTGCCGCCTCTAAGCATTTACCCAAGCTGTTCCCTCTACCTGGACTGCCTTCTGCAGGCCCTCCTGGGCCTGCTCCAGTGCTGTTATTCCTGAACCTTCCGGCAAAGCAAAAGCCCCCTTCCCTACTGGTCTCCCACTCCCACTAGTGTCCTCCCCTGGTGCACACCTCCTTGGGTGAGGCCACACGGGAGGTGAGGTCTGTCTCTCCAGAGGACAAAGAGCGCACATGGCCCCTCACCCCCAAAAAGAGTGATTCATGATTCAGATTCCCACTGGGCAGGGTCCTGAATGGCTCCTCAGCCTTGGTTTGCCCGTCTGTAAAATGGGGCCAGTAACCCGCCAGACTGTGATCAATGCAGCTGAGGGTAAGCGCAGGGAGTACAGTGCCTGGTATGCAGCAGGCGCTGCATGGAGGTGGATTCCCACCCCTTGTCAGGGCCTCTGGAGCTGGGAAAGCTATTATTCTCACTCGGGCTCACGGGAGGAGGGGCCTTCATCTTGGGCTGCCCAGGGTGGAAGGCCCACTCCTGATGGCCACAGAGAGCGGCTACGGAGACTCTGCTGGTGTCATGTTCCCGCAGCACACAGGTGACAACCCAGCCAGGTTGGGGGGCCTTGCGGATGAGAGACCACCTGAAGGGGGGCACCGCAGAGCGTGGGCGTCATCTGCAGCAGGGGAGGTTGTACACGGGCAGGAGGGTCCTGGGGTCTCCTATCTGGGGCTCCCTGGCTCCCGAGGAGGGAGACCTGGCAAGGTCTCAAGGGTCTGCCGGTGGGCCTGGGGAGCTGACCGTGTCTGGCAGGTACTTGGCTGGCCTTCCGGCTCCATTATTTCCAGGTTGGGGCAGACCCCGAGATAAGCAAGACTTACAACCGCCTTTGGAGGCGGATGCACCTGACTCCCAACCCCGGCAGGACCCAGCTGGGCTCTGCTTTGCAGAGTCGCTGTCCCGGTCAGGCTTGGAGGAGTCGCGGCCCTTCCAAGGTCACGCTTGGAGGGAAGGCAGAGGCCGGGTCTGACCCCGGGGACGGGCAGCGACGGGAAGACGAGGGGAGGGGCGCGGGCTCACCTGGTAGTTGTCCAGCTGCTCCTCAGTGAAGATGGTCTGCTTGTTCCCCATGGTGCGCGCGGCCCCCCGGGCGCCGCCTGCCACCGCGGACGCCCAGCTCCGCGCACATCCCGCCGCGCAGTGCCGGAGGGGCGTGGCGGGCCCGCGCGGCGGGGCGTGGCCTGGCGGAGGGCGGGGTCAGCGCCGGGCGGGGCGGGGCGGGGCCTGGGGGCTGGGCGGAGTCGGGCGGCGGGGAGAGGTCTGCGCGCGCGGCGGAAAGTGGGAGCCCAGCTGCTGGCGTGTCCCGCGCCGGCGCCCGCAGGTGTGGGCGGGGCGAGCCTGCACGTCCGGGCGGCGGGGTGGGCGTGGGCGTGCTCATGGGGGCTCGTGTGGACGCCCTCGAGAGCGCAGGGGGACGAGTGGAGGGACCTGGCGCCCCTGGCCATGGGGCGGAGGAGCCCTGACCTCTGGGCGCGCCCCGGGGCAGGCCCTGTCCCTCTGGGAGGAGGGGCATTCCGGCTGACCCCTGAGGCCCCACCACACACAGGGCATCTCACGCCCCTGGCCTCTTAGCGAGGAGGACAGCATTTGCTCTCCTGTCTCTGAATCCTTGCACACAGGCGTGCGACTTGACACGATTTAAAGGACTTCCTCTGTCCAGACACTTACTGCGACAAAGGCCAGTTTTCTGGGGCTTTTAAGCAATGCCACCACCGCCAAGTGCCTTTGAGGAGGTCCAGCCCACACGTGTGATTTCTAACCTCAGGACAGCCGATTCTACAGACCAGGACACTGCGCTGAGTGGTGCAGGAACGCCCCGGGCCCACGGCTGGACTCGAGGCCACCCCCTCCTTCGTGTATCCTGGACACGTGGGAGCGGGGCCTCCGCCATGGGAAAGAATCAGAACGTGGAGTGTTGGAGCAGAGACAGACCTCGGTCAGATTGTCGCCGTCTGCGCCTCCCCTTTCTCCCAGGTTGGAGTTGGAGACATTGAAACCTCTCCAAACCACACGATAACTTGTACACGAGTTCTCCTTCCCATCTTAGATTCCACATGCCGTCCTCAGAGCCTGCGATGGCACGTTCTTTTAAACTTGCTAATCTCTGATCACTTGGTAGAAAAAACAGAACTTCTGCACACGGCTGAGTTTTCACTTCTGGGAGTCCCTCCTCCCACAAGGGAAATAATAGAAGCAACAGCCTGACCAGAAAATTTCCATAACAAATCCTTTTTGATTTAGATTGCCAGTGCCCCGAATGAGGCCCTCTCTCTTGAACTAATACAACAATGTTGTGAGGAGGCTCAAGGAGTACAGTTCCTGCCCTGGCTGGTTTGGCTCAGAGGTTAGAGCATCAGTCCGCAGACCAGTGAGTCCCGGGTTCGGTTCCTGCGAAGGGCACGTACCTCGGTTGCAGTTTGTCCCTGGCCCTGGTTGCCGTAGTGTGGGCGGCAACCACTCGATGTGCCTCTCACGTGGATGTTTCTCTCTCTCTTCCTCCCTCTCGATCTGAAGATAAATGCAAAAATCTCCATAGATGAGGATCAAAACAAAACAAAACAAAGGAGTACAGTTCCCATGTTACAGATGAGAAACCCTGGCCTCAGGGAAGCAAAGTGACTTTGCCTAGAGCCACCCAGCTAGGAATTGGCAAAGCACGGCTCACTCTCATTCTCTGACTCCGACTCCCGTGCTCGCTGGCTCCCAGATGTTGGGTGTGGTCCGGACAAAGACAGTGAACGTATCTGCAGGCAGGGTGGACCGAGGGAAGGAAGGAAGCGTGGATTCCTTGCTCTGCGCTATTCCACAAAGGCCTCTGAAGTCTATCGAGTTTGGTGTTATTTTCCCATTTCACAGATGAAACAGTAGTCTCGGAGGTGACTTGCCCAAGGTCACATAGCTGGTAAGCGGTAGATTTAAATCTGGGCCCTGCCCCGGGCGGGTGATCACTTACATAGGCCTTGAGAACACAGCACAGCACAGCACACAAATCCTGCCCCTTGGACTTGACCCCTCGGGGAGGAGACAAAGAGTGGATAAACAAGTGACATGCACATGGCATGCCAGGTGGTGAGATTAAGTGCTACAGAAAAGTGCAGCAGGGAAGGGGGCGTCAGTAGGCGGGAGGTGCTGCCCCCTACAATGGAGCGGCCAGGAAAGGCTTTATTCACATTATCTTCAGGGACAGGGAAATGCAGATCAGAACGGCAGTGAGAGCGCACTGCACCCCTCGGTCCGCAGGGCCCGGGGTGCCCAAGGCGCCGCGCCCCCAGCCTACCTACAGGCTGAGTCGATGAATGGCAGAGGAGCCGGAGGAGCCGACCGAGATCCGCTCGCGCAGCTTCCGGGTCGTGGCTGCCTGCGTCACCGTGACACGAGCCCGGCGATTGGCCAGCGGAGGCGGCCGGTCCGGGAAGCAGCGAGGAGAGTCCCCTGGGCGGGCTCGGGGGCGGGGCTTCCCGGCCGGGACGTCCAGGGGGCGTGGCCCGGCGCGGGCGGAGCGGCTGCGCACTGGAGCCGCGCTGTCGCCGCGGTGAGAGGAGACGCGATGGCGGGGCCCGCGTGGATGTCCAAGGTGAGAGCGCATCGCGCGGGCGGCGGCCGCGTGGGTCGGGCTGCCCCGATGCGAAGGCGGCTCCGTGGCCCGCGCGCGGCGTGGGGCAGCCGGCGCCGCGAGGGCCACGCTGCAGGGGGATGACCCGGACGAGGGTGGGCGCGGCCCTGCTCCCGGCGGTGCCGCAGGCCGGAGCCCAGGCCGGATGGTCCGAGGCCGGGCCCGCTTCGCGCTGACGGCCGGGCCTCCTCGGGTCCGCTCGGTGGGGCCGGGTCGCTTCGCAGGGCGCTAGGCAGGCGAGGTCCCGTGGGGGACCCCAGGCCGCTTCCCTCCCCTGCTCCCCAGCTCTTCCCGGGCTGCCCCTGCGGCTCTGCCCCCCGAAGGACACGGGCACCCTACCCTTAGCCTTGCCACCTGGACCTCCTGGCAGGAAACAGCAGCCCTTCGCCTCTCTGGTGGGGCTAGATCCGGAGAGCTTCCGCGCCCCTGACAGCTGGGATGCGGAGCTGGGCAGGGCTCGGACCTCTCGGCGGCTTCTCGGCTCCGAGTGGCGCTCACCCGCGCCTTAGAGGTCATTCTCAAGGTCACGCAGGAAGTCGGTGTCAGACGGAGAGAGGAACCCAGACGTCTGGGTGTTTCCAGTCCTTGGTCCCATTCTGCCTGCCCTGGGGCCAAGGTCACAGCAAGATGACAGGCGCAGGGAGACAGACACAGGCCCTCGGGTCTCCTGGTCCAGAACGGTCCCCTAGAGATCTGCCGGGAAAAACTTATTTTTTCTTCTGTAGAATTGGCTACTCTTTCTCCTTTGTTTTGAGTTTAAAGTGAGGTCCACATGCACTTTATTTATTTATTTTTCTAGTGAAAAAAAAAAAAGCTCTACACGAGAATATAGGAGTCTTAGTTTTAAAGTCTGGCATTGCCACTAATTGGCTGTGTGGCCCTGAGTGAAGTACTTACCTCTCTGAGCCTTAACGTGTTCATCCGTAAAGCATCTATAGCGTTGTTTGAGGTTTCGGTAAAATTGTGTGAAAGCACCTGGTTCCCGGAGAAGGAACAGGTGCCTGAAGCTTTCCTCGCTGTCAACAGCTTTATGTTGCAGGCATCAAGCAGACCATGGTTCTCGGGCATCCGTCACGGTTTTATTCAGTAACTGGGTTCTGCTCGTTACCTCTTTAGACCTGCATTTGTGTGTGCCAGTCACTGTCATGTCACATTTGCTCCTGAACGTGAAGCAACTTCTTTCTGTGTTGATGTCTAAACAGAAGTCAGTCCCTTAACCACTGACACTTAATGCTTAATTCAACGGTAGTAGGTACACGAAGCCTTCAGAGGAGGGACTAAAGCAGCACCATCAATAATCAGTGTGCTAGTCAATCTGTTTTGCCCTTTAGTGTGATCTACAAGAAAAAAACAACACATAGATGTTGAGAGTGTGTTGGGTTGTGGGATCAGAAGATGAGGTTCTCCTCTGGCATGGACTCCCTGTGTGACCTTTGACAGTCATTTGACCCCTGTGGGGCCAGTTTCTCCCTTTGGGGATTGGAGCAGAAGGTGCCTCAAAGACAGATCATTGGAGGAAAATCCAGTGTTTGATCTGAAAAAGTATAGTTTCATTCTACCTTCAATATCTTTTGACAACTTGCATTCATAAAATGCATTTTACAGTATATAGAACTTACGTTCTCAAAGCAACAGGTAGTCTGAATATCCAGGTTTCAGATCTGAGGTAGCTTGCCACGTTGAGGTAACATATGAGAAAATGTTCCTCGGAAGTTCCCAAGTATCTCTGCAAACTTGCAGTATCAGCAGCCATCGGAAAGGGCTCCATGTTTGCCTCTTATGCATGTGGTTTAATTCTGTGCATGACATTTCTTTGTTGACATTGACATAGGTCTCTCGGCTGCTGGGGGCCTTCCACAACCCAAAACAGGTGACCAGAGGTTTTGCTGGTGGTGTGAGTATAATTATGTCTTTTATTTTTTTCCTTTCAGAAGTTTCTCAAGAAAGATGCTCTAACACATTATGTAGCCCTTCATCTCCATTTACTTAAAATTAGGGAAAATTAGCCATACTTATACTGTATATTAAAATTACTGGCTAACATGCATAAATTTGTTAGGTCACATTTAAAAGAATTATGTTACAGCTGGCTGTGTAAGCCTGTCACATTAATATCTTGAAGGAGGCTTGTTAAAAATAGATAGAAATTTCCCTTGAGCCTGTTACTTTATTTCACAATCTCATTTTGTAAGAGTTTTTTTCCAAAACTGGTACAAGTCAAGAAAAAAATTGTTGAGAAGCTTCAAAACCTGCTTTGCATTTTTATTTTGTGAGCTTCCCTAAAAACAGTAGATTGGTTACCAAATGGGAATGACTCGAACATCGGTGAGTCCTTAGACTTATTTACGCGGTCTTTCACAGACTATCCCGTACCTGGATCATTTCTGCTGCTTTTAGAATTCCCAGCATTAGCGTCCTGTGCTTTCAAAGCTGACACCACATTTTTAGAGCATGCTAAGACTGTGGGTCAGTGACGTCCTCTATGCTTTGTCTTAGCCTTCTTACAGAATCTGGTTTGGATTTCATTATTCCTATACTCCCATATCACATCTTATTCTGTGAGGCATTTGTAAGACCATAGTACATTTTCCCCCCATTTACTTTCTGTACTGTGGAATAAAGTAGTTTTTTTTTTTTTGGTGGCCTGAAGACATTTATCATGACATGTTGGGAGGACAGGAAGAAGAAGCCAGCAGTTCTGGGCTCCGCTCATGCGAACATGCAGTGTGGCTGCACTTTCAGCTTAACGACAGCAAAGCCAGCATTTCAAACGCGTTTCTGAAAGTTAACGAGATGATCATCACACCCTGCTGTTACTTAATTTTCAGGCTATCCATTTTTAAAACACAGTAGGGGAGGGAGTATATTTGAAAGACATATGAAGATAAACTAATTTTGAAAAAGATTTCTTCGTTAGTCCACCTGCTTAGGGAGCATCACTGGGAAGCAGACGACCAGGGAAACTTGAGTCAGTGATTTAAAAGACCAGCACAGGTGGTTGGAGCTGGAAAAGGCCAGGGACCTAGTCTGGGCCAAGCCTCCAGGTGGAAGAAAGTTCCTAAGTGATGACATATAGTCTCTAAGTAGAGAGAGAGGGTCTGATTATTAGCTTCAACTAATTTAAATTCTCTCAGCATTTTCCTTTACGCATTTTATTATTTTTTTATGTGAGTACTACTGGCACTCTTATTTATTGTTCAATATACAGTTTTAAAAAAAGTATTGATAGTATTACAGATGTCCCCCCTTTCTCCCCCACTGACCCCCTCCTCCCCGCTCCCACCCTCCTTTACACATTTTAATGTCTGTGTTTGAAATGCTGGCTTTGTTTGAAGCCTTTGCAAGACATTGTTGATTTTACTTTGTAAATACACTTGTCACTCAGACTTTGCAGGTATGATCACATGAACTATTCTCATTGGTTACAAGTAAACTTTACTGAGTTTATTTCAATGACATTCGTCATTAAGGAGCCAGTTTTACAGAGGAACTCAGAAAAATGGAGACCCTCCCTTAATGTGAAGTCTCACCTTCTCTGACACCTCAGCGTGTCAGAAAGTGTCTCATGAAACTGAACAGGTTTGCATGAGAAACTGAACTTTCAGGATCCCCGGTAGAAAGGAAGGCACTTGCCTTCCATTGTAGTGAGAGAACACTGTTGAACATTTTTGCTCTCTTTGCTTTTACAGATTTGAAGTAATGGGTTCCTTCATAGCTTGTCTGAAAAGAAGTATCAATTGGGGAGTCTACTGAGTAGTTGTTGTTGTTTTTTTTAGTATATTTTTATTGATTTTTAGAAAGAGGACGTGAGAGAGAGAGAGAAACATTGATCAGCTGCCTTCTGTACACCCCCTATTGGGAATCGAACCTGCAACCCGAGTACATGCCCTAATTGGGAATTGAACCTGCGACCTCTTAGTCCATGTGTTGCCGCTCAACCACTGAGCCACACTGGCTGGGCCTACTGAGTAGTTTTAATTTATTTCTGTTTCATCTAAAAAGCATCAATTGAGTTCTTTTCACAACCTCTTAACTCAGGTAAAGAGTAGAATTGTGGACTCTTTTGAATCTTGCCTCCTCTGATGAGCCCTGGGGAGGTAGGTCTGTTTTCTTAACGGCATTTGGGTCTTCTTGAGAGCCCCCCAACGTAAAGTGGATTTCTTTGTCAATGATATTCTTTTTTAAACCTTCAAAAATCAATTCTTACTGTCCTCTTTGATGATTTCTTATATTCAGGTTCAGACAGTAACTTTAATTCCAGGAGATGGTATTGGCCCAGAAATTTCAGCCTCAGTTATGAAGATTTTTGATGCTGCCAAAGTAAGTGGACATTACACATCCCTTTAGTAGGAGTTTGTAGAAAAGTCTTTTAGCCAGTCAGAGTCTGTGAACCCTTAGGGTGAATTGTTTGCATTTGTACGGAGTAGGCTCGGTCTGTTGTCAGTCTTCACCATTTGACTGGCGCATCGGCAATCGCTGCTGTCCCTGCCGGAGTTCTCGGCCGCAGCGCTGGCATCCGCTCTGTGGGAAGTAGTCAGGCAGGACTGGGGTGTTCGTGGATCTCTGACCCTGCCTGGGCTTACGGTCCGGCAGCCCTGCCAAGTCGCCTGTACTGCCTTCTGCCTTCTCGCCCACGAGAAAGAATTGATATTTCAAAACACTCTATAGGAGATTTTGAAAGATTAAAAAAATTCTGATGCGGTATTATCATAAGCGTGAGGTTTTATTCTAATAGCTCAGCATTCAATGCAGGTAGATGTTTTTAAATCCTTTTGTTTTGGAAATTTAGGAAACTTGGACTTTGTTTGACACGATGCTTTATTGTTGCTATTTAAAACTGTCAGATGATACAATACGTGAAATGAAATCAGTAGTTTTTATACCAATGGCTGTGAAGTCGAGGAATACAATTTATTTAAACTATACATTCCTTGTTTTTCTACGTGAGCTTCTCATGCAAAGCCCTGTGAGGAAATGATGCTCGTACACATTCCCCAGGTGAACTGAACTGGGGTCACTCCCTGCATTGCAGGGCCCTCGTGCACAGGGAGCACATCTCCCTCTGCCTTTTTCCTAGTGTACACGCGGTGTGCGGGCTGCCAGGTGTGTGTGCAGATGCTGCAGGATGTGGGTGGGAAGGAAGGAGGACGCTGTGATTGATGCCTTAGAACTGTGGCCTTCATAGGTTATGTAATTCATCTTGCTTTTTTTTTTAGCTTCCTGAGAGATAATTTGATGGTCTTTAGTATATTCATAGAGTTGTTCAACCTTCACCACAATCTAATTTTAGAACATTTTCATCACCCAGAAAGAAACCCCACACTCATCAGCAGCCACTCCCCATTCCCCGTCTCCCCCCACCCCCTCCCATTGCGCCTGTGCGACCACTCATCTACTTTGTCTCCATAGATTTGCCTCTGGACGTTTCACATGAATAGAATCTCGTGCTACAGGTTCTTTTACGATTGGCTTATTTCACTTAGCTTAGTGTTTTCCAGGTTCACCCATGTATCAGTTGTCCGAAACGTTTATGTGAACCCTATTTCTCCACTCCCGATGATATTCTAATTATAGCCACTTTGAGAGTTGTGAGAAACTGAAGTGGGCAGGTGGCAGCCAGGAGTTGACTGGGCGGGGCAGCATGCAGAGCCTAGGGCAGGCTGCAGACTGACATCTCTTGCGCACCAGGGGCTCTCCGGACCTTCACTGCATCTTCCGCAGGCGCCCGTGGTGGTGCGGCGTCGCTGTGTTCAGGCTTCCCGCTCACGGTGCCCTGTGCTGTGGCTTCCAGGTGCCCGTCCAGTGGGAGGAGCGGAACGTCACTGCCATTCAAGGGCCGGGAGGAAAGTGGATGATCCCGCCAGAAGCCAAAGAGTCCATGGACAAGAACAAGATGGGCCTGAAAGGTAGCCTGGAAGTGCACGTGGTCTCGGTTTCTGCTCCTGGTGTTCTGTTGGGAGTTGCTGAGGTTAAGCTGAATAAAGCTACCCTGTAATGAAGCAACTCACTCCTAGTAAAGTGCTGTGCTTTTCATTTTGGGACATATTCTCCCCCAGTAAAAACATTAAGTATGACTGGCTGATGCCAAATGAAAGTATGTATTTATCTTTACCTACGTTTATCTTTTGTGTACTTTTTACATTTTTGTTATTTTAGCTAACACATGCTTAAGGCCGTGATTCAGAATCCTAGCTCATGATAGGCCTTAACTCCAGAGAGGTCCAGACTGAATCTCGCCTCTGCTGCTTACTGTCTGGGAGACCTGACACATTTTTTTTTTTAATCCTCACCCAAGGACATTCCTCCTCCTTTTGTTCAGATAGAATGGGAGGGAGGGAGGAGGAGAGAGGGAGAGGGAGAGGGAGAGGGAGAGGGAGAGGGAGAGGGAGAGAAACACCGACGTGAAAGGGACACATCGAGTGGTTGCCACCCGCACGACCCAACCAGGGCCGGGGACAAACTGCAACCGAGGTACATGCCCTTAGCGGGAACCGAACCCAGTCTCTCTGGACCACAGGCCGACGCTCTAACCGCTGAGCCAAACCAGCCAGGGCCTGACACATTTCTTACTCTTGTTTTTCAAAAAGAACTTGGTTTTCTCCTCCACTTTTAAGTGTCAATGGTAGAGTTGAGGCGTCACAGTCCTCGGTCAGTAGGTGCTCAGGTAATGTTCCAGAAGCTTCCTTGAGGAGGTTTCCTTCATCTGAATCTGAGGGGCGAGTAAAGGCAGAGGCAGCACAGGTGGGTTGGTGGGCAACAGTGGGAGTGGACGCTGGGTATCAGCCTGAGGGTGACCAACCAGGACGGATCACCCATGATGAAGGGAACATCCGACTCGGAGGCAGGGCACCTGTCTGTCCTTGCAGGGGACTTGCTTTTGTGAACGTGCCCCTGGTTCACGCAGCACACGTGTCAGACATGTCACACAGCCACTGGACACCTAAAGGAAGGGTCCTAACTACTGTTCTGATGGAAAATTGAAACCGAAACATTGGCGTTTCAAGTGAATATTGTGTACTTGTGTTTGTGAAGAGAAGATCCTATTGTCATCTGCGTATTCTTCTGTATCACAGGCCCGTTAAAGACCCCGATAGCCGCTGGTCACCCATCCATGAATTTATTGCTGCGTAAAACCTTTGACCTTTATGCGAATGTCCGTCCGTGTGTCTCCATCGAAGGCTATAAAACCCCTTACAACGATGTAAATATCGTCACCATTCGAGAGAACACAGAAGGAGAGTACAGTGGAATCGAGCACGTGGTATGTTCGTTGCAGATACTTGTCATTCTTAGTTTGGTTGCTTCCCATGTAGTTGGGCAGCTGTTCAGACTCCCAGTGGAAACATCCCCCAGAGGTAGTTCCCTCTGCTTTCTGTGGGGTGAGAGCCTTGTGTCGGTCCTGGGTCTCTGGCCAACAGTGCTCACGTGGATGTCCAGGGAACAGCACAGGACGGGAATGTGCCCTGTTTGAACTGACTTCACAGGAGTGCTCTTGGGCAGCTGACCAGCTCAGCACCTCGGTTTTCCTCATCTGTGTAATGGGGCTTCTAGCACTTACCTCATGGGGCTGGGTCAGCATCAACCCACTGACGCCTGCGTGCGTGACGCCAGCCTCGTGCGCACTGCTGACACCGTTGCACGCAGGCAGGTGTCTGGTGCCGAGGGCTTGCCACGCCCTTCCCAGCAGGCGGGACTCCTGTCTTTCAGATCGTGGACGGAGTTGTGCAGAGCATCAAGCTCATCACCGAGGAGGCGAGCAGGCGCATCGCAGAGTTCGCCTTTGAGTACGCCCGGAACAATCACCGGAGCAATGTCACCGCTGTGCACAAAGCCAACATCATGTGAGTCTCTGCGAGGCCAGCACCTTGTCTTGCTCTGTGGGGCAGTGGAAGTGGGGCTTCTGTCAGCTTGCTCGCTGATTCCCGACATCTCTGGAAGTCACCTGTAACCAGTGGAGGATCGGGAGCATCCCTTGTGTCATGTGCCTCACTGGGTGAATGACTGGAGCGGGCTGCGGGGAGGCAGGACTTCAGGTCCTGGAAGCTCAAGGAGGGACTGAGAAGTATCAGAGGAGGAGCTAGAGTCTGGGACCCCAGGAGAAGTGGCCTGCGGGGCGTGTTTCTGAGAAGTATCAGAGGAGGAGCTAGAGTCTGGGACCCCAGGAGAAGTGGCCTGCCGGGCGTGTTTCTGAAATGGCACATGCTCGGGCTCAGAATAGCCAGCACTCAGTGCTAATACTGCTGATGTATGATTCTAGCTGCTCACATTCTCCTCAGCCCGTCTGTTGAGGGCCACCTGTGAATGTGCGAACAGGTTTCCTAACCTAAGAAGAGTGTGGAGCATGTAAAATAATAAAACCACTGCACTGGCCGGTTTGGCTCAGCGATTGGAGCGTTGGCCTGCGGACCAGAGAGTCCCGGGTTTGGTTCCAGTTAGGGGCACATACCAAAACAAGATGTCCTCAGGTGAGGATGAAAAAAATAAAAATAAAAATAAAACCACTTATTGTTATTATTATTGTTATTTTGTTGTTAATCCCTACCCAAGGATCTTTCTCCATTGAGTTTTAGATATAGTGGGAGGGAGGGAGGGAGAGAGAGAGAAACGTTGATGGGAGAGAAACACATCGGATCGTTGCTCCTGCACAACCTGACTGGGCCTGGGTATTGACCCTGTAACCCAGGCGGCTGCCCTTGCCTGGGACTCGAACCTGTGGCCCTTGGGCTGACGCTCTGACTGCTCAGCCCACCGTGCAGGGCAAAATAGTAAAACCAGTTAAATGATTGAACAAGTTAACCTTTTAAAGGAATTTTAGCATTTTCTTATTAATAGATATTTCTTTTTTAAAAATGCATTTTTAAAGTTTATTGCTTTTTATTTTAAAATTTTTTTAAAAATTGATTTGAGAGAGAGAGAAACATCGGTCAGTTGCCTCCCGCTCGCCCTGACCGGGGAGCGAACCTGAAGCCTGGGTGTGGCCCCGACTGGGAGCTGCACCCGTCACCTTCGGTGGGCGGGACCACACTCAGCAAACTGAGCCGCTCCGGCCAGGGCCGGGTATTTATTTATTTATTTTTTATCCTCACCCGAGGACATTTTTCCTTTTTTTTGTACAGATAGAGTGGGAGGGAGAGAGAGGAACAGAGAGAGAGAGGGAAACATCGACGTGAAAGGGACACAGCGAGTGGCTGCCACCCGCACAACCGACCAGGGCCGGGGACAAACTGCAACCGAGGTACATGCCCTTAGTGGGAACCGAACCCGGGTCTCTCAGGACCGCAGGCCGACGCTCTAACCGCTGAGCCAAACCGGCCAGGGCTAGATATTTCTTCATTCTTGCTGGATGACACCACTGCCTAAGAACTAATTTTACTGTGATTGAAATCACACGTCTTGGCTTCTGGAACTTGATTTCTTGAACTTACTTTACTTCTCTGACTTGATGCTTTTATTTCTGCAAGTTTTTGCCTTCAACAATTCTTATTTGATTAAATACAGGCGAATGTCAGACGGGCTTTTTCTACAAAAATGCAGGGAAGTTGCAGAAAACTGTAAAGATATTAAATTTAATGAGATGTACCTTGATACAGTATGTTTGAATGTAAGTATATATTCATACTTATCCACTCCTCTCTGTGGTGTTTAGTGGGTCTGTGTGCTGTGCAGTTTTTATGGCTAAATGCACAAATGCGTTTCTTGTAGATGGTCCAAGATCCATCCCAATTCGATGTTCTTGTTATGCCAAATTTGTACGGAGACATTCTGAGGTAAGTCTGGCTGACCCTTAGCCTATAGCTTCTTTAGAGATGTCTGAAAATAAACTGTGTTTGCTCAAAGATAGGAGTTGAGCTGTAACAATTCAGGTGGTGGCATCAGTGATGACGTGTTGGTGGGTTTCTCCTTCAGACGCACCGTGTTGGCTCTGGGCTATTGCTCCCTGCTTCACACTCTTCAGAAATTTCACTGGTTGGCTTCAGTGTTCTCTGTATTGCTAGGTGGGTGGGTGGCCATCTTTATAGATTTTTTGGGTAACTTTTGACATAATTTCAGACTTACAGAAAAGTAGCAAGAATGGTACACAGGGTTCCTGTCTACACATCCCCCAGATTCTCCAGGTGTTAACATTTTACCACATTCACTGTAGTTCTCCCTGTCTACACACTCACGCTCACGTTATTGGCCAAATGGTGATTTTCTGAGCCCATCATTCCCTCTTACATTCATTAGTTGGCGTTCTGCTGTTGGAATACGCTTTTTTGTTGTTATTGTTAATCCTCACACAACTATATTTTTCCACTGATTTTTAGATATAGAGTGGAAGGGAAGGAGGCAGAGAGAGAAAAACATCTCTGTGAGAGACACATTGATCAGTTGCCTCCCACACAACCCTGACCGGGGCCGGGGTTAAACCTGCAACCCAGGTATGCGACCTTGACTGGGAATTGAACCTGCGACCATTTGGTCCACAGGCTGAGGCTCTAACCGCTGAGCCAAACAAGTCAGGGCCGGAATACGCTTTTCCATGCCTTGTGTATCAGTTAGTTAGGACTCATTTCTTTACTCAGCGGTTGTACCCATCACCAGCATTCATCTCGTTGTCCCGCCTGGGCTGGGGGCGTCCCCTGGAGCCGACATTTGCTTCCGGCACAGCCGCGTGCTCTCGGCTCATCCCGAACCCCCCTAACTAGTCCTGGGGTCGCCCCTTCTCTGCGGAGCTCTGTTCCTTTCCATGGCATCTAAAAACTGAAGTCTGGGTGCTGGGTGAGACGTTTGTTTTTCAGATCAATACCCTTGACGTTCTTTCTGCCCACAGTGACCTGTGTGCAGGACTGATCGGAGGGCTCGGCGTGACACCGAGTGGCAACATCGGCGCCAATGGGGTCGCAATCTTCGAGTCGGTGAGGAGCCTGAGAGAACCCAGGAGGGGTGGTCTGCATACTTACGTTTGAGCTCTTCTGAGTTTTTCCAGTTGTCGGAAGAGAGTGATGCTTTGTTGAGGTTTTTTACATAAGTTTGGTTTATGCATTCATTTTCCTGTTGCTTTGTATCCTTGTATTTATCCTTCCTCAGCAAAAATACTTTACCACAAGTTGACAGGAAAGATGGTTAGTCCATAGTGTTGCAATTTTAAAAAAATTACCTTGGCCTTTATTTTTCTGCGGATTTCTTGACCTGTGCCTGGGGAGTTGGGCGCAGCCGCTGCTCAGTCCTGTGCTCCCGAGTGGGCTTCCCAGAAGGGCCGCGCCGTGTCCCTGACTGTGCTGCGCTTCCCTGAGGCAGGTTCACGGCACAGCCCCCGACATCGCTGGCAAGGACATGGCCAACCCCACGGCCCTGCTGCTCAGCGCGGTGATGATGCTGCGACACATGGGGCTGTTCGACCACGCGGCGCGGATCGAGGCCGCCTGCTTCGCCACCATTAAGGGTGGGAAGGTACCGTGCTGCTGTCCCTGTGCCGTCGAGTGCGTGTCGTCCGCATGCTTTCCTGGAGGGGGCAGGGGACGGCGCTCAACGGCCCACAGGACTGGTGCTGAGCAGGCTTTCTCCCTGTGGGCCCGTGAACCTGGGCGCGCACACCTGTGCATTTCCTGGAGGCAGGACCCATTGCTTCCCCAGAAAGGGGCTGAGAAGCACTGAGTGAGCCGTGGGAAGGGCGGAGGTTTGGGAGGCGGCACCAGTTCAGGCCCAGGTGTCTGTTGTGGCCAATGCGATGTTGGCCAAGGCTGTTCCTTTTTTTTTTTTATCTTCACCTGAGGACATTTTTTGTATTTATCTTCAGATAGAGTGGGAGGGAGAGAGAAGGAGAGAGAGAGAGAAACATCGATGTGCGGTTGCCACCCACACGACCCAACCAGGGCCGGAGACAAACTGCAACTGAGGTACGTGCCCCCAGCGGGAACCGACCCAGAACTCTGGTCTGCGGACTGATGCTCTAACCACTGAGCCAAACCAGCCAGGGCGAGAGTTAGTGATTTAAATGTCACCTTCGTATTTGTGTCCCAGCCTCCAGAAACATAAAAATATGTCTCAATTTTTTAAATTTTAGAAACTCCCCAAGTGATTTACGATTCCCTTTAGATTTATTAAACGTCCACAGTCACGTTTTCTTGGGGTCAGGGGCCTTCGCCATCCTCCTGGGCTGGGCAGATGTGGTGGGGTGGGGCTAGCTTTGAAATGAACTGAATGAAGGAGCCGCCAGGTAACTTGCTCAGCTGGTGTCTCACCAGGTGCTTTCAACACCACTAGCTTGCTTTGGTTTTAGTATGATGCATTTTAACTTCTGCCTTTTCCTTTTCTCAGAGCCTAACAAAAGATTTGGGAGGCAATGCAAAATGCTCAGACTTCACAGACGAAATCTGTTCCCGAGTGAAAGATTTAGATTAAGACTTCCACAGAGCGTGTTCACATCAGCCGCTCCTGATGCCACCACGTAAAGCTGGAGGACACGCCCACGCTGCGTGCTCTTGTTCCCGTGTTCCCCGACAGTACCTGTCTACACCTGGCCTTCTAACGCGGTCTGTGTAGAGGGTGCAGTGACATCCTAGCTCTGCTCTCCAAGGACTTTTCCAAATGCTTGTTTTGTTTATTAATGTCTATTTGGTGCACATTTTTTGTAAACTCTGAGTGGACGATATCATTTGCCATGGTTAATCATTTTACACTTCAGTTAAAATAGTTTTTTCTGTGCTGTAAATATGATAGAGAATTAATAAGAGAAAACATCTAACTTTTTAAAGAAAACATTTTCCTTACTTTATGAAAATACAGAAATAAAACAAATATTCGCCTAATAGCACAAGATGACAGTCTTCTCCAATGAACAGGCACAGAAGAAATTCCTAGGGAAGTTCCTATCAAAAACAGTGACTATGATATGTCTTTATGGTGTAGAAAATTAAGACAGATTTGTCCTTTATATGAATGCAGAAGAAGAATAAAGACTTCAGAGCCAAGAAATATATGAGATGTAACTTTTGTTAAATAGATATAGGTAATATATTGGCTACAAAGACAGAAAAGTGTTGTTCCTTCAATTATTTTGTTACCTGGAGATTTACTGTTCTTGAACTTCTCATGAAGTGAAGAAGGGCTGTACTTCCTTTTCACTGGACACACGCTAATCATGGGCCCTGAACTGACTGAGTCGGACTTGGCGCTGCCCGCTGTGGGCAGCCACACTCCTGCAGCACCTCGCACTCCAGCCTGTCCTCTGAAAGGCCTGACCACGCTGTTAACTGTGTTTCAGTGGCCGCCCCCTCCCTGCCCCAAAGCACCACCAGTGAGAGATGAGGCTGCAGAGACAGCAGACAGCCTGAGCTGGTTCAGGGCTGTGCGGCCAGGGCTTGGGCTCAGCCTTGACCTTCAGGTCCCCCTGGCCTCCCTGCTGTCCAGCATGACTTTTCTTAACCTTCAGATACTTTCTTCATGAACAGTTACCCTTTGGCTGCGAACCAAAGGCAACTCATGTTGTCCCTTGCCCCTTGTGTAAGGACCCAAACCTGTGGCTTTGCATAATGTACCCAGGTCGGGGATTTCTTAACAACAGACCTCCCTGTCTGGGTGCTTTTTTTAGGCTTGTAACCAGACTCCCACCCTTACGTGTATTTTACTCTGAGCTGCTGCTTCCTTCATTTTACTGGATTGTGCGAATTATTCTTGGGTTCACACTAATAAAGAGTTTCAAAGCTGACTGGAGTGCACTTCCTCTACCTTTTCCAGTGACACGCGGCTCCGCCTGCACTGGGCACAGCTGCTCTGCTCCAGGGGCTCCAAGTGGGGGTGGTGCTGGCGGAGCCTGCGGTGCTGCTGGGCTGGGCCTCCGGCGCCTCTGCTGGTCCAGGCACCAGTGGTCATTCACGCCCGTTGCACACAGTCCTGTGGATAGAACACCTACCATTCTGGACTCATTCCACCTGCTCAACTGACAAGAAAACCAGACACTGGCTGACAGTGCTGTTAAAAAGTTTAATATCCAAACCACACAGTAAATGCAAAGGGGCAGCAGCTGTGCTACATCGAGTGAGTGGGCGAGGCCTGCAGGGCCGCCTGGGAGTGAGTGACAGGTCACAGAGTCCAGCGGATTCCAGAGTGAGTGAGTTACAGCTGGCGCTTCCCCTGTGGCACACGGTAACAAGAGCCAGCTTCCCCTCCCTGCCCCGGGGACCGCCTGCCGCGGCTGCCCAGCCCAGTGAGCTAGCAGCCCATGAAATCCACCTGCAGCTAAGGCCAGAAGTGTCAGCCCTTTGGTTCTGGAAGGAGAGCTGGTCTCCTGTCACCTGGACAAAAGCAATGCTTCAAACTAAGCTGCTCAGAGTTGTTGGTGGCTGTTGGCAGGAGGCCTGGCAGACACAGGTGCCGGGGCCAAGCCTGACCCGCCAGACCTGCCAGCAGCCCCCCTCCCCTCCCCCCCGCTCTGGGAGGCCGTCGGCCTCGGGAGAAAGGAGGAGGCCCTCGTCACTGTTTGTGCTCTAGGTAAAAGGACTCGATGATGTCTTTGTACTTCTCCAGAACTGTGGGCCGTTTCAGTTTCATCGTGGGACCTGAAAGAGAAGTGGGAAAACTGAGTGCGTGGGGCCTCTGGGAAATCTGAGGCGCTGTGTGGTCAAGATCCACTCGGTGAGTCCTGTAACTGTAGTTCAGCCAGACAAACAAGCGGGCAGCCTCGGAGATGGCCCTGCGTGACCCTGGCTTCTCACGTTGCACCAGCACTGGTGGGAACGGCCGCCTGGGAGGACGGCCTTCTCCCGCGGGCAGAGTAGTGAGAGCCCCGCGCACTGTCCCCGGACCTGCACTCGTCTGACCTCGAGGGACTTCCTGTGCTGTCCCCTGAGTGAGTGAACGACTCAGGCGACCACGGTGGTGAATCAGACAGCAGGCTCTGTCCTGGGCACGCCATAGGGAGGGCCCCTGGGCTGGCCCACCGCCCCCGAGTCAGCGTAGAAGTAGCCCCTGCAGCTCCAGGTGGCTGCTGCCCAGCGGACACTTGCTGGAACCTCATGAGAGACCACAAGCCAGACCACCCAGCCAGCTGACCCTCAGAAATGAAGATAAACGCTTATTGTTTGAAGCTGCTCTATTTTGGGGTTTGTTACACAACAATCACTAATGTGCAAGTCATGTCTGCGCTTCAGTGAACACTAATACGCTGTTGGACCTGATGCTCTTATTGCCTGGGATGGAAGGGGGGCCGCCTGAGAGGCCTTCCCCAAGGCACCTGTCTGGCCTGGGCCCGCCCTTGGAAGCAAGGGCGACAATGGCCAAGGGCCGAGGTCCTGCGCGGCCGGAAGTCTGCTGTGTGCCGACTCCCCTTGGCTGTGTACCTGGAGACTTCAACATCAGGGTCATTTCTATAAACTGCTGAGTGAGGACATCTGTCTGGCGTTAGACCAGACAGCCAGACATACTCCGGGCCTGCTGACAGCTCAGCCTCCCTGTGTCTGCGTCTGCATCAGCCTTGAAGGGTCCAAGGGCACCGCACTGAAGAAGCCGCTGCCAGCTCCCTTGTGCCATGAAGACACCCCGGGATGCTGCAGGACTGACTCCGGCCGCCCAGAGGCCTTCCCCCTTCTGCAGACCGTGGTCCAGAGGGCTTCCCCACTGCACCGCCACACGAGCTGACTGCCGGGTAGGGTGGTCTCACCCCAGAGCCAGGTGACTCCAGACACTAACAGCCTTGGCGTCTGCCAGGTGTCCCCATGGTGATCTCAAGGACAGTGGGCCACAGTCAAAGCCAAGTCGAATGTCACGTTCACACTGACAAGTTCCAGCACACGCCCTGCACACGCGCCGGCTCTGTCCAGGGCCCACACACTGAGCAGGGTCCTCCCTCTGCTGGCCATGGCTGCCCCCCCGGGCACCTCCAGCTCCATGGCCGCCACGCTCCCACACAGCGCCCGGGACAGCGGGAAGCAAAACCGAAGCAAACCTACCCAACTCTCCGCCCGAAATGGAAAAGTCCCTCTCGAGAATGGCCCACTTCTGGATGTGGTAGGGCCGGGCGGCCGCGTTCCTGTTCACCCTCTGGATGCCCTCTTCGATGGCCTGGTACACAGACTCATCCTTCCCGCCCACGATCTCGGACACCGTGCTGGCTCTGCTGCCCACCCGCCGGCAGAACTCCACAGCCTGCTCCGTCAGGTTGTCGGTCGGGTCAGAGGTGTCCGGGTCCAGGGTGCACTGCAAACCAGAGATGGGGTTAGCGCCCTGCCTCCCCCCACAGGGTGCGGCCTGGTCTCGGAGGAGTGTTACTGCTGGTGTCCAGGACGTGGGTCCCGTGAGCTGTGGTTCTGGGGTGCGGCTGCCGCCGCCTGGGGTGGAAGGAGCAGAGGTCCGAGACTTGGAGCTCAGAGATCTCAGGCAGTGAAGCCAGGACAGACAGCAGGGGCCTAACTCCTGCCTCGCCCAGCAGCGGGCGGGCGCCCTGCGGAGCAGACTGCGCTGGAAGACAGGTAGGCCTATTCCAGAGTCGAGTCCAGACACCCAGGCCTGCACTGTCTGAACGGGCTTCCGCTTGGGCCCGGCTCACACACACCTTCAACGTCAGCAGCATGGACAGGAACTTCCTCTGGTCCCCGATCAGCATGGCGTTGCTGACGATCGGCAGCTCCGTCTTCACAGCCTCCTCGATGGGCAGTGGGGGCACGTTCTCCCCGCCGGAGGTGATGATGAGCTCTGGGGAGGCAAGGCCAGGGCGCAGCTGAGCCAGGACCCCAGCCTCGGCCGCAGCCCTGAGGCGGGAGCAGCAGGCAGCGCTGGCTGTGGGTGCACCCCCAGAAGCCCCTCATACCTGTTGGGGGATGGTGGCAGTTCTTCGAGGACAAATGCTCACCTGCTCCTACTTCCCTGCTCAGAACCCACTCTGCCCACTCAGACATCTACCAGACCCGGCTCCCCACTGACCCGCCCACCTCACCCCCGAGCCGCCACGTCGCGCCCCCCCCCCATCACTTGCACGGCGCTCGTCACGTGCAGGCGCTGTGCTGAGCGCCTGGGTAAGGAACTCATTTATTTGTTTTTTGCTAATCATCACCCAAGGATATTTTTCCCATTGATATTTAGAGATAGTAGAAAGGAGGGAGGGGGAGAGAGAGAGAAAAACATCAATGTGAGAAAGACACATCGATTAGTTCCCTCCCGCACCACCCCAACCAGGGCTGGGGATTAAACCTGCAACCCAGATATGTGCCCTTGACCAGAACTGAACCTGCGACCCTTCAGTCCACGGGCCGATGCTCAACATAGGCCAGGGATTAAGTAACTCATTTTTTTTTTTTTTTATCCTCACCCGAGGACACTTTTTCATTCTTTGTTCAGATAGAGCAGGAGGGAGAGAGAGAGAGAGAAACATCGACGTGAAAGGGACACATCGAGTGGCTGCCACCCGCACGACCAACCAGAGCCGGGGACAAACTGCAACCGAAGTACGTGCCCTTAGCGGGAACCGAACCCGGGTCTCTCCAGACCGCAGGCCGATGCTCTAACCGCTGAGCCAAACCGGCCAGGGCAAGTAACTCATTTTTAATTAAAATTTTTTAAAATCCTCAGCTGAGGATACTTTTCCATTTATCATCAGATAGAATGGGAGGGAGGGAGAGAGAGGGAGAAAGAGAAACATCGATCTGAGAGGGAGACATCTACTGGTTGCCTCCTGCATGATCAGACCAGGGCCAGGAATGAACCACCACCGAGGGATGTGCCCTTGACCGGAATGGAACCCTCGACTCATTGGTCTGTGGGCCGGCACTCTAACCACTGAGCCAAACCTGGCCAGTAACTAATTTAAAAAAAAAAAAGTTTTTATTGATTTTTTTTTTTTAGGGAGAGAGAAATAGAAACATCGATGTGAGAGAGAAACATCCATTGGCTGCACACCCCTCACTGGGGATCGAGCCCGCAACCTGGTCACGTGGCCTGACCGGGAATCCAACCAGGACCTCTCAGTCCCTGGGACGGCGCTCAGTCCACTGAGCCGCACCGCCAGGGCCGTAACTCATTTTGACCCTCACCACAGGCCTATAAAGAAGCAGGCATCCTTCCCATTTCACAGATGAGGGAACGGAGGCACAGAGAAGGCGGACAACTTGACCAGGGCCGCTCGCAGAGCTGACCTAACACATTTTTGACCGCGCACGAGGTAACTCGGGTTTGCACTCGCATGAGCTATTTCAGTTTCTGAAACTCAGGGTACTATCGGGTTATTGTATTGGTGACTCTTCGCCCTGAGGGTCGAAGTTCGAAAAACAGCACATCATCATTCTATATTCTTGAAGTAGCTGGCGAATGGGTATCTGCTGGTTCACACGAGTGCAGCTCAGAACCTAACGTGCAGTTTGCCCGAAATCGTGTGGTCCCTGGCGTGTCACAGAGACCTCTATGCGGTGCGCAGTGTGCGAAGTGCTTGTAGTCCCAGCCCCTGCTCTTCCCCACGCTGCTGTGGCCTCCCACCTGGCCTCTGCCCCGCCCGCTCTCCGCCCCGCCTGTCCAAGAGGCTGCCTACTCTTCGAGGACCAGCTCAGCTGCCTCCTTCAGGAGCCTTTCCGACTCTTCCCGCCTCACTAACTCTGCCTTCCGTTCCCCTCAGTGTCCACCCACTCACCACAGTTCCTCCGTCACCTGAACGCGCGCTGGGTGCCTGTGTGCAAGGCCAGTGCAGGGCCGTCAGTGCGCTGGTCTGTCCTGAGTGCTGGCTTCCCTTCGGGTCAGATGGTGACGCACAGGCATCTAATACATACACCTGGACCAACTGATCTACCCTGTACTCCGGTCTCTGGATTCTGCCTCATTTAAGAGGCGAGTGGGTCACATTCTGTGCATAGGTCCTGTGTTGACATTAGGCACAGAACAGAACGAGACACTTGGTGGATGTTACGTCACTCAGGCAAATATAAAAATACATAATATTGCCCGGCCAGTGTGGCTCAGTGGTTGAGGGTGGACCCATGCACCAAGAGGTTGCCAGTTCGATTCCCGGTCAGGGCACATGCCCAGGTTGTGAGCCCGATCCCCAGTGGGGGACGTGCTGGAGGCGGCCAATCGATGCTCTCTCTCATCGATGTTTCTATCTCTCTCTCCCTCTCACTTCCTCTCTCTCTAAAAATCAATAAAGAAAAAAACAACAACATAATATTTATGCCTTCAAATTTTCTGGAAAGAGTTGCCTTGTTTCTCTAGGGAGTCTGAGTGCCAGCCCCACCATGTGCTAGCTGGGTGTCCTTGGACGAGTTACTTACCCTCTCTGGGCATGCTCCTCAGTACGCGAAAAGATGCCCATCAGGATGGTGGCACGTAAGGACTCACTACTCACAGCGGGTATGAAGGGCGGTGGCCGAGTACCTTCCCCTGACCCCTGACCCCTGCAGCCCGCACCTTTGAGACGCCCTGTGATGTAGAGGAAGCCGTCACTGTCCAGGCGGCCGAGGTCCCCACTGTGCAGCCAGCCGTCGGCATCGATGGCCTCGCGCGTCTTGTCCTCCATGTTCAGGTAGCCCATGAAGACGGTGCGGCCCCACATGCAGACCTCGCCAATGCCCTCCGCATCCTGGTTCACCAGTTTCGCCCGGCAGCCAGGCACCACCTTGCCAGAGCTGGGGGCGGGGGCCCAGAGGCCTGGTCAGAGGGAGCCAGGTCCTCCAAGCCCCAGACGAGCCCCGAGAGCCCTGGGATCCCCAAGTTCCTTCCCCGGCTCTTTGCATTCTAACGGGGACCTGAGCTGAGACGTAGGGCCGATGAAAGGGTTTTAGGCAGATAAACGAACATGTGAATGTCCCTAATGGGACTTTAGACTCTGTGACCGGTGAGCAGGGATGGGGGCGAATCAAGCCCAACAGATGATCCCTCGACTCACTCCCCAGAACTGACTTTCCTTTCTACCCACCAGGGGACTGACCCTGCCCCCCAATTCCTACCCCATCAGCAATCTTGGGATGCACAAAGGGGAACTCGCCCATCAGAGCCTACTCAGAGGTCCCGGGGCTGCCCCTCAGCTTCCCACCACAGACTCTGGGTGCTGACAGTAGCCGCCTCTCCAGGGCTGAGGCCTGGCCAGGGGACTTGGCCCTGGGACCAGTCAGCAGGTGGGCACCGAGGGGTGTGAGCAAGGGTGTGTGGGCGCTGCCCCGACACACCTGTGCAGCCGGTAGTTGCAGGGGCTGGACATGAAGTGGGGGCCCGAGGTCTCGCTGAGGCCATAGCCCGAGAATAAGCGGATGTTGAGGCCCAGGAAGAAGCGCTGTGTCTCTGCGGTCATGGGGGCTGCTCCATAGAAGTTCTTCTGACACCTGGCTAAGCCCAGGGCCTGGCGGACCTTGGCCAGCACCAGGTAATCTGCCAGTCTGGTAGTGAAGGGCTTCAGGTCACTGGTGAGAGAGGAAGAATGGGCCACAGAGGAAAACACACACACTCACACCCATGCCCTCTCGCGAACAGGGTGGGTATTGCCCGGCCGGTGTAGCTCGATGGTTGAGCACTGACACAGGCACCAAGAGGTCACTGGTTCGATTCCCAGTCAGGGCACATGCCTGGGTTCTGGGCTCAATCCTCGGTAGGGGGAGTGCAGGAGGCAGCTAATCGATGTTGATGCTTCTCTCATTGGTATTTCTCTCTCTCAAAAATGAATAAAAACATTAAAATAAGCCCTGGCCAGTTCTGCTCAGCAGTTAGAATGTCGGCCCGCAGACCAGAGAGTCCCAGGTTTGGTTTCTGCTAAGGGCATGTACCTTGGTTGCAATTTGTCCTCGGCCCCGGTTGGGGTCGTGTGGGTGACAGCCAGTCAATGTGTCTCTTTCACATCAATGTTTCTCTCTCTCTCTTCCTCCCTCTCCCTCTCGCTCTATCTGAAGATAAATGCAAAAATGTCCTCCGATGAGGATAAAAAACAACAACAACAACAAAACACATTAAAATAAAAGAAAACAGAAGGGTGGGTATTCAGTGAGCACACACTGGCCTGCCCAGTTCTCTGTTCTGATGGTTGGCGCCAACGCCAAACCCATCACTAATGTGTGCACCATGGCCCGGCCTGTGGACATGCAGGCACACAGGTGTGCGCTATGCTTCTGCAGATACATCTTGAGCCAGGAAGTCAGGCACCCAGGCAGCAGCACAGATGCACACCCAGGGGCACACACCTGCAGACCGGGAAGCCTCCACGCCTGGACGGACGTGCGCAAGCCCAGAGTCATCACGCACGGTCATGTCATGTCTGTGCATATGAGTGCAGGTGTGCACCTCTCTCGTGAGACATGACGCAGCATCACAGACACCAGTCGTGGGGAATATCTGTGCATCGGCACCAGCCCTCCCGCAGCACTGCGTAGGTTCAAGAAGCAGCTGCAAGGCCACAGGAGAGACCTGAGGGGTTGCTAGGGAGGCTGGAAAGCCTGGAAAAGCCCTGTCACTGTGGCCCCTTCTCCAGGGAGGTGAATGCCCCTGGAGGGAGCAAGTCGGTCTTCACAGTCAGAACCCAAGGATGGGATGACTCCTGTGGGGCCTGGGGAGGGACAGGGGCTCATGCCCAGCCGTTGCTGGGGCCTTGGCACAGGGTTCCCGGAGCGGACAGGACGGTGGGGCCGGGATAGGCTGCCCTAGCAGATCCTCAGTTGCATACTGGGTTGTGGCCCAGCCCTCCGTACCTGCTCGGGCAGGTGAGGTTGTGCTCCAACATCACCGACATGGCCCACAGCAGCATCTTGCGCCGGATGAAGCCGGACTGAGCCACCACCTCCTGGATGCGTTCCATGATCTTCTCCCACACCCGAGGCACCCCCATGTGGGATGTGGGCTCCACCTCCCGCAGCGTGTGCACCAGGCTCCCCTGCTCGCCACAGAAAGAGAGGCCTGCTGTTCAGAGCCAGCAGGGGCAGGAGGCCCTGTCCCCAGGACCAGCATGCACACGTCGCGGGCCTCCTGCACAGAGGCGCGCGGACAGGTGCGCACACCTGCAGGCACCTCAGGGCACGTGCTGGCAGCTGCGATCCCACAGGCAGCGGCTCACTGCCCCCTTCTGCCAACAGAACTCGGACGCTGCTCGGACGCTCCCAAAGTCCTGGAGGTGACGGCTCCTTAGTCTGACTCAAGTGTGACATCCCCTCCCCCTGAGCAATGACTGGTTTAGGAGTAGACACGTGACTCCCCTTGGGCCAATGAGGCGCCACATGGGAAAGTGCTGATGGTTAAGATAAGGATCCACAGGAGAGCTGCGGTCGAGGCAGCGTGGCCGCTGCGGCCCTCTGCCACCACCCGTGACCTCCCTGAGGACGGCTGGACCGCTCCGCCTCGACTCCCCTTTAGAACAGTCATCAGTTTCCCCCTTGTTCAGTCGCTAAGGCCGCGCTCACAGCAGCTGGAACAGCTCTGATGCACACGTGGGGCCCGGGGCACCCAGGGGCATGCCCGGGGCCTCCAGCACGCACACTCAGATCTCCACGAGGGCAGAGGTCACACTGACCTTCAGGGCATCAGGTTCGGCAAAGCAGACCTGGGCCCCCCACTGGATGCCCGTCCACAGGTCGTAGATCTGGGCGGCGATGTGGCTGAGGGGCAGGTAGCTGACCACCACCTCCTGCTGGACCTCGGCGGGCTGGATGCCGCCGGCCTGGCTGCCGTACCTCGCTATCCACGTGATCTGGAAGGCGAACCGGTGGGCCTGGCAGCGCCCCCATCTGCAGCTACCAGGGGCTTGGGCTATTTTGGGGGGACCCCTGTGGTGTTCATCCTCCTGGGCATCTCTGCAGGAAATCTCCAGGGACAGGCCCCCCCTTTGCTGGGTTCAGTCTGGACCACAGACTGGGGTCTGTCCCACAAACCCCCCTCCCTGAGCTGAGGGCCAGAGGAGCCTCTCAAGGGGCTGCTGGGGCCACTGTTCAGACCCGCCCGCCACCCAGAGTCCACAGCGGGGTACCAGCCTACGTTGTCCTGACTCAACATCACGCCCTTGGGGCTGCCGGTGGTGCCGGACGTGTAGACCAGCACACAGCACTGGTTGGGCTGCTGGGCACTGACGACAGCGTCCAGGTCCTCCTCGGGCACCTGGTCTCCCAGCCGCATGAGTTCTTCCATCTGTGGTGGAGGAGAGAGGGTGGTCCAGGCAGCTGGTGGGCCGCCCCCTCCTGCCCACCCACCCCGCGCCTGGGCCCTGCTGTACCGTGTGCACATTGGCCACCTCCCCCGCCGGAGCTTCTCGGTACATCACTACTGCCTTCAGATAGGGCAGGTTTCCCCAGATCTGTGTTGGCAGGAACAAACAAACAGACTTTCATTAAAAAGGAAAAAGAATGTCACCTCCTGAGAAAAGCCCCATCTCTAGGTGTCAGTCTGCCTGGCAGACACGGTGGGAAAGTTCACTGGGCTCCCTCGCTCCGACCTCATGTGGATGTTTCTCTCTCTCTTCCCTCCTCCCACTCTATCTGAAGATAAATAGAAAAATATCCTCAGGTGAGGATTAAAAAAAAAAAGAAAACCAACATCTTGCCATTGCTGCTTGTGAAATAATTCACTCAGGCAAAAATCATGAATGGAGAAAGGTTGATGGAGTCATCTCATCATGATGGGTGAGCGCGTGGCCATCTACACCCATGGAGGAGTTTCAGCACCTCCGAGGGTGGCCCCCCCTGGCCTCACCTGGCCTCACCTGCCCGCTGCGGTGGTGCAATATGAAGCCAACAGCGTCACCTACAGGGCCTTCTTGCCCCACAACGTTGACTCTGAAGTGTGTGAAGCACTGGTTCCAACAAGCCTCAGGCAAATCCAGGGGCTGACCCAGATTCCAGAGCGGCTCACACCCCAGCCTGCACGGGCATCACCAGGGGCGTGTTAAACTGAGGCAGTGGGTCTGGGGTGTGGCCTAAGGATCTCCCTTTCTAGCCAGCTTCCTGGTGAAACTGTGCTGCCGGTTGGGACCGCAGGCTCTGCGGCCCCAGGAGCGGAGCCGGGGCTCTGATCTGAAGGAAGACACCTGGAGGACACGGCTTGTGCGGCTGGGGTTTGGATCCGATCCAAACAGACCCCCTGGGAAGACACTGGTGTGAGAGCCGGGGGCCTTTCACTGTGTCAGACGTGACCAAATTACTGCGGTCAGTTCAGAAAAGTGATGGTGGAATTTTCGGGGATGGAAAGGACGATGCCAGGGATTTGCCTCCAAGTGTTTCAGCACCAAGGGCGGCCGGTGAGGCGGCGCCGGCGTCTGAGGTCGGCACGGGGCCCGCTGCGCGGCTCTATTCGTTTGTCTGGAGCTTTCGTCACAGATCTAACCTGGGGACCCTTAGCGTGGACATTTCCCAATTCTGGGCCCCCGTTTCTCCCGCTGCAAATGGGGCCGGGAGGGGGACATGTGGGTTAGATCTCCATTTGTGAGACGGTGTCATCTCCTGGAGGGACAGGACGAAACCTCCTGGGGGCCCTGAAGCTCCACAGCCCCCAGCCAGGGTCTGACGGGAGCACCAGTGAGGGAGGGGTCGAGGGAGGGGTCAGCTCTTGGCTGGGACTCTGGGGCCTAGGAAGCTAGGCCTTAGGGTGTCAGGGCCCCACGGAGCCCTCGGGTGCCTGGCAGGACGGTAACCTGCCCCTGTCCTTGAATATTTGCCCTCATTTTTGTTTAGTGAAGGGCTTGATACTTGGGGTGGGAAGGGGGGGCTCCTAGCGCAGTTTATTCTGGGCTGGGTCATCCACACCCCTCTCCTCTCCGAATCTCCCGCACTGACCCAGGTCAGACAGACTGAGACGCTCAGAACGGGGGTTCCTGAAAACAGTGTTCAGACAGGGCGGAGATGGGCCAGAACCCCCGAGCAGGAAGACAGTCCCCTTGCTGGTACAGTGAACCCATTTGATAAGCCCTTAACAGTAAAAAAAGAAGGCAGGCCCACAGTGCCTGTGGAGAGAGGGTTTCAGGTAGCTGTCCAACGGCACCAAGGGGGAGCGTGCACACAGGCCAGCGCCGGCCGGAGGGCAGGGCCAGCACACTGCTGGTGCAGCCGGACACAGGTGCCCTAGGCCACCACAGGCCAGCGTGCTGCACGTGGCACAGAGCCCATCAGGAACGGGCCCTACATGAACAGGGAGGCATCACCCCTCCAGTAAAGACCAGCTGGCTCAGGAGACACTGTGAGACCTGCCACGGCCTGGTCTGCGGACTCCCTGCCACCGCCTACCGTGCAGCTCCCTTGCTCCATCCCCCAGCAGTCGGACTGGAGGGCTCCGGGTGTCAAGGCACCCATGGTGCACACGACCCTTCCCCTGGCACAGGACCCCAACCCCGCAGGGCCACCCTGCCCTGGAGCAGTCACAGGAGGCACCTGGCTGGAAGTTCCAGCCCAGGCCCTGTCACCCACTTCTTGGGTCTGCAAGTACCCGGGGTGATGAGAATGAAGGGGACCCTGCCAGGGAGGTGGAAAGTTCTTCTGCAAGCTGGAGGTCCCTGAGGACCCCCCTTTTCGACTCCCATGCCCCACCCCTCTCCCCCAGACCTTCAGGATCTTTTCCAGCTGCTTCTGCGTGTCCACCACAATGATGCTGGCACGGCAGTCATGGGCGATGTACTGGCAGGTCTCAGGGGAGCTGGTGGTGTAGATACCAGTGACGATGCCCCTACAAGGGTCAGAGGCCTGTGTGCGGCAGGTGCAGGCGGCCACGCTGGCCCGGCCCCGGCCCACAGAGCTCCAGGCCTGGACAGGCAGGACTCCCACAAAACTCAGCACAGCTGCCCCAGGCAGAGGGGGCCAAGGACAGATGGGACGTTGGGGAGGGATGGGGGCCTCTAAAAAGAAATAACGACCTTCTCTCCACTCCCTGCCACCTCCCCCCCGGGGTTCTGCCCCTACCCTGGCCACTCACCCTGCAAACACTGCACCCACTGCCGAGAAGAACCACTCCGGGGAGTTGAAGCCGAGGATGGCCACGCTGTGTGTCCGCTCCAGGCCGAGCTCCAGCCAGAACAGACAGGCCAGGTCAGCCAGCAGGGAACGGGCTTGCCATTCCCATCAAGCCCCCCTTCCAGACCCCAGAGCCCCCTCTGGCATTCGACCAGTCTGAGAAGACCTTGGGGTCCATCACCCAGCAGCCCTCGCTGCCCCTCCCAGGAGCTCGCCCCAGCCCAGCAGGGGCTTCCAAGCCCACTTTGATTCGAAGATGATCACAAATGCAAAGCTCCTCTCAGGTGCCTGCACCGGGCGAGGGCTCGGGCTGGGGGAACCCTCGGTGGGGGCCAGGGGTGTCCCAGTCTTTGGGGAGGAGGCCTGGGAAGGCCCAGTGCGGCGGGAGGGCCTGGGAGGGAAGGGCCAGCCCGAGGGCTCCTCACCTTCAGGAAGCCCTTGGCGGCCTTTCGGGCCAGCAGGTAGTACTGGGAGTAGGTGATGTGCTCCCACGAGCCCTGGCGCTTGAAGCCCAGAGCGTGGAGGTGCCCGTACTTGTCCAGGGCCTCGTAGAACATGCGGTGCACGGTGTATGGGGGCTGCTCTGGGCAGCTGGGGTCCAGGCGCAGGCGGACCCGCCCATCAACCCGAGTGGTCCACAGAGCCTCTTCTGTGGGGTGGGGAGAGCACAGCTGGGGTCACGCCGACCCAGGGCTGTCCCCAGGGCAGAGCTGCCTGCCCGCTGGTCCCAACGATGCCTTGGGTGCTGCCTGTGGGGACTGGCAAAGGAGCCAGGGGCGGGGACGGGTGGGAGGCTGCCTGGGGGACGGGGTCTGACGGCTTGGAGGGTGGGCAGGGAAGAGGGGAGGGAGCAGCGGGGGGAGGTGGGCCTTCGCCTGCCCAGCAGCTGCCATGATCTGTTACTAAACCTTTTCTCAGCCAAAAGGATTTCACTTTAACACTGACCACCTTTCTTTAAAATCACAAAACAGGCCTGGCTGGTGGGCTCCGTGGAATAAGCCTTGTCCCAGGGGCTGAGAGGTCCCCGTTTGATTCCTACTCAGTGCACATGTCCAGGTTGCGGGCTCGATCCCCACCGGGATCGATGTTTCTCTCTCTCCCTTTCTCTCTCTCTAAAAATAAATAAAAGCGTATTTTTAAAAAATCACAAAACAGTCCATACTTGTTCTAAGAACTCCAAAGCAGTTACAAGCATGTGCTACACACAGGGACAGGACCTCCTGAGCCCACCCTCCAGGCCGCCACACTGAGTGTGTGTGTGCGTCACGCTGCCAGAAACACACGCTCCAGGAGCTAGGTTTTATTTTGTTGCTGTAACTGTTTTATCCACAGTGGGGAACAGGATCACATTACTACTGTATTAACTGAGGGTAGCAAGCCCAAAATGCCCTTAGGGGCAGGTGGGTAGTGTATCACGTCATGATAAATAATGTATGGTCATCAATGATGGATGAGTGAGTGACACAGGACGCATGTGGAACAGGGCACAGGCCTCAGGCTCGCTCGTGCCCCTGCGTCTCTGCGTCCGACAGTGCCGAGGGCTGGTCCAGGCTCACTCAAGAAAGCCACCGAACAGGGTGCGGTGCCTGCACTGCCCCGGCCCGTGCAGGGAGGCAGCCGGCGTGCTGGGGACTGGAGGCGGGACAGCACCCCTCGTCCCGGGGGGCAGCCACAGGGCTAGGACCTGGTGCCCAGTCCGAAAGGAAACAAGAGTTACCTGCAATCTGGGTGTCAGTGTGTGATCATCTGATTGTTAAATGTTGGCTTATACTTAAAAGAACGATTATGTGCTCAGCTGGTGTGGCTCAGTGGTTGACCATTGACCCATGCACCGAGAGGTCACTGGTTCAATTCTCAGTCGGGGCACATGCCCAAGTTGCAGGTTCCATCCCCAGCAGGGGTCCTGCAGGAGGCAGTCAGTGGATGTTTCTCTCTCATCGATGTTTTTCTCTCTCTCCCTCTCCCTTCCTCTCTCTGAAAAATCAACAAGAATATATTTAAAAAATATTACATGGACCAAGTCAAACACAGCCACTCCAGTTTCTGTGACAGGCACGTCCCTCTGCGGGGGCGGGGGCACGAAACTCCATTGCTGGGCCACATTCCTACTGACACTCAGATGAGTCCCGCTCTCGGCCCATCCCCAGGCTTCCAAAAGGATCAGAAGAAAAAGCCATGCGCAGTTTTGATAGACATTTTAGACAGAGTTCCTGCATCTAATGTCTTTGTCCCACAAACCGACTCCCACTAGGCTGTTGCCCCTCAAGGCCGACAGCTCCCGGGCCCTGAGTGCAGAGTCTGGCCCAGAGCCGAGGCCAGGGGCTCTCGGGGGAGGGCGAGTTATCCCCAAGGGCTGGAATGGATGACCGCGTGTCCAGGGACCCAGCCTTCACCTCCCGCAGTACCCCATGTTGCCGCCTGAGCAGGCCAGGCCAGGCTGAACTCCTCCTGCAGGAGCGAGAGCCTCAGGCAGGGCCAGGCCAGGCCAGGCACCGCCCTGCTCCATGTCCTCCGGCCTCAAGTCCACTGCAGCTCAGCGCTCAGGGGCCTCAGCCTCAGGGCCAGCGGCCGCGCCTGCTCCTGGGCGTGGGAGCTGCAGGGAGGGAAGTGGGGTGGGGGAGCTTTCCCAAGCCCAGCGTGCCCTTTCTGCCCCTCCCCCTCCTTCTCTCTGTTGCCATCAGTCGTGGCCTGACCTGGCCTGTGTCTTATCAATCGTCCTTTATGCTGGAGCCCGGGTGGGCAGGCTCCTGGGTTCCCGGGGCTGTGGAATAGAGGTGACTGAGCAGCAGAGAAACCGATCTAATTAGCTGGCACCGAAGGAGGCCAGGTGCTGAGTTCCTGTGGGAAAGGCCTTGGCCCAGCTCGTCACGCAGACAGAGACCTGGTCCTGCGCGGAGGCAGCTCAGGCGTCTGTCCAGAAACACTCCCTCGGGGCCGGGCACCTGCTGCAAAGGCCGGTGTGCAAAGGCCCCTGGCACCAGCTCCGCCCCAGGCCAGGCTCAACTACGGACGTCAGAGGAAGAGGCCACGGTGGTCTGAGCTCAGGAGAGATCAGGACAAGGGCAGCCCGGGCCAGGACAGTGTGTCCAGACCTTGGGAAGTAGCACTGGACGTACCCGCTGAAAGTCTGTGATCCTGGCTCTTGGGCCTGCAGCTTCCCGCAGGTCAGGGGCAGACCCTTCCAGCTGCTGGCCCTTCCCAGCCTTCTCCGCCGAGGGCTACACACCGTAGAGTTCTTGCCACCAAACAGGGAAACCCTGGGCGCACCCCTGCCCTCCCCGGCCTCAGCTTCCCCATTGGAATCTGACTGAGAGGGACAAGATGGTCTCCATGAGCCCCTGCAGGGTCACTGTTTTAGCTTTTATGTCCTAACCCCCAAGTTTGCTCTTATCCAGGCCTGGACCACCAAGGGTGGGGTGGGGTGGGGAGCTGAGCGGGGCTTTACCGGCCCCTGTGGGGCCCTGAGCTAGGGCTCCCCCCGATGGAGAGGACAGAGGTCTGGGAGAGGGATGTGAGCGTCCCAGCCTGGAGCCCGAGGACAGGGCTGCCCCACACGGGCCATGCACAGGCAGGGCCCCTGTTGGGGACAGCCAGCCAGGGACACGCAAGAAGTGTCTGAATGCCCTGGCTCCTGTGGTTCCTGCCCGAGACCCAGCAATGCCTGCAGTCACTGCCCATCTTGATGGGGTTGCGGTGTCCTTTCTCCCGGACACCAGGGACCGTCCTGAGCTCTGCTTCCCGCTGCCTGTACCTCCTCAGGGACCCTTGAGGCTGCGCCCCAGCTGCTGGAGGCTGTACCCATGTCATTTTGGGCACGAGCCCAGCCTCCTGACCCTCCCGTGTGCAGACCTGCTCAGCACCCTGGGGACAGACATGGGCAGCTCTGGGCCTGGACCAAGCCCGAACTTCTGACTTGACAGAACGGAACATTTTGATGAGGCAAAGGTTTGTACCAGGGTCCCCAGGGGCTCCACTGTTTTTGGCTGGTGGGGCTAGGATGATCACCTGTTCCCGATTCTCCGAAGAGGAGACACCAGAAATCTTTCTTACCTACTCCCCCCCACCCCCCCCGAGGCTGGAGTGACCTCAGGCTGTGAGCGCCCCAAGGACAGGGGAACACTGGGCTCCTTGCAGCCAAACATCTGGAAAGCATGGCAGCCAGGGGCAGAGGCTGGCCTGCACCCCTTTCCCTCACTTGGCTGCAGACCATCTGGGCTGAGCTCCCAGGGGCTGGAGTGACCAAGAACAGTGGGGGTGGGGCAAGGCCCTCACCGGACCTCTGCCCACCCAGACCCAGCAGCTGCTCGGCCTGGATCCCTTCCCCTCCCCTGTTCCAGCTGGGGTTCACGCCAGCCTGGAAAGGCCTAGAAAGAAATGTGTCTCCAGGGCCAGCACAAGGCCGCCTTTGTGTGGAGGTCAGATTCTGGCAGCCCTGCGGCCCGACTCGGGGAGTGCAGCCACGGGGGGCCAGAGCCCCAGGACCTGCAGGCTCCGCAGGGACTCACGGAGACCTGGGTGCCGGGAATCCTGAGGGCGGGGCTGCAGCTCCCCGGCCAGGAGGCAGGCTGAGGGGCCGCTTGCTCCTTGCCACCCAGGCCCTGACGCCGAGGGCTGCAGAGGAGCCGCCCGCTGTGGAGGCAGAGCTGAGGGCCTGCCGGGCCTGCCAGAGGCGGCCCAGAAAGTCAGCAGGTGCCCCGGCCCCGGGAGGAGGACCTGGGAGGCTCTCTCAAACCCGTTTCCGCAGAAACCCGTCGGTCCTCTCCTCGGCCCAGTTCCCTCTTTATCTGGGGACAGGTGCGACAGGCAGCGTCCAGTCCCGAGACGTGCACCACCCGCTGGGCAGATCCCTGCCGAGCCCATGCTGAGCCCTCAGCTGGGGCAGCTTGTCTGATGGCAGCAGCGAGGACCGCCGGCTGAGGGCTTGGCGCTTGGTCTGTAGGCAGCCAGGTGGCCTGGTGTCATCTCAGGTTCCTCACTGACAATGGACAGGGTGGCCTGTGCCCTGATCCCACCTCCCGCCGGACCAAGCTTGTGACTGTCCCTGCCTCGGAGCCCTGAGGGAGAGGCCTCAGGACAAGTCTCAGGCCTCTGCCCCTTCCTCCTGCCCAGTCTGGTCTCCCCCCTGCCCCGTTCAGAGACCCCCGACACTGGCCTCCCAGCTAGTCCACTTCAAATGTCACCGCCTACGCTCCACACCCAACCTTGTCTAACCGTGAGGAGACGCCGGGGTACCCACCTTGCAGGACAGTCTACAAAACACTTGACCAGTTCGGACTCCGCCCCCGACAGCCAGCTCCCGTTCCCTGACCAGGTGCCCCCCAGGGGGTGGGGGTGGCTGCAGGTCACACGGCCTGAAGCTGGGAAAATTCACAGCCTGGAAGACTGGCACCTGGGGGACCTCTTCATCCTCGACAGGTGCCACAGGCCGGTGACCTGACGGCAACAACGTTCTGTCCCAAGGACAGCGCAGCGTGCCGAAGCTGGGACCCTCTGTGCCGGCACCGTTTCCATTTTTCAAAACTTCTGTTGTTGCTACAACATTGTGGAGTAGCCAGTAAACAGGAATGAGGTGCAGCTGCCCGGAGGTGAAGGTCAGGGAGACAGCCCGCGGCTGCGTAGGCCTCAGAACAGACTCTGCCTCAGGCCTGCACCCGCCCCGTGCTCTGGGGACAGCACCGAGACGGCTCATCTGTGCCTCCTCCCGCTGGCTCTGCCGAGGCAGCTACCCTCTTCTCTCCCTCTCCCCTCCTGCACTTCTAGGGGGAGACACCGACCCCACAGCTTCCATCCCACTGGGCCCGGAGGGGGTCGTGATGGGAGGGTACTGACGGGGATTCCGCCGCCCCGTCCCCCAAGTTCTGTCCTTGGGCTCCCGCTTGCTTCTGCGCGGACTCTCCGTCTGTCCTCAGCACCCAGCACACCCACAGGCCCACTCCACCCTGCCTGGCTCCTGGCGGGCTCACCTGGAGAGTTCGGCCGAGCATCCTCTGCCTTCTCTGGGGATGAGAGGTCGAGAGTGTGGCCATCGGTCAGGGAGCTGGCAGGGGGGAAACAACCGTTAGGACTCAGCGGACACGCATCTCCGCCCCGGGCTGGCCCTGGCGTCTGGGCCTCCTGGCAGGGGTCAGGGTACCGGACCTCGGTAGTTGTAGGGGCTGACCCCACCCCACCCGCCTCTCCCTGCAGGTTCTAGGTGCTCGGCAGAACCAGGCACCGAGCTCGGCTCTGCTCTACTTTGCTGTGTGGCTCTGGGCAAGTGCACGGTTCTCTCTGGCTTCGGTAACCCCATTTGGAAAGGAGACCAGTGGCCTGGCCCTGGAGGATTCTGGGCACCACCCCGATGGAATGCAGGCTGTCAGGGTTGGGAGGACGCCCCACCCCTCGATCCCCACAGGTGCTGAGAACAGCCATGCTCAGAAACTCAGACTGGAGCGAGGGCATTCCTGGGTTCTCAGGGGTCCTGAGCAGGCCCCAGTGGGGCCTCTTCTCTGAGGGTGCCTGTGGGTGGGCCCCATGTCTGTTCCCCCTCATGAGAGCAGCACAGGACCCGGGAGGCCTGGGGCTCATGCCATGGCCCTCGTGCCTGGCCCAGCCTCCCCTTGCCCCCCAGGCATGGTGCCCTGGACTCTCCTGCACCGCCCAGGAACTCAGCCTGGCTGCCCCTCAGCCACACCGGGCAGACCCCAACCTCCTGGCGGACGCGCAGACGGAGATCAGCCCACACCGCAGGATGAGCGGGGCTGCAGCACCGGGCGATCCCGGGACACTCCGATCATCGGCTGTGCGAGCAGAGCCTGCCGGGGTGCAGCCTGCGGCCGGTCGGGGCAGCCCGGGGGGCAGCCCCTTGCTCCGGGGAGACCTGTCTGTCTGTCTGTCTGTCAGGGCGGGCCTACTTCCCAGGCGGCGGCCAGTTACCTGCGTCTCACATTTGGCCTCGCGTCTTGCCGGTGCCGCACGTTCAAACTAAGTTTGCAAACACACCTGGGCCCACCTGGTGGCAGTCTGCTTAAGAACCTGAGGTAGGTTTCGGAGCAAAAGACATCAGGAGGTTATGAGGAAGAGGGGAGGAGAGAAGGGGGATGGGCGGGGCAGAGCTGCCCCTTCGTGGGAACTCTGAGCAAGGCCTGGCGGGGCTGGGCTGCCCCTCTGGGGCTACGCTGACCAGCTGAGGGGTGTGCGGGAAGGAGTGGAGCGGTGACAGAGCGAGCTCGTGGGCTGAGGCCTGCTGAGCCAGGCAGGGGGAGCTGAGGGTCTGAGCGCCCTGGAACGTGTCCCGACCTCAGGCCACCGGCACTGCCGTTCCTCCCCTGGGTGGTCAAGTAGAAGCGACCTCGACTTTGGGACAAAGAAGACTGGGATGCTACCAAACAGCCCCCGAGCTCTGGGCTCAGGCACCTGTGGTGAACACGGGGACCCTGCAGAGCTGGCTGTGGGTCCCCACTGTGAGCATCCGCGGGTAATGTCCACGCTCTGTCTCGGCATGTCCCCAGGAGACAAGGCTGGCTGCAGGGCCGCCCCGAGGCTCACAGCTGACCGGCCTTGAGATCAGCAGGGGGGCAGCTACCCCTAAATTAGCGGAGGCCGTCCTGGGTTGTAATCACTGGTCTTTCCTGCTTCCTCACGGACTGCTTTCAAATCCTCACCATCAGCAGGGACGGGCCCCCTAATAAAGTCTGGTCCTAGTTTTAAAATAGCTAAACAAAGACTAAATGAAAAGACAGCCTGGGAGCTGAGGCCGAGCATCCTCTTGGTGACCAGAGCCTTCTTTCGATGGGGGGAGGGGCTGCTGGAGGCCCCGCTGCCCTGAGGGCCTTTCCCAGGCATCTGGCTCCTCCGGGGGCTCAGGCACCGCTGGTGTCCACCCCCTGCCTGTCCTTCCCCTCCCTCGGTGACAGGGTGGACCTGGTCCCCTGCCTGCGCTTGGTGTGAGAGGAACGCCTCACCCTGCCGATGGCCCATGGAGGGTCCTACCGAACCCTCTCGGCGGGGTGCCTGATTAGCAGAAGGTCACAACCTAGTTTTCTGAGAGGGTAAAGCATGGCCTCCCTCTTGCTGGAACCTTTCAGACTGAGTCCCTGTAATGGGGACGTCGCCCCCGCTCATGATGAAACAACTCACCAAACCCCTGTGACTGTCCCTGCTCGCTCGGGGCCACAGCCCTTTCTGCCCCGGCTCGTCCCGAGAGGCCCGCCCAGCGTGGCGCTGCCCACACACGGCCCCTGGCACTGCGGTGTCTTTCCAGGTTTCTGTCTCCCTTGTGTTCCTCGTGGTCACCTCTGCCCGTCCCTGCTGGCACCTCGCTGGCCTCCCACTTTGCAGGTTCTGCCTGCAGCTGAGCAGGAGGTGAGCCAGCCCTGCTGGACAACCAAGCCGCTCGGACTGCAGGTCACTGCAGAGGCGTGGCCTCCACGGTGCAATTTACCACGTTTCCCTCAAGGACGAGCACCTGGGCTCTTGGGGCGCAGTCCCTGCTGTTCCGACTCCCCAAGAGCACTTGCGGCCTTTCGATTCTTGCTGCTACCCTGGAAGGCACAAGTGACTGGTACATCACCCCAACAGGGGAGGTGTGACTGCTGCCACTGTGGTCACACGCCTGTCGACCGGGACAGCACGGAGTTCCTGTCATTCTGGGCGATTTGACCCTCCCGGCATGCGGTCCTGGGGAAGCTCCCAGCATCACAGATGGCAGTGATGGGGGCCAACGGCCGAGGAGGTGGCCTTGCCTCTGTCTGCTCTGAGGACAGGGTCTGCACCCCCCAGCTCACACCAGAAGCACCTGCCTCGCCCTCTGCTCAGAGACAGTCACTTCCCCAGCACCCGCCCAGCAGCATGGGAGCAAGAAGACACTGGAAGGACGTGTTTGAGTGGATGTGCAGCGAGGAGCCTGGGGGCGGAGGAGCCTGGGGGGGCGGAGGAGCCTGGGGGGCGGAGGGGCCTGGCAGCCTGCACTCTCCCATTCTCTGAGCCGGCTGTGGTGTTGTCAGAGGAGCTGAGGGAACCACTGGAAGACAGAGCCTGCCAAGCCTCCTTCAGCCCCTCCTCCAGGAAGCTCTCCTAGATTGTCCCCAACCCCCTCTCACCCTCGTGGTCCTCAGTCACTCAGGTTTGGTCTCTGGAGGCCACATGTGGCGTGGGAGGCTCCTTGAGAGCAGGGTCATGCCTGACTCAACCCTGCCCTCCAGCCCCGGGCCCTCGCTGATGGCACCGTGGAGCTCAGTCAACACGGTTGGATCCAAAACTTCTCGGGCTGTCACTAGTGTGTGGCACCTAAGTCGAGGGGAGCACTCTTTTGCCGTGTGAACGCCTCGTGGATGAGGACCCATCTCCTACCCACTTCCATGCCCCTTCTTCCCATCCAGCCCTCAGCAGCCAGGCCGCCGCTCCGTGGGCAGTGGGTGCCCGGTAAGTGCTTTCTCGGAACCACATGGCCTTGAAGTCCACCAGGGTCCAGCTGTCTGGGTTCCACTGCTTGACCAGCTGTGTGACCGTGGGCAAGTCACTGCACCTCTCTGGGCCTCAGTTTTCTGCCGAAACCCTGTGGCTACCATGAGCACAACCCGATCCATGAAAAATGGTTAGGAGGTGGTCAGCTCCCATCATTATCACTAGTAGACTCTCGTGGATTTGGGGGGCGTAGGTGAAAGAAAATCCTTGGGTGAGATTAGAAGGGCGACTGGGTGAGCTGAAAAACCCCAAACTCGAGCCTCAGGGTTCAGGTGCGGGCCCGGGTATACTCCCTGAGTGGCAGCGAGGGGGCCGGGGGGGGCCCTTGTTCCTTACACGGTCCTCAGGACGTAGCTGGCAGACCTGAGCAGGAGCACCTCTGGCATGGTCCCTGAGGGGTGGCTGTAACCCCCTGAGCTCACCCGGGAGACAGCCTCAGAGATCGTGTCCCGGTGTCCCCTGGGGGAGCTGCATCAGCCCCAGAGAGGCCCGGTGCCACCAAACCGCCCTGCAACAGAGACAGTGTGAGTCACAGGCTGGCCGGGCAGGGGGGCAGTTGCCCTCCTTCTTAGCTGTGACTCACCAGCCTGGGCACCTGACAGTATGTAATTACTTCCTCCAGGGAGCCCACACAGCCTCCCAGGAGGCGGCTGCCTTGGGGTTCCCGTCTCTCGGTTCCCCAGGGCCCGTCACCTACCAGGACCCCTGACCGCCACGGGCTGCCCTCCCTGTTGCTGGTTCCAGGTCCTGCCTCTCTGCTTCGGGGACACTCAGAGGGAGACCCGTCTCCTCGAACAATGGAGACCGTTTCCAATGGAGGGTGTTGCCCAAACACTCCCCAGCTGCTCAGCGTCCCGAGCAGGGAGAACAGCAGTCCCTGGCACAGGCTGCGGCTGCTTGCACACTGGCCTCTCCCGGCCCTGCACGCGAGCCACGCCCTCCCTGCTCCCCTTCAGGCCCACCAGCCCGAAGACCCCCGGAGGCTCGGGTCTGGCTGCCCCGGGTGCTCACCTTCCTCCGTGCGGCTGGCGGGCTCAGGGCTCAGCATCCCGTGTGCTCGCTCGGCTAAGGCATCCTGAGTGTGGGAGCTGCCCTGCAGCGCCCCGGTTCCAGGTGACGAGACAGGGGCTGGGCGTGCGTGGGGCCCACCCCAACCTGCCTGGGGCTGTGTGTGAGGTGCGGCTCCAGATACCTCTGACCCACCTGGCACAGCCCCAGTGCCCACCTATGAATATTACCTAAGAGGGACCTGCCTGTTTGGGTGGGAGAGGCTCGTTGTTGACTGTTGTCCTTGGCAGAGCCCAGGGGCCCTTCACCGAGAGCCACCCCGGAGCCCCAGGGGCTGGGCGGGAAGCTCGTCTTTTTTCTCATTTCCTTACTAAATGCCGTACTGTGCCAAGAGCTTCACCTGTGCTCGCTCCTTGCACCCTCTCCACAGCAACGTGACAGTGCCATTTTCCAGACGAAGTGACAGCGTCCTGCGCCCAGCCAGAGGCAGAGCCCAGCAGGCAAGACCCAGTCCTGGGCCCGGCTCAGAGACCAGGACTCCCTGTACACCACCTACTCACCATCTGCACCCTAAAACCCAGCCAGCCGGCTCACCCACACCCCCGGAGAGCCCCTACTCCATGGTAACAGACGTCCCTGTGTCTTGCCCTTTGCCCCGAATGCCCCTCTGCCTCCTCCCTCACTACAGAGACTGCAGGCCTGTGGCCCAAACCTGCACCTTGTAAAACCCCTGCTCCTGGAACCTCCCTCCCGGCCACCCAATTCCCACGCCGACGGCAGAATCCCACAGTGCTTCTGGGGTGAAGCGTGGAGGCAGCCCTGCGGGGCTGTGGGGGTTTTGAGCTCATCTGAAGGCCAAGGTGCAGGCGCAGGGGCAGCGATGAGGACAGGGCTGTCCCAGGGCCCTTGACCCAGTCAGATGGCAGACAACTCGGATGGCTGCACTGAGCTCCACACCAACACACCACCTTCCAGAAGATTCTGCAGGTCTCCGGATTCTGGTTCCTTAAAGGCTCCTTCCCCGCGACTCCTGCCCAGGTCACCTCAAGACACCCTGAGAATGCGGGTCTGGGGGGCTGGCCTGAGCCTACTATGGGTTATGAGCCCCTCTGAGAACTTGCTGGGACACCCTTCGCCCCATGAATTGCCCAGATGCCCGCTTACTCTTTCAGGTTCTAGGGGTTTGGAACCCCCAAGAGCAATGCCGACCCCTCCTCTGTCCTGGAGAGGACACTTTGGTCCTTCTCCTTCTCCCACTCTCCTGGTGCGGGGTGAGCAGCGACGTTAATGATGGGATTGGCCCCGGGGCACTGGGTAGGTGGGAGACGGTGGTCGGAACATTGGGGGCTGGCGGGGACCCAGTGCCCAGATCTCTCAGCCCTTCCTGGCAGCTTGAGGACAATGCTGGGTGCAATTTACAGACTGACAAGGAGGCCCAGCCGACGAGCTATTTCAGGATCAGGAGGGCTTGGGAAATGTGCAGTCTCCCCTCTCCATTCCCTCACGAAACCACAACCTGCTCTGCCCTGGCGGATGCCTCCTCCTCCAGGAAGCCCTCTGGGAGGGACCCCAGGCCCTCATGCTTCTTCCTGGAACTACCCTGACAATGCCCCTCCCAGAGCACTTAGTTTTTAAAGACTAGGTGTTGCCTTTTTAAAAAACATAATTGTCTACCGTGTCTATGCAAGAAAAGTCTTGAATCCATACTCCCGGAGTTGGAAATGATCTCTCCCTGCCTCCTGACCATGATCCTTGGTTCAGACGGCAGGAGGCAGGGACAGGTGAACAAAGGGAGCCTGGTCCCTGCCTTGAAGGCTCAGAGATGATGGGATTGGTGGCCAGTACGCGAAGATGCGTTCTGGGTCACCCAGGCTGGAACGGGGGAAAGGAAACAGAGGGGGAAACCGGCTAGGGGTGAAGGTGCAGCGGGGAACGCCGTGGGCAGCGGCAGCTGCACAGGGGGGCATGGACCCAGGGCCCACGTTAGCAGCCCGGGCAGTGGGCCTCCCCAGCCTTGGTCCTGGCTCAGAGACCTTCTGGGGACACACGGTCTCTTAGAAAGAAGGCTGGTTGAAGACACACGTTCCCAGACCCACCAGAAGGGCCCCTGGTTGTCACGGAGCCCCCGTCCGAGGCCCCAACAGCGTCGAGGCCTCAGCCCCAAAGGCTTCACCTTGGCGCCTGCCATGGTGGGTGGGGGCCGTGTAGGCAGCCTGCTCACTTCTGACCCAGTTGGCAGCGCCCAGGCTGTCCAACCCTATTAAGCCGAGTCACACAGCCAAGCGTCAGTGAGCAAGTCGCCCTGAAAGACCGGAAGGGGTTGGCAGCGGTGTGGTCGCACCGAAGATAAAGTCCCTGGGGACGGGGACGCCTGGACTCTAACCCAGGCTCTGCCTCTGGTCCCTCTGGGACTGGGTTTCCTCAGCAGTGTCACAGACAGAGGGCTTCTGGGTTCCCTGTGACAGAGATGGTGCCAGGGCTGGCACCCCGCTGCCCTGGGCAGGGACCCCCAGGCCTGTGGGGCAGGGAGTCAATGAGGAGGCAGGAGCAGGGGGCACCAGCCAGCGGCCGCCCTGCACCGAGCGCCCCTGTGCCTGGCACTGCCCCACTCCACAGACCAGGAGACCGAGGTGCAGGGAGATGATGCCGCTCGAGCAAGGTCTTCTGGTTAGCGGAGTCGAGATACAAATTCGGGCATCAGAGTTTATGCTCTTAACCACCAGGCTGCTCCCAACAGTCTCAGGGCTGGGGGGGGGGGGGGTGAGGAGGTGTAGAAAGGGCATCCCACGTGCCCCTGCTCCCCTGCTGCCCGTCATCTGTCAGCAGGGCCAGTTAGGACACCGCTTCCCCAACTACGTTTGGAGAGATTCTGTGCACAGCGAGGTGCACGCGGTAAGCCACGATGCGGCCACGTCTCAGTGGACGGAACTCACGAGCGACGGTGGTCCCACAGGGTCTGATGGAGCCGAGACCCGCCGCCGAGCGGCACTGCGTGCCCGACAGTGGTAAACGACCGCTGGGGCTTAGTGCTCACCACTGTTTTCCTCATTCCTTCGGAGCAAACTCCTGCTACTTCCAAAACCAGGTTTGCTGTGAAGCAGTTGCTGTGTCACGCCAGCAGCAGCCTCACTCATCTGGCGGTCACTGTCTGGCCGTGTGTGTCCCTTCTGCTGCGCTGGATGTGAGCCGTGCAGTGTGGGCCCAGGAGCCGCCGGCTGCACCGCCCGGCCAGGCGTGGGGCTCTCTAGGTGTGGGGCCATGTGAGCTCCCAGCTTCATGCCGCCCTCTGCGTGCTGACCCAGCGCCAGCTGTCCGCGCTGTGTCTGCTATCACTACCGTCATGTATTGCTCAATGATGGGGGTACTTCTGAGAAATGCATCCTGCTCTGAGGGGCTCCTCTCTGCTCCCAGTCTTTGGACAACCAGTGTGGGGGGGCAGCTGGGAGCCAGAGGAGTGTGGTCAGTGCAGAGCGACCATCCCTCCCTGGGCCAGACTGTCCTGGCCTCCAGCCTCCTGCACACCCCAATTGCAACCACACTGCCGGGTCCACCTCCCCAAACCAGGCTCTCCCAGGCTCTGCTGCCTCCGCGTGTCCCTCAGCTTCCGCTCTTCCTCTGGCCCCGGCTGTCTTCACACCTGGCTGCCCCTCATCTGGCCACACCCGGGTATCCGGATCCAGGAGCTGCCCTGGCCCTGCCCTGCCCTGTCTGATGGACATGTTCTCTTCTCACAAGCACACCCTCAGTCCACACAGCACCCCTGCCAGTCACCTGGTACCCACACCTCCCAAACCAAGGTGAGCTGCCTCCTTCCTCCAGTTCCTTCGAAGCCCTTCCTCCAGCCTGGGCTCCTTCAGCTCAGAGAGGCAGGTGTCTCTGCTTGACACACTCGATGGGCACCCCTGAAGGATGGCATGGCCTACAGCCGCAGCCTCAAAGGGCACGAACCAGTTCTGGCCCAGCTGGTTCCGCCTCTCCTGGCCTGGCCCCTTCCCTCCAGACAGCCCCTACCCTCGCTCCACCCTGCACGGGGGCGTGCACAAAAGGCAGTTCAGTGGGTCACCGTCCTCTCTCTCAGCCTCCACCTCCGCTCTCCCCTGCAACACCTGGAGGAATGCAGGCCCACCTGCCCGGCCGCAGTGCCGTGGCCACGTGGCCAGGACAGAGGGGCAGCCTGAGGTGCTCCCCCCGCGCGGGGTCGGCCAGGAGGGCAGAGCAGTGGTGACCGTCTCTGACTCTGGAACAGAAATGAGGGCTCCGAGTTCCTTGCTCACAGCTACCCCGCAAGGCTACCCAGCAGGCATTACCTGCCCGGGCGGACGGGTGGAGGGACTGAGGCTCAGGGTGTCCTGCCCAGGTCACGGAGCAGAGCCCCAGGTGCGGAGTTCCTGGTGCAGCAGCTGCACCCTGGTGGACAGTCGGCCCAACCTTTCTGGTAAGCCAACAGGGCCCAGGCTTTTTAAAAAAACATATTCTTTTTTTTTTTATCTTCAAGGACACTCAAGGACACGTTTTGTTTTTTGCATTTCAGATACAGCGGGAGGGAGAGAGGGAGGAAGAGAGAGAGAGAAACATCAATGTGAGAGAGACACATCGAGTGGCTGCCACCCTCAAAACCCCAACCGGGGCCGGGGACGAACTGCAACCGAGGTACGTGCCCGTCGCGGGAACCGAACCCGGGTCTCTCTGGACCGCAGGCCGACGCTCTAGCGGCTGAGCCAAACCGGCCAGGGCGGGCCCAGGCCTCTTTACTTCATCCGCACAGAGGGTGGCCCTGAGGCTCAGAGGAAGTCCCTGAGCAGAGCACAGAGGGTGGCCTGCAGCGCGGGTCCCCAGCCTTCTCCCCACAGGCCCTCACGGCCCCCTCCCTGCACAGCCGGGGTTCTGCCTTTCACAGGGTCTGCAAGCAGGCCCAGGCCTCAGTGATCCCAGGTGTCCAGCCTCCTCCAGCGTGGCCAGGCCTGTCCCCACCTCTAGTCACCATGGGCCTGAGGCAGGGACCTCAAAAACCCTGGGCTCCTGAGCCCACTGTGGCCTCTCCGCGACGGGCAGGGGCCCTGAGAACCAGCAGACCTGGTGTCACGGTCCAGGGCCGAGCTCTGCAGGCCTGTGAGCACTTTGTGGGGGCAGGGGCCTTGGTGCCCAGGGAGGGGGGTGGCAGAACAATCAGCTCCCAGAGCAGGTCCAGAGCCTACCTGGGGGTGGGGACTACCAGCCAGCTTAACTCAAGGTGCCCACTGTCCAGGGAGGGGCTGGACCGCACGCTCTGAGAGGCCTGCCCAGTGAGGAGCCCCTGCTTCTGGAAGGACAGGAGTCCACTCTGGCTTCTCTGCCCAGCCGTGGAGGGCCCCTGTCCAAGGCACACTCATGTGAACCCCCTTTCGCTCCATCCTTCCTTCCTTCCTTCCTTCCTCTAACCTGCTCCCCGTCAGAACACGGCCGCACATGCTGCGGCTCAGGCGCCGGCCACTTCTCAGTCCCTGCAGAGGGCTCAGACCCTGCATCCCTCCCTCCCGGCCCCTCCCCCACTGTGCACTCCCCCACCCAGGCCTCTGGTCCCAACCTTCCTGCCCTCCCTCGCGTCCCTGTTCCCTCTGCCCACACGCCCTCCCTCTCCTCTCCCCTTGCCAGCGCCCTTGACACCCAGGCTTGTGTCAAGTGCCTCTCCTGAGCCCTGGGGTTCCATGTGTCTGCCTTCTCCCTGCTCCTGGCTGGGGAACTCAGGAGCTGGGTCTGGGTCCCACCTTCTCAGGGTCTCCCACACCTTGGACAGACAGGGCCTAGGTTCACGTCTGAATCACAGACTCATAGGACACAGAGCAGAAGGGTCGAGGGGAACCTCCACCCCCTGCACTCAGGCAGATGGGGACGCTGAAGCCCAGAGAGGGGCAGGGACCTGCCAAGGTCACACAGCAAGCTGGAGCCAGACCCTCTGCTCTCCCTGTCCTTGTCTGTCCTTGAGTCCACAAGTCCGACCAGCAGCAGTCCCCGACGCACACCCCACACGAGTCACTGTTCTGTTGAGCCCCGTGGGGTAGACACGGAGCAGCAGCTCCACACGACACACGTCCCAGGCCAGTGCTTAGTCCATCCAGACCCTTCCTCATGTCCAGATGGAGAAACAGGCTCAGAGAGCAAAGCAGCTTGCCCAGGCTCACACAGCCGAGTCTACACCCTGACCTCAGACTCAGTGGACGGAGACCTGACCGCAACTTACCTAGTCCCCAAGTTGTCCGGGGTGGTCCCCAAGCTCAGGTCCGGCCGGCCGTCTTGCGGGGCCTCTCTGCTGGCTGGCATGCTGGGGTCCTTGGGGGACAGCTGCGTGGCGTCTGCCTCGGGCATCTGCTGAAGAGAGCTCAGTCTCGCTGTGTGAGCTTGGCCCTGTGGGCAGTGGGGGGGGGGCATGGGCGGGGGAGGCCACTGGAGTGGCCCAAAGAGGCCATTTCCTCCCTATTTTTAGAAGCTCACAAGGTCCTCAGTGGTGAAGTTGTTCAGGATTGAAACTTTCCTTTTCTTGGTGGTTTTGTTCCACTCAAGACGAGGAGAATTTCAATGAAGCCAGTGTTCTTTCGTATGCAAATCCGCTCCCATCCTCCCAGGAAGCCCCGGCCAATCCTCAGCACCAGGCTGCACCCCGGCCCTGGTGGGGGCTCACCCCAACTGCCACATTCTGCAGTTGCCTCGTCACTGGATGGGGCCCCAGGGACAGAGCTCCCTGCTCAGCCCGCCACCCCCAGGCGCACACCGGAGCCGGCACCGGGGAGCCCCAGGTGCTGCTCTCCAGAAGACACTTCCAACCTGAGCACGGCACTGAGGCAGACCTGACATAGGGGCCCCGAGAAACACGGCCTGTCCTTCAGCTAAGGAAAGAGCAGTGTTAATGGTGGGTGTGCTGGCGTCCACACACAGATGAGGGGTGGGGATGACACCAGACGTACCCCCTGGCAGACGCTCTGTGTGTCAGGAACAAAGTACCACACACCGGGGGGCTTAACACAATAGACGCTTATTCTCTCACCATGATGGAGGCCAGATGTCCAACATCAAGGTGCAGCAGGGCCCCGCTCCCTCCAGGGACGTGAGGGAAGGGTCTCCTCTGGGTGGTCGGCAGGCCCGACGTTCCTTGGCTATCTCTGCTGCCATCTTCACAGGGCCGTCTTCTCCGTCACTTCTTGACCAATGACATCAGTAAAGACCCAGCTTCCAAATAAGGTTATATTCCAAGGCTCTGGAACACGTTCAACCCAGATAACTGCACACAGGAGGTGCTGGCAGAGTCCTATGTCTCCAGAAGGGGTCAGTGAGTCCAGCCGGGATGCTTGGGGGACGAGGGCTGCTGGCTGGAACCAGATGTGCTTGGGGGACCAGTACAGTGTGGCGAGGTGGGGCCCAGCCCCTGGTACGCTCTCCAGGGACAGTGCATGGACGGCACAGGCATTCCTACCTCGAGACTGGGTACCCCTGAAGTCACAGGTAAAGTGCGGGGGGTGTCTAGGAGAGGGCTCCTAGCCCTCTGCAGATCTTCAGGTCTGCACGGGACAGCGAGGAGCCACAGGCAGTGAGCCCCCGGGCCTTGGCGTTACACAGACCCGGTTCAACTCCTGCGTCTTCTGCGCACTTGCTGAGTGGCCTGGGCAAGGGGCTCCACCTTTGCACCCGAGTGTCGTCCTGAGGGTGGGTTAGCAATCACACCTCTCAGAGGTGTGGGTGAGGAGCCAGCTGGGAGGACGGGGGGCCGGGTCGGCACTGCCATACGTCGGGGTGGCAGCCTGGTTTCTGCTGCCTGCCTGTCCCCTTCCCTCCACTGGTGCCCAGTGGGGGCACGAAGGCAGAAACAAAGGCGCCCAGAAGCTGCAGATCTGGAACTGGAGGATGCTGGGAGCATGCAGAGCCGGTATTTCCTCTCCGAGAGATTAGATAGGACGCCTGGAAGGAGCAGAGGCTGGCGAGAAGGGAGAGGGAGAATGAGGGTATGTGGGGCAGGGCCTCGAGGAGTCCTTGACACAGGAGGGAGGGGCCTGGAAGGACTCAGAAAACAGAGTGTGCCGAGGGTGAACCCCTGCCCTCCATCAGCTGTGGGCCGAGTGACCACCATGAGCAGGCCCCAGCATAATGAAGTCTGAGAGCACGTGCCCCTGCCCAAACCATCCAGAGGCACGTCTCCTTCTGTGTCCTTGGTGGGTCCAGAAGGCCCTCTGGCCTCACCTCCCACGTCTCTTACCCCTAACCCCGCCACCCTGGCCTCCGTTCTGTTCTTCTGCCTTGGGGCCTTAGTACGGAGTGTCCCTGGGCCTGGAAGGCACCATCCCCACGAGTCAGCTGACTCCTTTACTTCCGTCTTCACCCTGACATCTTACCCCCAGCGAGGTCCCCCCACCCATCCGAAACCGCGCCCGCACTGCCACCTCACTCCAACATATTGTCTCTTATCACCTGCCCGTCGCTCCCGGAAGGCAGGTGCTTCTGTCCCTCTAGTCCCTTCTCTGACCGCAGTGCCTGGCGCAGAGTAGGTATGCGGCAAACACTTGTCGGAGGAATGCTCTGTGCGCAGTGGGTGTAGCTGCGGCTCAGCTGTGGACCCCAACATAATGATACATAGCAAACAGCCTCTTTTGGGAACGGTTCCTGGGGGTCTGCAGGCAAGAAGGGGGCTCTGTGGTTCAACCTGAAGACATGCTGTTTGGTTACTAACGAAAAAAGGGTGATCAGGAAGGCTGAGAAAAACAGCCTGCAAAAAGAAATGATGGCATGAGCTGGGGTGTGGTGTGACGTCAACAATGAAATGGAAAACGGTCCGTCCTCAGCGCCAAGCCCCCAGCTTACAGCGGAGGGGAGCGGTCACAGCGAAGCCCCCGCTGACTTGCCGGCCGCCAACTCTGACAATCAAGACCAGGCTCCGAACCCCCTTGGTGACTCTGGCCAAACCTGCCTCTGGGGCTGCACATCACTTAATCTTTCCGTCATCTTGACTCACTTTTTTTTTTTTTAATCCTCATCCGAGGACATTCTTCCATTTTCCGTTCAGATAGAGTGGGAGGGAGACAGGGAGAGAGCGAGAAACATCGACGTGAAAGGGACACATCGAGTGGCTGCCACCCACACGACCAACCAGGGCCGGGGACAAACTGCAACCGAGGTACACGCCCTTAGCGGGAACTGAACGGGGTTCTCTCGGGACCGCAGGCCGATGCTCTAACCGCTGAGCAAAACCGGCCAGGGCATCTTGACTCACTTTTAAAATTTAAAAAGTGAGGCCCTGGATGGGTAGCTCAGTTGGTTACAGCATCATCCCAATATACCAAGATTTCAGGTTCCACCTCCAGTCAGGGCACAAAGAAGAATCAACCAGTGAATGCACAAATACGTGGACCAACCAATCAACCTCTCTCTCTCCCCCATGCCCTCTCTAAAAATCAATTTAAAATGTTTTTGTTTTGTTTTGTTTTAATCCTCACCAGAGGACATTTTCCCATTTTTTTGTTCAGATAGAGTGGGAAGGAGAGAGAAGAACAGAGAGAGAGAGAAACATCGACGTGAAAGGGACACATCGAGTGGCTGCCACCCGCACGACCAACCACGGCCGGGGACAAACTGCAACCGAGGTACGTGCCCTTAGCGGGAACCGAACCCGGGTCTCTCAGGACCGCAGGCCGACGCTCTAACCGTTGAGCCAAACCGGCCAGGGCTTAAAATGTTTTTAATCGACTCCAGTTTCATCCTCAGCAGTGAGGTCTGTGAAACCACAATGGAAGGACTCAGGATACACACGTGTGCACACGTATTTCCCAAGCATGCTACAGTTAGCATGGAGCCATGCTGTCACATGTCCACACACCACCTCTGATATCTGACCATATGACACTTCCGGAATCTGCTCTAGGAAGTTAAAATTTTGTCTTCATTAGAGAACGTAGATGTCTCACGGTCATGCCGTGGATGTTGAGAACAGCTGACAGAGGAGGGGGGTAAATGGGCCGCTCGCACCCTCACATGACGCCCAGGGCGGGGCACACTGTGAGAGCGGATGGGGAGAGGGGGCCACGCTGGTCAAATACAGGCGCCAAGCACAGAACCAGGAGTCAAAGCGCAACGATGGGGAGGGGAGCGGAGGGTGACCGGCTGCATCGCTACAGCCTCTCAAGGAAGGTGTTCAGAACAGAACCGGTGACAGAACACAGAACAGGTGTTGAGGGGCTGCGGCAGGGGAGGGCTGTGTGTTTCCAGCCTCAGCGCTCCCGGCCACTTTTGTTCCATGTGTATGTGATGCTAACACAAACTTTTTATTATGTTTTTAATTTCAAAACGCTGCAGTCAGGCTCCGGTGGGGGCCTCAAGATCCAGGCCCAGGGCTAAGGCAGGACTACGAGCCTCTGCTGGCCCCTGGTGGCCACAGAACCTCCCACCTGCCTGTTTCCAAGGAAAACTACGGACCCTGCAGTCAGCACCTTCCTGTGGGCCCCAGACATCTGGTCTGAAAGCCCAGCTGTGAGACCCCTGTGCACCCGAGGGCTCGGTGCCCCAGGAGGCAGCCCCGTCCTCTCGGGTCCCTTTCTGCACTGTGTGTGGGATTTGGGAACAGGGGTCAGAGCTCAGCTTCCTCCAGCTCTACATAGAACCAGCGGTTTTTGAGCTCAACCCCTCTCTCCAGGAGGCAGATTCTCAGAGAATAAGGCCACCAGGACAGCTCTCCTGCCAGCAGGCACATAGATTCTAGTGAGTAGAAACAGGGCTGGGAGGGGGTGACGTGCCCACCTAAGACCAGGCCCTTCGGGGCAGGAGGTCTGGGCAGAAGAGGAGGCAGCAATGCCCTCCCCAAAAGAGGCACCTTCTTCCCTCGGCTGGCGAGAGCTGGGTCGAGGACCACGCGCCCTGCGTGGATCGGGGTGGTACAGGGCAGAGGCTGAGCACACTGGTTCTTGGATTAGCTATGTGACCCAGGCCAAGTCACCTCACTTCTCAGTCTCGGTTTCCTCATCTGTAAAATGGGGAGTCTTGTTGCGAGGGATAGAAACCCCAACTGAAACCAGCCTAGCAAAAAGACAACAAAATAACTCATGCAACCCAAGACGAAGTCAACACCTAGATAAGACTGAGGCAGCGCTGGGTCTGCCCCTGGACAGACTCACACCTCCTCACGGAGACGGGAAGGACACAGCAGTCAGCTCCCCCCTTTCTCCTTCTGAGGAATGGTCCAAGGGGCAGAGCCCGGCCTGTCTAGACGGCCTGGGTGACGGCTGAGACCTGTGCTCTGCTGTGAAACAGCCGGCAGCTCAGAGACGCGCTCCCCACCTGTCTTCGCTTTCCTCCCTTCCTCCTCCTTCCCCTCCTCACTTCCTTCCCCTCACTTCTGTGCCCTGGGATCCGCTCCCCACAGAGCCTCAGCACGAGCAAACAAGGCACCAGACAGCTGCTGACAAGCTGTGTGCCCTTGGACACCTGACTGAGCCTCTGCACTTCCATCTTCTCCCCCGAGGGCGTTACGCGAGTCAAACACTCGGGGAGCACTCCCGGCGTGGACACTTTATTACCGGAAAGTTCGGCACTGGGACAGAGGCAGGTCACCGCGAGGAAAACGGAGGTTTAGGCGACTCTCCTGGGCTCTCCTGGGGGCGCAGGGTGCCGTTGCTCCATGAGGCTGAGGAGTGGGCTGCGGCTGAGGACCCCCAACACTAGGGAGCTCCAGCGGGGGCCTGCTCTGAGCCTGGGGACCTCTCTAGCTTCTGCCGGGGCTCGTTATCTGTGACGTCCCCCAGAGGATGGTGGGAAACGGAGAGCACGGAGGACAAGCCGAGGCCTGCGTCCTGGTGCGTGGCCCAGGCAAAGGAGCCAGGCTGGGGCAGGTCCGCGCGGCTCAGCACGGGAGCTCACGTGCGAGTGTGCAATTCCGCCTTCAAACCCACGTCCTACTGAGTGACGCACATGCACAGCCAGGCAGTGGTGGGCGGAAACAGGGAGCATCTTCAGCGGAGCCAGGCTGGGGCCTGCTGGGTTCCAGCTGAGCCTGTGCTCTCCCAGCCCCTGCTCCTTCGTGACCAGAGGGCAGAGGTGGGAAAAACAGGTGCCCGGATAAGTTCACACTCAGGTGTGAGGGGCTGCTTCCTGGCCCGATGGTGCTGGCAGCCCTTTTCTTTTTTGAAGGGTTGGGAGGAGAGAGGTGGAGGGAGAGGAGGTGAGGAGGCGGCAGAAATGTGGAAGAAGAGGAGAGAGGGGAAGGGAGGGAGTCGGGGAAGGAGAAACTCAGAGCCTGGCCTTTGAAACAAGGACAAGGAGGAAGTCACCCTGGTGCCACTTGTGCCCAGAGCTGTGCCAGGTGCCCACATCCATGTGCCTCCTCATTGTCACCCTTGCGGTACAGGGGGCCACTTGGGGCTGGGAAATGCCAAGTCCCACAGGTGGGACTAGCGTATTCATCAGAGGATGGGGGTGCAGAGGTCACATGGACCGGGTCTTCCCTGCTTGTTCTCAGGGACTCGGTGGCCCGCAGTGTGAGGCATGCACCGCTGAAGGGATCGGTGTTTTCTCTCCTGGCGCCTGACAGTTTAAAACAATACCCCCCATTCTTTACAGGGGTCTCCCTGAGGCAGAACCCAGGCAGACCTTGACTTCCCACCCCCCTGAGAAGGCAGTGAGCCGCATGGGGAACACCCCATCCTGGCTGATTGGGAACAGGTGGGGTCAGCCTGGATTGGCCCTTTCTGAGGACTCCGGAGTCAGCTGGGGACCTTCTGAGCACCTGTGGCTGTTTCCCATGGTGTGTAGGGAACATTCACACTGCAGCCTGGGGTGGGGTAGAAAGGGGCACCGGGGTGGGGAGGGCCCAGGTAAAGAGGCTGGACATCCACTGTCTCCCCTCATCCAGGCCTCCCTTGCTCACCGCCTCTAGGAAGTCTGCCAAATGCCGCTACATGCTCCATCTTCCCTGGTACGTTCCACGGAGGCTCCTCCCCACCCCTGTCCGCTAACGGCCACTGGTGCGAGCCTGGCGCTATGGGAGCCTGAACTTCCTGCTGACTGAGGCCTGATCACACACTGGGGCAGGCGGGTGCAAGTCAGCAGGGCCACGAGTCCATCTCTGCGTCCCTCCAGCGCAGATCAACAGGCACCTGGGACCCCGGCAGGTGGAGGCCGGGGGCCTAGGGAGGTAGGTCCACCTGGAAGGAGTTACAGCCCAGCTGGGGAGGGAGCCTCAGACGCTCTAACAGTGGAAAGAGGACTGTGGGTAAACCAGGCCGTGCTGTGTGAGCGGGTGTGCCGCGGTGTCGATGCGTGTCCCCTCATTCGATCCCACACCACCACCACCACTCCCGGTACTTTACAGGTAAGGACGCCCAGACACACAGAGGGAGCAAACGACACAGCCGGGCTTTGGGCCATCATCAGTGTGAGTGACACAGCACAAGGAGGCCCTGTCCTGGGGGGTCAGAGGTGGCGTCCTGGTGAAGGTGAGTTTTCAGTGAAGGAGGGAGTGGTCTGGAGGCTCCCATTTTGTGGGACTAACGCTTCTAGAAACAATGGTGCGGGAGCAGAAAAGCGCCAGGCGTGAGTGGTGGAGAGTGCGTGGGCCCGGGGAGGACTAACTGCGGGGACATATGCGTTCACAGGTTTGAGACCTTAACTGCCAGCTTAGGGTCTGGGGCTCAGCCCCTGAAGATGTCCCTGTCGTGTCACCACAAACCTGTGAACATTAACTTACCTGTCACAAGGGACTTTGCAGGTGTGATCCAGCTGAGGGTTGGGAGATGGGAAGAGGCTCTGGGATCATCCAGCTGGGCCGACATAGTCACCGGGATACTTACAGAGGGAGGCAGGAGGATCAGAGTGAGTGAAGGAGATGTGAGGTGGACACAGAATCAGAGAGATGGAGATCTCAAGATGCTACATTGCTGGCTTTGAAGATGGAGGACGAGGCCACGGGCCAAGGAGGGCAGGCGGCTTCTAGAGGCCGGAAAGAGGAAAGCAATGCATTCTTCTGTGCTAGCCTCCCAGAAGAATGCAGCCCTGCTAATAACACCGTAACTGCAGCCCGGTGGAAACCATGTTGGAATTCTGACCTCCAGAACTGGAAGGGCACGGAGCTGGTGGCATCTTGTTGCCACAGCCACAGGAAGCAAATACAGGGCTCTGGGCTGCAGTGTGAGGCCCTGGGCCTTCCAGCAGCCTCATCTCATGGGCCATATTTACCGGGCACCTCCCCCATGAGGCACTGCACTGGGTCGCGGGGAGATAGTGGCAAAGGAGAGACGCAGCCCCTGCCTTGGGTGCAGCTACGGTGTCAGTGGAGGTCGCTCCACCCCACGATGGGGTGCCAAGATGAGCTGATTATCTCTACCCAGCAGCCTGAACAGAACAAGTTCCCACCTGGCAGTTCAGGCCCTTTGCTTAGCTGAGAAGGGAGTTATCGGAACGGCTCCTAGGACAGTGCTTCTCAGCAGACGTGTCAGCCGCCGGTTTGTGCCCACTGATGCCCGCTGCCCTTTCTCCCAAGTGCAGTCCAAGGGCCTCCTGGGCACAAGGGGGTCCCGCAGGGGGTTTCTCAGAGCACCGAGCAGGCGTCTCTATGGTGGGAGGAGGCAAGAGGGGCAAGTCACCCCCAACGGAGCCAGCAATTCCACTCCTGGGCTTATATCCAACAAAACTGAACATCCACGCACCAAGAGACACACTAAGAATGCTCACCTCAATCGCCCCTGGGAACGACTCCAGTGTCCACCAACGGCAGAGTGGGAGCTTAAGTGTGATCGTCACACAACAGAGCATTGACCAACAAGGAGAGCGAACTTGTCAAAGTCGGCAACGCAGGCAATTCTCACCAACCTGATGATGAGCCAAAGCCGAACACCTATTACATGACCCCAGTGACAGAATGTTCACAGAGGCACAATGAACCTATATTAGAAGTCAGAACAGGGGCTCCCCTTGGTGGGGTCCACAGTGGTTGGGAGGTGGCACAGGGGGCTTCGAGGGGTGCTGGTAATGGTCTCAATCAGGACAGGACTTAAATACAAGTGTTTACTCTGTAATAGCTCATTGAACTGTACGCGTACAGCTTGTGCATTTCCTATGTGTGCATTATTTTGCAAGGAGAAGTTTATTTTAGAAGTATCAATGGGCATGTTACAGTAAGTAGGGTATTTTGGTGGTGAGTGGTGTGTGTGGGGGGGAGCATTGGCTGGGAGCTGCCTGGACTAAGATGCTGTGTGACCCTGGACAAATGGCGTAAGCCTTCTTGGATGTTTCCTCATCCTAACTTTGGGAGGGTGTGTATGTGGATTATACGACTTTGCAGAAACTCTACAAAATGCTTGAATTGTGGCTAATTTGACTCCTCGTATATAAAGAACCAGGACTTCGTTGGAACTGGAGATGCTCCCTGTGCGAGGAATTCCAGTGGCCCAGTTATGTTACTTTGGTGCAGAGGCAGGTGTGTGGTGGACGGGAAAGAACATGTGGACTCTGGGAGCGTTCAGCCCGGGTTAGAGTTCCGGTCCCCATCTTAGCGGCACGTGAACATCACCTCTCTGAGCCTGTTTCCCACTGGTAAGTTGGGGACAGTTGTGCTCACTCTGCTGGGCGGGTGCGGAGATTATGTGCAAGTGCCCAGCTGTTGGGAGGCACGGCTGCTTTCTCTACGGCCAGGGAGGGCCCCTCAGTTAGGCAGGTCTTCTGCCGGAACCTGTCAAAGTTGTGTGGTCATTCTGACAGCATGGTGATCCCAACGAAAGAGCAGAGCCCCCGTGCAGGTGCTGAGACTGCGGCTCACCCAGGGGGAGCCAGGCCTGCTGCCCCTGCCCCAGGGCCTTGGGAGGCTGGGGCTCAGGAGGGATCAGTGCCCTGGGGGGGGGGGGCAGTCTTCACCCCCTGCAGGGCCGCCTAGTGCTCTGTGGACTTGCTCCCAGCAGGTGCCAGTAGTGGAACCCCTGTCCTGTGTCAGATCTGGGCCTCGCTCAGCCAGGGGCTGCTGACAGCAGGACGGTGGGGGGGGAGTCCTGGGGACGGTGAAGGGTCCTGACACGCGGGGAGGGGGGCACAGCTGCAGAAGTTACTGAGGTTCTCACGTAGGTCAGAGACTAGGGGCCTCGGGCACCGGCTTTGCTAATCCACCGGCTCTGTTTCTCCAACCCTGACTCTTTCAGAGAGCCCAGACCTGCTGACTGCCAGACTTGTCCTGTGTGCGCGCGTGTACACACGAGTACACACACACATCTACACACATATACACACACACCTACACACACACCTACACACGTACACACACATCTACACACGTCTACACACACATCTACACACGTCTACACACACATCTACACACGTATACACACACACCTACACACGTACACACACATCTACACACGTCTACACACACGTCTACACACACATCTACACACGTCTACACACACATCTACACACGTCTACACACACATCTACACACGTATACACACACATCTGCACACGTATACACACACCTACACACGTACACACACACCTACACACGGATACACACACACACCTACACACGTATCTACACACACATCTACACACACACCTACACACGTATCTAACACACACACCTACATACACACCTACACACATATCTAACACACACACCTACATACACACCTACACACGTATACACACACATCTACACACGAGTATACACACACACATCTACACACGTCTACACACACGTCTACACACGTCTACACACACATCTACACACGTCTACACACACATCTGCACACGTATACACACACACCTACACACGTACACACACGTATACACACGTATACACACACACCTACACACGTATCTACACACACACATCTACACACACACCTACACACGTATCTAACACACACACCTACATACACACCTACACGCGTATCTAACACACACACCTACATACACACCTACACACGTATCCACATACATCTACACATGCATCCACACACGTACCTACACACATGTGCACACGTATACACACGTGTACACACACGCACACACCTCTACGCTCCGGAAAACAAACGGAAAGAGCAGGAAGTGGAGCTGAGACAACCAGCAGGAGCCCCTCTCTCACCCTCCGGGGGCAGCACAGGGGGCAGTGCCGTCCCCTGGGGGGGCCGACCCCTCAACCACAGGGCCGCGGACTGCAGGCCTGGGTCGTGCTCAGGGGCCGGGGCACAGCGGCGGGCCCTCCCGGCCGGGGCGCTCCCCCAGGTGCCAACTGGGCGTAGGGCGGCCGGGCGCTATCGCAGGGCGGCAGCCGGCGTCTGGGACACGCTGCCCCCCCCCCCCCCCCCGAGACCGCGCCGAGGCCGCCCCGCCCCCGGCCCCGCCCCCGGCCCCGCCCCCGGCCCCGCCCCGTGACCGCCCGAGGCTCCCCCCCTCCCCCCCCCCCCCGCGCGGCCCCGCCCCTCCCCCAGCACCGCCCCATGACCGCACCGAGGCCGCCCCGCCCCCGGCCCCGCCCCCGCCCCGTGACCACACCGAGGCCGCCCCGCCCCAGGCCCCGCCCCCGCCCCGTGACCACACCGAGGCCGCCCCGCCCCCGGCCCCGCCCCATGACCACACCGAGGCCGCCCCGCCCCAGGCCCCGCCCCGGCCCCGCCCCCGCCCCGCCCCCGCCCCGTGACCACACCGAGGCCGCCCCGCCCCGGCCCCGCCCCCGGCCCCGCCCCGTGACCGCCCCGCCCCCCCAGCGGCGCCGGGAGGCGGCCGGGCTTCCGGAAGGTTCTGGGCGTTTGTGGCGTCACCGTCCCCACGGAAACTGCGGCCGCGGAGATAAAAGCCGCCGCGGGGCCCGGGCCCAGGAGCGGCGGCGGAGGGACAGCCCGCCGGCGGGATTGTGACGCGGCGGCGCCGTGACGCGGCCGTGACGCGCCGGGCGGGGGCCGGGCGGCCGGCGGCGAGGGGCGCGCGGGGCCGGGGCTGGGCCGCCGCCGGCAGGATGGTGAAGGAGACGCAGTACTACGACATCCTGGGCGTGAAGCCCAGCGCGCCGCCCGAGGAGATCCGCAAGGCCTACCGCAAGCTGGCGCTGCGCTTCCACCCCGACAAGAACCCCGACGAGGGCGAGAAGGTGGGCGGGCGGGGGGCGTGAGTGGGGGGGCGTGGGGGCGTGAAGGGGGCGGGGGCGCGGGCACGTGTGGGAAACTGAGGCGCGCGGCCGGCAGTGCGCATGCGGGAGCCTGAGCGCTGGAGGCGCGGGGTGTGGTCGGTGCCGGGGACACACCTGCGGACACGGGGACGCGTCCCCCTCCGCGCCTGGCCTCCGCGCTGCCCTTCTCCTGGAGCACTGGGGTGGCCCCGGCGGCTGGGGGGAGAGGGGTTTTCGCAGGGGCTGATAGCAGTGACTCTGGGACACGTGTGACGTCACAGGTGACCCCAAACGCCTGTCTGCCTCAGTGGCTGCAGCCGGCTGCTTCCGGGAGGCGGCCGCGAGCTCTGGGTCTTCGCATGGAGCCGCCCTGCGAGGGGCCGGTCCGGGGCCCGCCTCCCTGGGCGGCTGCCCTCCTGGGGGGCTCCTCTGGGGGCTGTCTGCGCTGTTCGGGGCCCGTGGGCCTGCTCCCCGCGGTCACTGCGAGCTCGGGGCCTCTCCGGAGCGGAGCGCGGGGGCTGGCTGCAGGGCGGCGGGACCACTCTGCGGGTGGACGTGACCTGCACGCGTTTCCAAGGGGCCCCTGCATCCCCGTCTGAGCAGGAGCACAGGGGGGCCCTGCATCCCCGTCTGAGCAGGAGCACAGGGGGGCCCTGCATCCCCGTCTGAGCAGGAGCACAGGGGGGCCCTGCATCCCCGTCTGAGCAGGAGCACAGGGGGGCCCTGCATCCCCGTCTGAGCAGGAGCACAGGGGGGCCCTGCATCCCCGTCTGAGCAGGAGCACATGGGGCCCCTGCAACCCCGTCCGAGCAGGAGCACAAGGGGCCCCTGCATCCCCGTCTGAGCAGGAGCACAGGGGGCCCTGCATCCCCGTCTGAGCAGGAGTACAGGGGGGCCCCTGCATCCCCGTCCGAGCAGGAGTACAGGGGGGCCCCTGCATCCCCGTCCGAGCAGGAGCACAGGGGGCCCTGCATCCCCGTCCGAGCAGGAGTACAGGGGGGCCCTGCATCCCCGTCCGAGCAGGAGCACAGGGGGCCCCTGCATCCCCGTCCGAGCAGGAGCACAGGGGGCCCCTGCATCCCGTCCGAGCAGGAGCACAGGGGGCCCCTGCATCCCCGTCTGAGCAGGAGCACAGGGGGGCCCTGCTCCCCGTCTGAGCAGGAGCACAGGGGGGCCCTGCATCCCCGTCTGAGCAGGAGCACAGGGGGCCCCTGCATTCCCCGGTCTGAGCAGGAGCACAGGGGGCCCTGCATCCCCATCTGCGCAGGAGCACAGGGGGGCCTGCATCCCTCCATTGAGCCAGGAGCACAAGGGGCCCCTGCCTCCCTGCTCTGAGCAGGAGCACAAGGCTGGCCCCTGCATTCCCCGTTGAGCAGGAGCAACAAGGGGCACCTGCATTCCCCGTTCCTGCGGCAGGAGCACAGGGGGCCCTGCATCCCCGTCTGACCGCAGGAGAACAAGGGTGCCCTGCATCCCCGTCGAGCCAGGAGAGGCACAAGGGGGCCCCTGCCATCCCCGTTTCCTAGGCCAGGAGCTACAGGTGGGCCCCTGCATCCCCGTCTGAGCAGGAGCACAAGGGCACCCTGCATTCCCCGGTGAAGCAGGAAGCACAAGGGGCCCCCTTGCATCCCGGTTCTGAGCAGGCGCACGGGGGGCCCTGCATCCCCGGTCTGAGCACGGAGCACGGGGGGCCCTGCATCCTCGTCTGAGCATGCGCACAGGGGGCCCTGGCATCCCCGTCTGAGCAGGAGCACAGGGGGCCCTGCATCCCCGTCTGAGCAGGAGCACAGGGGGGCCCTGCATCCCCGTCTGAGCAGGAGCACAGGGGGGCCCTGCATCCCCGTCTGAGCAGGAGCACAGGGGACACCGTGCATCCCCGTCTGAGCAGGAGCACAAGGGGCCCCTGCATCCCCGTCTGAGCAGGAGCACAGGGGACACCGTGCATCCCCGTCTGAGCAGGAGCACAGGGGGCCCCTGCATCCCCGTCTGAGCAGGAGCACAAGGGGCCCCTGCATCCCCGTCTGAGCAGGAGCACAGGGGGCCCTGCATCCCCGTCTGAGCAGGAGCACAAGGGGCCCCTGCAACCCCGTCTGAGCAGGAGCACAGGGGGCCCCTGCAACCCCGTCTGAGCAGGAGCACAGGGGGGCCCTGCATCCCCGTCTGAGCAGGAGCACAAGGGGCCCCTGCAACCCCGTCTGAGCAGGAGCACAAGGGGCCCCTGCAACCCCGTCTGAGCAGGAGCACAAGGGGCCCCTGCAACCCCGTCTGAGCAGGAGCACAAGGGCCCCCTGCATCCCTGTCTGAGCAGGAGCACAAGGGCCCCCTGCATCCCTGTCTGAGCAGGAGCGCAGATACTTATTTACGACCAGCACTGTGTAGGCCTTTTCTGTTTGGTGTGAGTGAGTCCGTGTGTAGCTCTTGTCCACTGTATCTGTCACAGGTGGAACCTTTTTATTTTTTCCTCCTCAGTCTGTCACTGTATTATTAATGTCTCTTCAAAAATAGATTAGGGCAGTCCTTTCCCCTTGCTCCAGGGTAACTGAGACGGCTGTGGGTGTGTGGGCCTTTGTTTTGGGCCCTGTTGTCCTGTTGCTAAGCACTGGGCAGCGTGTGTCTGTTGTCAGGCGCTCTGTGTGGAGTCTGTCCTTATCTCATCTGGGCCCAGTTTCCAAGAGACAGTGGGGTGGCGGGTCAGCGAGCTCGTCCCTTTCAGGGGCAATGATAGGGGTGTATCCTTGGCTCTTAACCGAACCAGCTTTTGAGATGAGTTTGGTCTTTTGGCCAATTTCATTCTAACTTACAGTTTGAATAATAGATTTTTTTTTTTCATGAAAGTTTAAAGAAATTATACAAGAGCATAATAGTGCAGAACATTTCATCATATAGAGGAAAAGCCACCAACTACACATCACCCTAACTGCTACCTCTGTGCTTCTTTTCCAGGATGATCATACGTGGTCATCATGGGCCATACTTTTTTTTTTTCTTCTCACCACATAATATTTTATCACAAATAATTTTTCAAGTTGCTACATAGCCTCCGACCATTCCCCCCCAGCAGCACATTAATTTCATTAAGGTCCTGTGGCAGATTATCACATTCTGGAAGGTGAGCTGGCCACAGCACTGATCTGTAACTCTGACACTGGGCGGAAGGAGGACGCCGAATTCGACTCCAGACCCATTTCCCCCAGGGCAGAATCCAATCCAGATCACAGATTAGTCTTCCTGTCTTAGTTTTGCAGGAAGTCCTTCCATTTGGGTTTTCTGACTCTTCATTTACAGGTGGATTCCAATGATAACATTTTTGGTGGGAATGGTGCACATGGGGTCTTATTTTTTGTCTTAGAGTACTGGAGATGTATCTTTGAAGGTAGTTCCAAAAGGACTTGTTGACAGGTGACATGGGAGGGAGAGAGGTCATTAGGTTTTGGCCTTGCCGATCACTGAGATGTGGAGTAATCTGGGAGGTCAGGACTTTGGGGGACAGTGTAAGTTTGCACATTGTGTCTGCAACCGGCAGTAAACGGTAAAGCAATCCTCACGAGCTGGGAAGCTAGCAGCAGCCCCGGAGACCTGGGCCTTCTCCAGCTGAGTCCCGGCCTGGGCTTACTGCCTCGAGTTCCCCGTGACTTCCTGTCTGGTGCGGCCGGAGTAGGGAGAGATGTCCCTCCCCACTGCTCTCCCTGACTCTCTGCAGTAGCTCTGCATCTGGTCCCTTGGTAATGTGTGCCTGTGTTTCCCACCTTACAAGGGGAGTAGATGGAAAACTCGGGTTCCAGATAGTGGACAGACCAGCTAGTCTGGGGGGTTAGGTGCAGAATACCTCTGATGTCCCATCCATGTGGTAGGTTTACGTAATAACACAACTCAATCCTTATCTGTTGTTAATTGTTCTCTTTTTCTTTTAAAGTTTAAGCTCATATCCCAGGCATATGAAGTGCTTTCAGATCCAAAGAAGAGGGATATTTATGACCAGGGCGGCGAGCAGGCGATCAAGGAGGGAGGCTTGGGCAGCCCCAGCTTCTCTTCCCCCATGGACATCTTCGACATGTTCTTCGGCGGTGGAGGGCGGATGGCTAGAGAGAGGAGAGGTAAATGCTGCTGAAGACTTTGCGCGAGTTGCATAGTTTCCAGACTGTCCATTACTGGGATCAGGACAGATCGTGCCTTAGAAGGGTCTAGTTGTCATCACTTGTCTAGTGCCCACACTACCTGGAATCTCTTAGCATATTTAGCAATAACCTGCCACCCTCCAGACACCATGGATAAAGGAGCAGATGGAGGGGTGAGTAGAAAGGAGGAAGGTCAAGTTCTCCTGAGTGTCCTAAGCAGCAGAGGTTATCAGTGATGACCTGTGGTTATCAGTGATGCCTCTGCCAAGAGGGCTTTTCTTCCTTCCCGCGTGCCCTGCTTCCCACGCCTCCTGACTGGGGCCTTGGGCGCCACCCCTGCCTGGTGCTTGCTGTGTGCAGGGTGGCCGCCTTTCCTTAGCCCCTCAGGAGATTTTCTAGGTAACACATTTTATCCCTTACGTTTGAACATCTTTGTAAAAGAACCTGAGGCCTCCCTCTTCAGAGTTCATTAAGATTAGCAGCTTGGCCCTGGCCGGTTTGGCTCAGCGGTTAGAGCGTCGGCCTGCAGTCTAGAGAGACCCGGGTTCGGTTCCCACTAAGGGCATGTACCTCGGTTGCAGTTTGTCCTGGCCCTGGTTGGTCGTGCGGGTGGCAGCCACTCGATGTGTCCCTTTCGCATCGACGTTTCTCTCTCTCTCTCTCTCTCTCTCTCTCTCTCCCCCTCCCACTCTATCTGAACAAAAAATGGAAAAATGTCCTCGGGTGAGGATTAAAAAAAAAAAAAAAGATTAGCAGCTTGATCCCCAGGAAATGGAGGGCTTTAGTCTTGAGCCGAATGGCCCGAGGCCGTTGTTTTAAGTTCTGGCCTTTGCTCTTCCTCATTGTTCTACCTCTTCCCTCCTGCCAGGCTGTAGGATGTCACCCTGACTGTTCCTCGTGATCTCAGCCCCCGTTCTCCTGTGCAGTGTTACTGCTGATAAACTACTCCGCACCGTGAACCAGATAGGTAGCCAGTGCCAGAGCCCTGGGTAAAAGCAGAACAAAAAAGCTCTGCACTGGGGCTTCTGAAGGCTGGTGTGGGTCCACAAGGGGCCCCACACGAGGCAGTGCGTCTCACAGTGTAGTCGACTCTGAGCTCCAGAAAGCTGGTCTGTCAAGCCTGTGGACAGTATGCTGACCGTCACAGTGTTTATTAAGGAAAAACCCTTGTCCTGTTGCCTGGGTATGTTGCCCGCTCCGATAATTGACAATGAGGATGTGATTAAAACCTTGGCTGTCTCTTGCCCAGCTCTCTCACTGTTGAGATGAACAACTTCTCGCCCTCAAGTCATCTCTCAAAGGTGACAGCCAGTAAACAAGGACAGCCTGTCTCAGTGACTGTGAGCAGCAGCAAGGGTGCTGGTGCTCTGGGTCCTGAGAGGCTTGCACCCCGCAGACAGAAGGGCCCCCCGTCCCAATGCACAGACAAGGTTTCTGCAGATGAAAGAGCTCCCACTTGGCTACGAATGACAGGAGGGTTAAAAATAAAGTGCGTTAGGCTCGAGGAAGCATTTCAGTGAGAAAGGTTGTCACGCGTTCATCTGAGGAAAGGGCTCCTTTCATGGGAGAGACGAGTTAATCCATTTCACTGCAATGTTGCCATAGGTTCCTTGAGTGATCTCTGTCTTCAGATTTGTTTTGGAAATAGAGACGGAAAGTCTCTGTGTTGACATCTATACATGATTCATGAGCTCATAGCTAGAAGGGTATTGTTCTGGTCACTGGCAGAGAGCCAGAGGAGCAAGCCAGGTGTAACAGCAGCACTGGTCCCCACAGGGAGGGGACCGAGGACACGGCACGGCCTTGAGTCTGGAGGCTTCACACACGTGTCGTCCGGGGGGTGTTTAGCACAGTGGCATATTTACTGCGGTATTACTAAATGTTTTTTTTCTTCCTCTTGGTAAGGCAAGAATGTTGTACATCAGTTGTCTGTAACTCTTGAAGATTTATATAATGGAGTCACGAAGAAATTGGCCCTCCAGAAAAATGTAATTTGTGAGAAATGTGAAGGTAAAAATCAATTTTTGAATGACTCTCAAAGTTCTGATACCTTAGATCTGGAAATAATTTTGATTGTGTTATAATTCAGAGAAAGACAATGTATCTTTTCAAATGTGAGGGTCAGACAGAGATGGCAAATAGGTGACCTGAGAGACCAATTGGTTTCGCTGGGCCATGCACAGTTCTTATTTTGACTGCATGTTTATTTAATATGTACTTAATATGTTGACAGTTATTTTTAACACTTAAAAGTCAAGACAGTTCACCCAACCTAGGGGTCAGTAAACTTTTTCGGTAAAGGGCCAGATGGCAAAGATTTTAGGCTCTGTGCGTCACGTGGTCCCTGTCATAACTATTCAACTCTTAGTGCAAAAGCAGCGATAGACAATACATACGCGACCGGACATGCTTCTGTTCCAATAAAGTTTTATTTACAAAACCAGGCAACTGGCCGTAGTTTAATGACCCTTGACTTAAATGTAAATGATGTGATTTTTAAAAAATCTGATTTTTCAAGGTCAGATCCACACTGTCCCACACATAACTGGCTGAGCTGAGTAGCCACCCCTATGGACAGGACTGTGTTCTCCACAGTCCACCCTAGTCGGCCCCCTGTAGGCACAGGTGTTTCCCACCCTGGGATGGAAGAAAATACATGCGGTAGAGCTTTAGTAAGGAATTTGGCTTGGCACAGCCACAAACACGTTTGAGATCCCATGTTAGCTTCTGATTATTTGCTTGGCTAGAACCACCCAGTCACCTGGACATGGCTTGTATGTGTGTAAACAGTCAGAATTCACACCTGTGTCCAAGTAGTGGCTCCTTCCCCTCCTGCTGTGGCGCCAGCGGCCATGCTTCCCGGGGAGGAGCACAGCTGCGTCTGCTCCCCCGCCCGCAGGTGTCGGAGGGAAGAAGGGCTCCGTGGAGAAGTGCCCGATATGCAAGGGCCGCGGGATGCAGGTCCACATCCAGCAGATTGGGCCGGGCATGGTGCAGCAGATCCAGACTGTGTGCGTCGAGTGCAAGGGCCAGGGCGAGCGCATCAACCCCAAGGACCGCTGTGAAAGCTGCGGCGGAGCCAAGGTGGTCCAGGAGAAGAAGACGCTCGAGGTGCACGTCGAGAGAGGTGAGGCTGCAGCCTCCGCCGCCTTCAGCCGCTTTGCAGAAAGTATGGCTTTGAAGAGGAGGGGCTAACAGAAAGGGGTGGTGTTCCACAGGTATGAAAGATGGGCAAAAGATACTGTTTCATGGAGAAGGCGACCAGGAGCCTGAGCTGGAGCCTGGTGATGTCATCATTGTGCTTGATCAGAAGGATCATAGTGTCTTTCAGAGACGAGGCCATGACTTGATTATGAAAATGAAAATTCAGCTTTCTGAAGCCCTCTGTGGCTTCAAGAAGACGATAAACACCCTAGATGACCGAGTCCTCGTTATTACATCCAAACCAGGTAATGGTGTAAATGTTCTGTACGTTTGGCTTAAAACCACTGGCCACACAGCCTGGTTGCACATTCAAGGTTGACTTCTGTCACATAAGTTAGCGACTTGATTTTTCTCTAAGCGTAAAGTCATTATTAATGACTTGAACATTTAATTAATTTTTAAAACATTCTAGAAAAAAAATTCAGAGTAGGGGTAGGGGGAGGAGCCTCAAATAGGAATCTTGGGGGGGGGAGTGGTGTCTAAAAATCTAACTGGAAACTCCCAATTTAACTTAAATTTTAAAGCGAATTTTTGTATACTAAGAAAACACAGCAGTAGGTGTTTTTCTGTCCGTTCTGATTCACCCTCACGGCCCTCGGCTCTGTGCTGTTGAACCAGAGAGACCTTCTACAGTAGAATCTTCCTGACTGCACACTCCCACGGAGCAGGAGGGAGCTGCCCGAGGAACCAAAAGGGTTCTCAAGGGCTCGAGCTCTCGGCCTTCTAGCTCACGTAGACACCGGGCTCCCAGGAGGGCACGAGACCATGTGGGCACCTGCCTAGAAGGGACTGGGGGTGGCAGGCAAAATGTAAAAGGGAGAGAGGCCAGCCTAGGACCTTGACTCGAAGCTGCCTCAGAATAGCTCCTGGGTCACTTGTCCGTCAAGGAATCTGGTGTGGTGGTGGCTGAGCCAATTTGGCACCCTTGAGCCCTTCAGTGGGTGTGAGCAGTGATGCTCTGGTCCCCTGGCTGGCCACAGGCTCAGGGAGCAACTTTCTGTGTGGTCCTGAGATTTAGGGCTAGACGGGTAGACTTTCAGGCCTCCCTCCACCTCCGTTTCATAACCACCTTTCATGCACAGGTGAGGTGACGAAGCATGGGGACCTGAAATGTGTGCGTAACGAAGGGATGCCCATCTACAAAGCTCCCCTGGAGAAGGGCAGTCTGGTCATTCAGTTCCTAGTAAGTGCGTGTGTTTTGTCCTCATGGGATGTATTCAGTGGCTTAATTGGGAAGGGAAGAAACAACTACTCTCTCCCACCTCCCCTCGACAGGTCATCTTTCCTGAAAAACAATGGCTTCCTCTGGACAAGCTTCCTCAGCTGGAGGCTTTGCTCCCTCCTCGGCAGAAAGTGAGGGTCACAGACGACATGGATCAAGTGGAGCTGCAGGAGTTCGACCCCAGCGATCAGAGCTGGCGCCAGCACAGGGAGGCCTACGAGGAGGACGAGGACGGGTCCCGGGCCGCGGTGCAGTGCCAGACGGCGTGACGTGGGCCCGGTGCACGAGCATGTGGCGAATGTCAAGTTGGCACACGGCCTCACTTCCATAGCCTGTTTGGGGTGCCCTGCGTTTGTGTTCAGCATTCTCAATTGCTGAGTGTCTTTCTTGGGTTTTCTTTTGGTTGTGACCTAAGTTATAGCTTAATTTATATTTAAATGTTTTAAGTGTAAACCACCTCTAGTCTGCACATGGAATCTGTTTATGTACATGTCCAGGACCCATCGGAGGTGTCAGTGACCACAGTGCCGCGTTGTGCTTGTCGTGGCTTTGCCGTGATCCCGTCCCACCAATAAAGCACAGCCAAGAGAGCAGTCCCCCAGGCGCCACGCGGGCACCTGGCCCATCTCTGGTCTGGGTTTCTCTCCCCTCCGTCCTGTGGTCGAGGTGCTGAGGGCATGATCTCAGGCCTGCTAATGTGGCATTTGAGTCCCGATTCCAGCTGACCCTCCTCGGGAATAGAGGCCCATCTGTGGACTAGACGTGGCGGCGGCACCTGGCTCACACTGACTGGGCTGCAGGGCCAACCTGGTCTCCAGTGTTCTGTACCCGAGCGAATGGAATGGCGTGTGTGTGTCTGATCACCTCTCTCGGAAGCTACCTGAACCTCCCAAGCCTCATGGTGAAGACAAACCTGTGTTTTAAATGACACACTGACAGACCTGTTTGCCTGTGTCCCCGCACCTTGTTTTTTGTGGTTTTAATGATTTTCTGTTGGTAATTTTTGCAATGCTATCCCACCAAAGTGCTTATCTGTAAAGAAAACGGAGAATTCCGTTTCCCCAGCAGCTTCAGTGCAGCCGCAGAACCGTGGGAGAATGCGAAGTGGGCTCGCCCCAGGGCACAGCACGCTTCCTGGACGGCTTGGGGGTGTGGAGAGGTACAGGACATCTGCCTTCACCTCCGTCTCCCAGACAAGTCCCCTTGCAGAGGACCGCACCACACCCCCAGCCGTGCACAAGGGCTTCCTGCTCCTGCCGGCGGAGTCTGCACTGACCGCTGCAGTCTGACGCCCCTGCGCACGGCGGCCTGTCGGGTGTGTCAGTCCTGGCAGATAGACGAGCGTAAAGTTAGGGTTACCTCTCCTTCCAAAAACACTCATGAAGAAAAACCACCTTCTAAGCTGCTGGGTTAAAGGCCACTTGTTACACCCACCCTCACCTGCGAGTGTGACTCAAACCAGGACTTCCCCTGGGAGAGTCAGGCAGGTCGAGTGCAATCTGCTCAAAGTGGTACAGAGGAGCCCACCTGGCCACTGATCACTGGTCAGGACAGACACAACGTTCCTCTTCCACCCAAGCCCACAAGACGGTCGCTCCGCATGCAGACCACGACTGCCGGTGTCCCGTTCCTGTGCTGTCTCTTATCAAATGACCGCTGGAGGACTGTGCTTGACGGGGGCAGAATTACACCCAGCTCCTTCCTTGTCAGGGACGTGGAATCTGGAGCGTGTTGCTGGAAATTTATTCCACCTGTACATTTGTCACTTTGAAATTAAAGCGGAGCTGGTATGAGACAAATGGCTTTGGTTTTTTATTTCCTGACCTCAAAGAAGTGTTAAGTGCCAGGTCGCCTCTCACTGGTTGATACAACGGAATGAAGTTTCCACTCACGGAGCTTCTACCGGGGCTGGGGGTGAGCAGGGCAGTGGGAAGTGCGGTGAAGAGCGGGAGCGATGGGGAAGGTGCAGGAGCGGGGAAGGCCTCCCCGCGCAGCCCCGAGCGCAGTCTGGGAGAAGTTCCGGCTGAGGAAAGGCTAGGGCCGTGTGGCTGCAGAGGGTGAGCAAGGCATGGAGACCGGAGAGAGGCAGGGCACAGGACCAGGCTCAGGCAGGGCGTTAGGACCAGTAAACAGAACACACGCAGACCAGTCTCAGGCCCAGGGGGCTCCGGAACAATGGGCGGGGCTGCAGTCAACAGCAGGCAGAGGCAGGAGCCTATGGACACTGTGAAGGCAACAGTGTCCGCCAGCACGCTAGAGCCTTCTCTGGGAGTGGGAGGGTGAAGCAGAGTGCGAAAGGGCCATCACTGACGTCCAACAGGAAGTCCAGGGGGAAGGACTAGGACGCCCCCTCCAGTCAGACCCCTATTTCCTTCAGGACCCCCTTGAGTAGATTAGCTTCTGCGTGACCGCGCTCTGGAATCCCAGGGCGAGCCCGTGTTTCTAGGTTGGGAAGGCCAGTGGGTACCTGGATCGCTGTCTCTGAGGCAGACGCTCGCGGTCACGTGACGCCACCGACTCCCGTCACTGTGCTCTGTGAGCAGGCACCCGGAGAGGAGCATGTCCAAGAATTCGGGGTTTGCATTAAGAATGCTTTATGTTAAAGTAGGAACAGCATTTCCAGTAAAATATGAAGAGGTTTATATGGCATCTACAAAGTTTAAGTTCCTGCTATAATAAATGCTGTGTTTCTTTTAAACAAACTAGAAAGATAAGGAATGTTATGTTCAGTCTGCACATTTTCTCTGCAGCTTCAGGGTGGAAGACTTGGACGTTTAAATTGGACAGTCATAGATGTGAATTTCCTGATCATCTCCGACAGACACAATTTTTGAGCCATTTCCATTGTATTTTACTCCCCAGACCTGTAAAAGTAAAAAGAAAAAAATGTTCTGCTAACACTTTATTCTTTTTTTTTTTAAATTCTTTTCTTTATTGATTTTAGAGCGGGAGGGAGAGAGAAACATCAATATGAGAGAGACACATCAACCGGCTGCCACCCACAGCACCCAACTGGGGCCAGGGACGAACCGCAACTGAAGCACGAGCCCCTAGCGGGAACTGAACCCGGGACCCTCCGGTCTGCAGGCTGACGCTCTAACCGCTGAGCCAAACTGGCCAGGGCGGAGAGCACCTGTACCACTTCAGTTACGCTGACAAAGATAGTCTCCTGTGAGCACAAACCCTGCTTTTCCTAACTTAAACACCCAAACAAAAATTATCAATATCACGAAAGCCAAAAAACCTGTAAGAATTTACGGCTTCAAGTATATTAAAAAAACCCCAGACATCAGATCATTTCCTTGGATAGCTCCCCAAATGACAAGTGATGACTGTTTAAGGAGTGGAAGCTTCTGAGAAGGGAGGCCCTTCCTGAGCGGGCCACGGCCGGGCTGCACCCAGAAGAGGGCCCCAGGCACCGGATGAAGCTGAAGCGTCTGACTAGCACGGCGTTTAAAGGTAGTGCGACCAGCACGCTTTCCGGACGACACGTGCTCAGCCTCCGCACAGACACTGCGCACCGGGCACAGGCCAGCCCACGTCTGAGCAGGGGCAGCTCAGAGCCGGGCCCGCCAGCCCCGCCAGCTCGAGCCGCGAGGCCAGGAGAGGAGAGACTTAGCGCCGCAGTCAGACGACGCTCACAAGCCACAGACAAAGAACTACGTCACCGATGCCATACCTGGTCCTGGTGATCGAAGAAGGTGTGAACGCAAGTCCTGGTTCCAACATCCCAGACTTTCACACTTTTGTCAGATGAACTGTTTTGAAAAGGGAACATTAGTGTCGGAAAACAGCTTTCAGGCTGGTCTGCAGGTGGAAGGAATCTGACTGGAACTCCACCCCGCTCACCTGCACTGTGCCTGTCCAGGGCCCCTCGGGGCCTGTGCTCGCCCAGGAGCGGCCTGGGTGCTGGCAGCGCCGGGTGGCTCTCCACTCAGAGCAGCCGTCTCCCCAAAGCGTGCCTGCCTGGACCTCACAGCATCAGGGGCCTTACACCTCTTAACTAGCTGTGGGGAGAATCCTAGATTCCCAAGGAAACAGCGCGAGTCGGACTGTTCAAGAACCCTGCTGGTTTCAGCCGAGAGCAACTCACTTCACCATCTTCAAATTTTCAGGCAATTCATACATTTTAAAAGTGCTAAGAATCATCAAGTACCTGGAAACAAAGTGAGTGTCGTCAGGACAAAATGCCACATTCAGCACCCAGGACGCGTGGCCACTCAGAGTGCCAGCTAAGTTGGCGTGTTGTCTGCAACAAGAAGGGTGGGAACAGAGATGCTGTTAGCTTCGGGGCAAGTCCCTGAAAGCGCACTATGAACTCTGCCTGGTTTTTTCCCCTTGACTGATTTTAGAGAGGAAGGGAAAGGGAGAGAGAGAGAGAAACATCGATTGGCTGCCTCCTACATGCCCCCACTGGGGATCGGGCCCACAACCTGGGCATGTGCCCTGACCGGGAATCGAACCGGCGACCTCTTGGTGCAGCGTCGACGCTCAACCACTGAGCCACACCGGCCGGGCAACCTCTGCCTGTTTAACTGGACCGCACCTGCTATCCTCATGACGACAGTATTAGTCTACCACAAACGCGTGCTAGCTGAAGGGATGTCACGCACTGCAGAAAGTCCCACCACGGCATTCGCTCAAAGTGTGTTATGCCAAGAGCCAGGACTAAGATCCACGACAAGCAGCTTAGAAGCTCAGGACAGAAGGAGCCGCACTCTGGAGAGCGCAGCAGCTGGCCCCCAGGACGGGGAGACTGAGGACAGCAGCAGGCTCCACATGGGCCGGGCCACTCCAGCCCTGGGGCACTCGCGTGGCCTGGACAGGCCACTTCTAACCCCACCAAAGACGCCAATTTAACCGCTCCAGCCACTTCGCTTTTTAAAGATGTGAAACCGAATCACCTACGGCCGAGCTGCCGAGGCCTGAGCTGGTCGGCAGTTCCATCCCTGCAAACACACCCCTGGGGGTATGAGGAGGCGGCCTCTGTGGAGAGTTCCAGGTCTTCAGTGTCCCCATCTCAGCCTGGGTCCCCCACCTACACTGTGGGGACATTGATCCAGGCGGCCCCTCATGCGATGGAGGGAGCACGGATGGAAGTCAGCAACGGAGGCCTGTGACTGGGCGCCGGGCCCGGAGGGACAGCTACCATCACACGGGCTCTGCCCCCACAACCAACACGGCCTGAGAGGCGCCACCCCTGGGGCTGAACATCCGCGGTCCGCTCTCCAGAGCTGCAGTTCTAATTGCAAGTCTCCCAAAAATACGGAGGAACCGTGCACCGGGAGATCAGAACGCCAGGCCTGGAGCCATGGCCCGGAGGCATGCAGATCACAGCCCCGAGTCAAAGCACCATGGCGCAGTCTACAACCTTAGACACTGGCTGAGGTGGCGGGACACGAGAAGGACCTGCATGGCCTCGAAGGAGGACAGCTGTCGACTGGAGAGAATGACTGATGTCTGCACCCGCATCAAAATCCAACAAAAGGCTCCCTCATCCGGACCCACAGCGAGCAGGGCAAGGGGGGCCAGCAGGGGCAGCCCCACCCCTAGAAGACTCTTGGCCTTCACTTCTGGCCAGCTACCGCCCACGGCTCCACCCCCATCTCCATGCCACGCCTACCCAGAGAATCTGAAACCAGAGAGCCCGCGGGAGACAGGTGCCTGAGGAGCAGCAAGGCTGTGATCCCAGCAGGTAGCCCCGCACGCCTCCCTCCAGGACACTCCACACACAGGTGGGGAGGCGAGTGGGCTGTGTGACCTGAACAAAGCCCCGAACAACAAGCCACAGGCGGCACTGGTGTTCAGCGAGAAGCCGTGAACCCGGCAGGGGACTCACACGTCATAGATCTTGATGTAGCCGTCATCTGAAGCAGTGACGAGCAGCTGAGAATCCGGGGAAAAGGTCAAGGAGCGAATGGGCATCGCATGGCCTGAAATTCACAAAGGCCCCTGTCAGCCAGTGATCACTGGTTCCCGTCCCCTCACATGGGGTTCCCACTGGCCAGGTCCCTTCTGACTGGCCCCGACACTGACCAGCACTTCCCTCAGGTTCTAGAAACATCCATATAACCGGGCCAACCTCCTGAAGATAATGCTCCTCAGTCCCATCTTCCCTGACCACCGGGACCTCAACACAAAGCGCGTAGAAAAAGCGCCTCAGCCACAGACAAGGCCACGTGGGCATCTGCATGGCTTCCGATCTGACAGAGCGCTACTTCCCTCCCCAGCCCTGAGCTGCAGGTGAAGGGCTCAGAGGAGGCAGCATCCACTCGGGACTCTCTAAGAACGGGCAATCTCCCTCCACCCCTCCCGTCCTCCTGCCCAGAGGCACCGGGTGCAGGAGGGCACCACATTCGCCCACCGTCCAATGATCAAAAGCAGCTGTTTTCTAATCAAGGTTCTTTAGAACCAGACACAACAGAAACGAGCTGAGGTACAGCAACGCACGAGGAAATGAGCAGCATTTAAAGTTTGAGAACTGGCCCGTCTGGGCGACGCCTCCAGGGATAACGCTAACACGTGCAGGCGCCTCAGGTTCCCGAGACTGCCCTCTGCGGCCCGACGCCCAGCGCACAGGACGGACGATGGGCGTACCTTCCAGCGTGTGCAGCAGCTTTCCAGTCGCAATATCGAAGATGTTGATGATGCCGTCGATGGCTCCGCTGGCCAGATACTTCCCATCAGGGCTCTGCACAGAACACGGGGTGTGAGCGCCACGCCCAGCAGCCGCAGCACCCCCCCCCCCCCCGGGCAGCGCTGCCCAACAGGCCCGTGGCACCCACAGCGAGGAACGTGACAGGCTGGAGAGCGAGCGGGGAGGGTCAGAGGGAGAGAAGTGACATGTCCTTACGTATGCAATGCTGAGAATGAATTTTCCTCTCGTGTCCAAAGAATATTCCTTTTTCCCACTCTCCACACCAAAAATGTTCACTTTCCCCACATGAGTTCCCGTGGCCAGATACTGGGAGTCAGGAGAAAAGGCCAAAGTCCAGGCATCCACTGAACAGAAAGAGAAGGAAAAACATAATAGTGAGAAAAGATGCGAGCTTAGTTTTTAAAATGTACAACACATTGTAGGAGCATACAATGGTGCAGCTACTCTGAAAAACAGTCCACTTTGCACAATACCAGGCAGCCCACCCCCAGGTGTCCACCCGAGAGGAACGACCTTCACGCTAAGAGTCAAGCACTGGCCAGCATCGGATGCCCGTCCCCGGTGAGCTGACGGACAGATGGGGTCCGTCCGCACAGGGGCACAGCACCGAGCAGCAAACAGGAGAGCTCTGGTCTGCGCTACAACACGGAGGAACCTCACACATCGCGCTTAAGAATGAAGATGGGGCTTCTCGGCCAGAACCCCTGCCCAGCAATCCACAAAAACGACGAACACAAAGGGGGAGGAGGGGCACCTGCTCCATGTTCCAGGCCTTTTAGGAAACATGGAGTTGTTCCTCTGGCCACATACAGGCGAATCTCTAAGAAAGGTGATATGTGGACACAAAGGTGGTATGTTCAGCAAGGAATGCCCCACAAATGTTACCATGGCAACACTGGGAGAGTCTAGTGTCACCCAGCATGCGGCGGGCATTGTTGTGAACAAACAAGTTAAGGGCAAGATACTCGCCAAGAGAAAGAATGTACGTATGAGCACGTTACACAATGAAGAGCTAAGATAGCTTCCTGAAACACGTGGAGGGAAATGATCAGAAGAGGAAGGAAGCCAAAGAGACAGGTACCGGGTCAACCGAAGCGCCAGCCCGCTCCACGCAGAGCCGCCCACTCCGTGAGCACCGCGGGGAGGAGCCTGAGCTGCGGCCGCCCTTCCCTAGGAGTTCACGGCGTGGTCGGAAGACCTCGTACTGTAGGAGTGGGAGTGTGGTGTCCCTTCCCCCAGCAAAGAATTAAAGAAAATTTTGTGTCCTAAAAAAACAGAACGAAGACATGTGAGACAATACAATTCCACTACGTGAAGTTTTCCAAAAAGGCAACACCACAGAGACAGAAAGCAGACTGGTGGCTGCCTAAGGCTCAGGGGAGCACAGACGGACTCTCCATGGGCACGAGGGAACGAAAACTGAATCGGGGGACGGCTGCACCACCACGGAAATGTACTAAAGCTCCCTGCACTGGGCACTCAACTTCACAGTGTAATTACAGAGGTAAAATTCTACCTCAGTAACACGGTAAACAAAGGAAGAGGAGCCAGAAATACTCCTCCACAAAACCAGTGTGACAGAGTACTTTCCACTAACTGACATGGAATAAGGACTGGGGAGTCACCATTAAAAAACAAATCAGGCCCTGGCCGGTTTGGCTCAGCGGTTAGAGCGTCGGCCTGCGGTCCGGAGAGACCCGGGTTCGGATCCCGCTAAGGGCACGTACCTCGGTTGCAGTTTGTCCCCGGCCCTGGTTGGTTGTGCGGGTGACAGCCACTCGATGTGTCCCTTTACGTCGATGTTTCTCTCTCTCTCTCTCCCTCCCACTCTATCTGTACAAAAAATGGAAGAATATCCTCGGGTGAGGATAAAAAACAACAACAAATCAGCCCTGGCCAGTTTGCTCAGTGGTCAGAGCACTGGCCTGTGGACTGAAGGGTCCGGGGTTCAATTCTCCATCAAGGGCATGTACCTGGGTTGCAGGTTCGATCCCCAGCCCTGGTTGGGGTCATGAGGGAGGCAACCAATCGATGTGTCTCTCACATTGATGTTTCTCTTTCTCTCTCTGAGGCCTCCCTCCCTCCCTTCCTCTGTCTAAAAATCAATGGAAACATATCCTCGGGTGAGAATTAAAAAATAATAATAATTAGTCTGGCTGGTGTTGCTCAGTGGATTGAGCGTCATCCCATGGACTGAGAGGTCCGGGTTCGATTCCCAGTCAGGGCACATGCCCAGGTTGGGGGCTCAATGCCCAGTGGGGGCATGCAGGAGGCGGCCAATCAATGTTCTCTTATTGACGTTCCTATCTCTCTCTCCCTCTCACTTCCTCTCTCTCTCTCTAATCTATAAAGGAAAAAAATTTAAAAAATAAAAAAATGCTATTCTTAACAACAACAAAAAAACAACTTTTTAAAATTGATTCTAGAGAGAGGAAAGGAGAGGGAGAGATAGAAACATCGATGAGAGAGAACATCGACTGGCCGCCTCCTGCATGCCCCCCACTGGGGATCGGGCCCACAGCCTGGGCATGTGCCCTGACCTGGAATCGAACTGGCGACCTCTTGGTGCAGGGTCGACACTCAACCACTGAGCCACACCGGCTGGGCCCAGGTGCTTTTCAATATCTATGTTTATTCCTAAATGACAATAGCATTTATTCTAATAGGGTTATGTTTTCTTAGTCCTATTATACTTAGCTGTTTATTGGAATCATGGTTATTAGGAAATTTGATTTTTATCCCTTGAAGTTTAGAATGCTTAGTATCAAGAATCCTAATGCTCAAAATTTGATTTTTATTCCTCAGTTAACCTCACACCTAAGATTTATTGTAGTATCTGCATAATGGGCGCTAATTCACCTCATGGCCCGGAGAGGAGCCCGTCTTTACTCCTGCCCACCATGAGCCGAGTGACGTTGGGGCCCTGCACCCCTCCTGAGAGCTCTGGCCTGGCCGCGCACATCCTCACACTTTCTCTGGACCCCGGGACTCCCCCTCTTTGGTGGGGGTATTTCTAGGACAGGCACAATGTAAGTGCTGTTTCCTTGCATTCGCGAGACTTCAGACGAGTTTAGCTGCTCCTCCTGGTCACGGGCGCTGCCTGCTTTCTCCACTACAGAGCAGTCTCAACAGACTCTGTGGGCTGCTGTGGGGCCCCAAGTCCTCTCTCAGCCATGTCAGCAGGGTAAGGACACACAGTCACCTGGGCAGTCAGAGCGCTTGTGTCTGGGAAGCTTTCCCACACACACCTCCAGCCACACCCCGTGGGTGACTCCAGGGGCCACACAGGCAGGGGGCCTGTGCACCCTCACAAAGCGCCAGCCTCCGACGCACAACAGAGCATCGCTCTGGGGGGACCTCAGGCTTCAAACAGCCGTGGTCATGGACCTTTCAGCACCCCTGGAAGTGAAACTCTTACCCGGTCCTGCATCGATAGACTTGATCTGTTTGCCGTTCTCCAGGTCCCAGAGACGGATGTGAGCGTCGAGGGAGCTGGATGCGGCGATGGGCAGGGTGTGGCTGATGTCCACAGACACCACGCCCAGCTGGTGTCCCTCCAGACTCCACTGCAGGTCCAGCCGCTCATCACGCCTTCAGAGGGAGACAAAGGAATGGGTTCCTTCACACACAACCTACTGTACCCAGCATGACCATCTGGGCCTGTGACCATGTATTACCAGGGTCTGGAAATGGAGAATCAGAGGGTGAGGAGCACAGAACACCAAAGGCAGCCACGCTGTAACCTTGGGCCTGTCTGTGAAACACCACTGGGCCTCCCCACTGAGTGACAGGAAGACAAGGAGAAACAGCTGCCTCTGCACCCACCACACTGCCAAGCCCCTTACCCAGAACAGTGCGCACTTGGGCCTGTCTGTGAAACACCACTGGGCCTCCCCACTGAGTGACAGGAAGACAAGGAGAAACAACTGCCCCTGCACCCACCACACTGCCACGCCCCTTACCCAGAACAGTGCGCACTTGGGCCTGTCTGTGAAACACCACTGGGCCTCCCCACTGAGTGACAGGAAGACAAGGGAGAAACAACTGCCTCTGCACCCACCACACTGCCAAGCCCCTTACCCAGAACAGTGCGCATTTCCCTGCTGCGCCTCGGGAGCCCAGAGGCAAACCCCCAAACCCCATCTCCAGGGCTGCATGTTAGGGGCGAGGGTGCTCACCATTTCCAGACCTTCACCAGGTCATCCAGGGACCCCGTGACCACTGTCTCAGAGTTCTCTTTCTTGTTTGTCCCCCAGGCCACTGACCAAATGGCATCGTCATGGGCTAGAGTGGAAAGCACATCATTCAAAAAGTCTTCAGGAAACTTCTAAGTTGAACGTGCTAAATAAAATGGAGTCAAACACTGTTCCAGTGATTCTCAGGCGAATCCACCCACATCTGCCTCTCTGTTTCGCAAAGTGCTTTCCCAGAGAGCTTTTTTATCATAACCGTGGAGCCACATACGAGAACTGGAGGTTCTGAGGCAGCCACCTGCCCAGGGCACAGGCTGAGCAGGTGGGGGGCTGTGTCCGGTGCCCATCCACTCTGACATGCACCCGTCTGGAACGGCTACTGCCACTCGGGAACGAGTGGGGCCAGCGGGGAGCCCTCGCCGCACCACCCAACAGAGACCTGCGCTTGGTAAGAACGGTCTCCCAGAGATCTCTGGAAACCAGTAGGCAGTTTGCCGTGGGCAGAGGTCTGAAAGTCAAGACCTGATGTGGCCCCAACACGAGCTGCCTTCACCACAAATGCGTGCTGCGCTCGTCTGGCCAGTCACTGCATTAGCCTCTGTAAGCACTCTCATTCGCCACCACCCCCCCCACCGTGCAGGCACTGTTAATGTCACCCTCACGTTACAGACGCGGAATCAGCCCAGAGAAGCTAGTAGCTCACCCAAACTCAAAAGCTAAGAAGAGGCAGAGCTGGGACTCAAACCCAATCTATTAACTACCGTCCACCTTAAACACTAAGTGTGCAGGCTGCCTCTCTGGTGGGCCTGCAGACCTGGCACAGGCGTGTGAGTGTGACGTGTGCATGGAGCTTCTTCAGGCCTGGGGCAGTTCTCCAGGTCCACCTTTCCAGACCAGAGCACAAGGGCACTGAACTGGCCCTGAGTTACACAGCATCGTGGCGTCAGTGACAATCCCCACCCGACCTGAGCCTGCTAGCTTGCCACCTGGATGGCACCGGCTGTGTCCACGGCAGCTGACCGGATGCCTGGCTAGCTCCGTTACCCATTCCAGAATGCTCTAGCTTGAACTTAAGGCCATGTCCATGCTACCGTGTGGGGTGGGAGGGCTTCTGTCAGGCACTGGCACGTTGGTCCAGGCTCGCCCTAACTCACCGGCCGTGCTGCAGAGCGAGACGCGCGTGGCTGGTCTGCACACAACACTCCTGTCCAGGTGTGAAGCCCACTGCCACTGTCACAGTCCCCAGCACTCCCCACAGTCCCAGGCCTGGCACATGCTCCACTGTTATTAAGGGTCAAAGGCCCCCTGTGGGCATCCCTACGTGGAGGAGCTGAGGACAGACCCCGAAGCAAGTGCTCAGCTCAGGTTCACCTCTCAGATGAGCTGACATTAACTGGGTTCTGAGGCTCAGAGCGTCTCCTTCTTTCACGGGGTCCTGGGAGGCTCCCAGGCTCATCTCCCTCAGATGGGGAAAGTCTCAGCCTGGCCTCTCCAGCCCATGATCTCCTCTGTCTGGTTTTGGTGGTCGTTTGTTTTTAAGTGTATCTGTCTTCAGCTGCCTCTGCTAACTTTTCTGCAAAGAGAGTCTACTTGGGAATTGCGTGTCTGGTCAGCAGGACGACAATTTTAAAGAAACCAGAGACAACCCCGTTTTCACAGGGGAATCGGCTTGGACAGGCAGGCTGCTTACCTTGCTCTTGTTTGAAGAGAATACTGTACTAAAAAAAGAACAGAAGCCTCATTAAACCAAAGGTCAGATTTCAGACGTACCACATTTCCTCCCTAAAACACCTCCTGGCACCCCACTCACCACTGAGCCCCAGCAGATAGTCACCACGGTGAGAGCTACTTCCGTGGAACCCTGACCCCCAGCAAGCTCCTGGGCTCCTGCTTATGCACGACTTGTAGTCACACCAAAAAAAAACTAGTTCTTAAAGAAACTGTAGTTTCTTCACCCCCAGAAGAGACTAATGTGTTAGACCGTCTGCTCGAGGGTTCAATTCCGGGTCAAGGGCACATACCTGGGTTGCAGGTTTGATCCCCAGCCCCAGCAGGGGCTGTGCGAGAGGCAACCAATTGGTATGTCTCTCTCACATTGATGTTTCTCCCCCTCCTCCTGCACCCCTTTCCATTCTCTAAAAATCCGTGGTAAAAGATCCCAGGGTGAGGATTAACAGAAGAAAATATAATTAATATATATGTGTGTGTGTGTACGTATGCCTCTCCTTTTCTGATCTTTGTTCCCTTTTTGTTTTTGTGTACAAATTCTTTTAAGCGTCCTCAATTCCTCTGAAAACTGGTGAAACTCAGTTAACATAATCCTCTGCTACATGTTGTGCACTTGACCAACACCACCTCACCCCTCATCCCCTCTTCCGGAGCAGAGCAGGAACTGGATGCTAGCTTCCTGACCACACCCAGACAACCTGCCAAACAGACCAACTGGTGTTCCTTTTCTCGCTGCGGCCTTACCTGGTTGGTCATTTCTTTAGCCAAGGATGAAGGGCCAAAGGCCAGACAGATCTGTGGAAACAACACCAGGGTTTCACAAGGGGTTGTCATCAGGACAGGAGGTTCCCCTTGACCACAGAGTTGCCCTGATACTTTCTATGGGCCAGTCCCAGGAGCTTCCTTCACAAGTCCCTTGGCACTCAGGGACTCAACTAATACCTACCCCACCCCGTGTTTTCTTCCCCTCAAATCTGACTACAGAGGGGGACCCGTCTCTGCCCCTTGCTGCTCCTCAGAGAGAAAAAAACCTCAGGCCCTTTTAATTTTCCATTGCCTCCAAGGGAAAAAAAACTGGGTTAGGGTCCTGCAAACTTCTGTTAACATTTTTGCCAATTGATCAATACATAACTTTCTTTTACGTGTGTTTCTGTTTAAAGACATCTTACTGACTATGCACTAGTAATTCATTAATACTGAACTCCTGGCCAGCAGCACTCTATATGCTGAAGCAAAGCTGATCTAACACATGCATTTTCTCTGCAGGGCACATCACAGCCCTCCCGCGCCTAGGAACACCAGGACAGCACATTCGCACTTGCTCGGGGGCTATTTTAAACAGTGAGACCACCAACAAAAAGCACAAATATGCAAAAATCACAGCACTACATAGACTGAAAAAGGACGCTTGTTTAAGGTATGAGCTGAAACAAGAACGCAGAGGGACTCCTTGTTCATTTATGTCACGTGTGCATCACGTGACCCGAATTTCTCACCTCCTCACAAATGTCCTCAAAGGACTACAGAAGCAATGTAAGAATTGATTGGGGACTAACGATACATTTTAGCACGTAGGCGATTTTGCAAACACAGAACCTGAAAATAGTAAGGGGAGACTGTGTGCTGAAATAAAATTTTATTAAAATACAAAAAATAAATCTGTGACAGTGTAACATATGTAATTTTCTAGTAATACGTTATGTAACAATATCTAGCAGCAAGTCGAGTAGCCACCATAATTTCAAAGTTGTGATGCACTTGCAAGATATCCTAAGTTACGGAAATATCTGTGATTTCTACGGGTGACAAAGTCACTCTGTTAATACTGTGATTTGTCGCCTAAATTTATAATAGCAAACGATAGATTTCAGAGGTTTGAGAACATAAGGACGCAATATTTGTTCTTATTCATGTGCACGAACCTCTCCATTCTATTTATGAGCCAAAGAGATCACACAGCTAAGGCATGGAGGTTTATGTTCCCTGCTTTAAATTGGCAAAATCCCAGAAGGCCACTGTGAACGTTTCCCAAGAATAACAGTGAAAAAAAACCCTAAACAATTTCTGAATAATCCTTGCCTGTGAAGATGTCAACCAAGCTCGTAGAACTCAATGCACCTGTGACCCAAGACACGGTCATGCCCAGGGCAGGAAGGGAGGGAAGGAGCCAAGCCAGGTTAGCTGAAGTGCGGGCTTGCACCCGGCCCACCTCCGAGAAGCCGGCCTCCTCAAGATGCCAGCGCGCGTCCATCGGGAGTGCATATCCCAGGGGCCCGGTTTTAAGTTCCACCCACTTGGATTAGCTCACCGAACCCTCGTACCCCCATTTCGCAGGTCTTATTATCACCTCCTCTTCCTGACTGGCTACCGAGCCACAGTACCGCTCACACCAGCCCCTGATAAAAGTAACCAGGGCTGGGAGGCCCCCAAAGCCCTCTTTTGCCCCCTTCTCTCTCTGGGGACTTTCCACACTGGCGCGGCCTCTGCGTTTCCAAAACACCACCCCACGTGCCTGCGCGAGGGCGCCCAGGCGGGAATGACCCGCAATACAACACGGTCCTGGAAGCAGAGAGAACCCAGGCCGCGCTTGTACCTGCCCGGGGACGGGGGGCTCGCTACCTAGGACAGCGTGGCCCTTCTCCGGACAAGTACGGTTAGGACGGTGCCTCGGCGACAGGGACAGGGCCCCCTCCCGCGGAGACACCGGCCCTCATCTCCAGGCGGCACCCTGGGAGGCAGCAGGGGAAACGGAGTCACAGAAGCCACCTCCGGCTCGCGGCCTGGAGCACCCCTGAGCGGGCCTGCTCGGGGCCCCCCTGGCTCACCCAACCTCCCGCTCCGGCCGTCAGCGGCCCCCACGACGACTTTTCCGTCCGGCCGTGAAGACAGACTCACCACCTCACTGCCCCGTCGCACAGCTCGGGCGCACGTCTGACGCAAACTCGGCGCGACCGCGACGCACGGCGATGAGATCACGAAGGGGCGGGGCATGGCGCGCGCTTCCAGCGCGCCGGCGCACACCGCAGCGCCCCCTGCCGAAGCCTCGCCGCCGCGGAGGACGGTGGGCGGAGAGGCCCCGCCCCGTCTCGAGGGGCGGGGCCGCGGGAACCGGCTTCCGGAAGCGCAGGGTCAGGTTCCTGCCGCGCAGGTGCGGCGTGGGAGGCCCTGCTTCTCCGATGCCGCCCGCGGTCCCACCGACCTGACGACTTCTCGACCTTGTGGCTTAAAAAAACCTTCGGCGGGCCCTGGCCGGTTTGGCTCAGCGGTTGGAGCGTCGGCCTGCGACCCGGAGAGACCAGGTTCGGTTCCCGCTAAGGGCATGTACCTCGGTTGCAGTTTGTCCCCGGCCCTGGTTGGTCGTGCGGGTGGCGACCACTCGATGTGTCCCTTTCACATCGATGTTTCTCTCTCTCTCTCTGTTCCTCTCTCTCCCTCCCACTCTATCTGAACAAAGAATGGAAAAATGTCCTGGGTGAGGGTGATTAAAAAACAAAACAAAAACAAAAAACAAACAAACAAACAAACACCTTCGGCGGGAGGGCTTTGTTTTAAACACTGCAGGGCAGAGCCTGTGAGTGTGGCTGATGCTGACTCGTGTGTAGACCCCGCCTCCGGATGATTCTACAACACACCAGTCACCTGTTTGTTTGCCTTTTACTTGTTTGTTTCATCCTCACCCTGGGCATTTTTCCTATTTTGTTCAGATAGAGCGGGAGGGAGGGAGGGAGGGAGAAACATCGATGTGAAAGGGACACATCGAGTGGCTGCCACCCGCCCGACCCACCAGGGCCGGGGCCAAACTGCAACCGAGGTACATGCCCTTAGCGGAACCGAACCCGGGTCTCTGGACCACAGGCCGACGCTCTACCCGCTGAGCCAACCGGCCAGGGAGGCTTTGCCCCTTCTGCTCCCTTGCTTCCAAATCTGCTACTGTTCATTCCCAATGGAAGCAAATTGTTTGGGGAATTAGGTTAGATTTTGTCAGCCAAAATTTCAAACTAATCATGTCCAAAGAAGGAAATAGATTAAGAAAAAAAAAAAAAAGATGTAAGAGTGCATAGAAAAGTCACCTGTTATAAAAAACAAACGAATGCCCTGGCCTGTTTGGCTCAGCAGTTAGAGAGACCCGGGTTCGGTTCCCGCTAAGGGCATGTACCTCGGTTGCAGTTTGGCCCCGGCCCTGGTTGGTCGTGCGGGTGGCGGCCACTTGATGTGTCCCTTTCACGTCGATGTTTCTCTCTCTCTTTCTGTTCCTCTCTCTCCCTCCCACTCTGCCTGGACAGAAAGTAGAAAAGTGTCCTCAGGTGAGGATTAAATAAATAAATAAATAAATAACGAACAATCTGTTTGACATCTGTATATGTGAAAAAATGTTACGGGCTCCGCCAAAGCAGCGACCACACATACTGTTGAATTTTTTTTACCATGCACCCCCGTATGTATATGTTACTTATAAGTCATATGTATGTACTACTCTGCATTAGCACATACATATATATAATATATATACATATAATAATATTTATATGTGTAAAAAGCAAATACAAAAGTATACTTTTAAAAGGAGGAGATAAAAATAATCAGAGCGTCTAATGTTTTCTTCTTATGTCCGGGCGGATGGTCTTGCTCACCATTTGGGCTACACAATCCCACTCTGGAGACCCCAGCATCTCCAGAATGTAGTTTTGGTTGTAAACACTGGGAGGGCTGCGACAGTGAACGCACAAACCCAGGTGTACACCAAGAACACACCGTCGTGATAATACTGCAGCGTGGGAAGCTGCCTCTCCAGGGTCACTCAGCCACCAGCGAGCAGAGTAAGGAAGGGCACTCGGGCCCCATTTGGAGATGGCTACTATTTGCTTTTTCATTCCCCAATTCTACAGTGTTAGGAGAGGGGAAGTCACAGGAAGGAAAGGCTGGGCGGGTCAGAACATGATTGTTCTGGGGCCAGAGGCAGGACTCTGGGTTAAAATCCACGCAGGGTGCCCGTGGCTCCTTCTTCAGCTGGTCCAGGAGGCTGAGCCAGAGAAGCTCCAGGAACTGGTGTTCTACCCTGGACAGTTTGAGCAATGGAACCACCAGCCGGAGGCTTGACCGCTGATGGCCACAGGGTGGCAGTCTGTGCCTGCTTTTGGCCCCTGGGCGGGCGGGTGCTTGCTGGTGGGCGGAGACGCTGGTGCCTGCCAGCCTTCCTCTGCTCCTCCAGACCCCCAGACAGTACCGATCTGCTGCTGAGTCATTACGGGACCCCAAGCTAGGGCCTCCCAGGGCTCAGCTTTCCCATCCAGAAAATGGAGGCCAAAACACCATGGCCTTAACCCCCAGAAATGGGCAGGGGCTACCCTACACTGCTAGACTGAGGCACAAACCCAGGGGAGTCCAAGTGCCGCTGGAGGGAACAGGCCCTGTGCACTGGGAAAGGCAGGGGCTGGGCACGCCCAGCAGAGCGTAGAACTGCTGCAGCTGCCCCCCAACCCCATGCTTTCCAGGCCTCTTTGCCATTGGCCTGCTGACTTAGGAAACAGGAAAATCGGGCAGGTGAGCCAGGGAGGCCAGGGTGGCGGGCCTGCCAGCAGGAGGCTGCGTTCATGGACGTGGCAGAATTGGGCAGGTGAACTGCGGGCCAGCACCAGTCTGCAGAGGAGGAGACAGCAGAGGCTGTGGGTGAGGGTGAGGAGGGGCCGGGGCCCACCTGGATGATGGGTCTCAAGGGAACAGCGGGAGGAGGAGCACGGGTTCCAGTGGTGGGCTGGTCAACGCTGAACAACGAGAGCCCCACCTGGCCCACAGCACATGCCGACGGCAGTGGGGTTCACACAGCTCCTTGGGCGACTTCAGGTACGGATGTGACTTAGCTTACCGACACTGGAATCTGCTATAACCAGGGGTACACACAGCTCAGACACCCCCAGTGGTTCTGACATATCATTGGGGGTGTCATGCTTGACCCTAGAGTGCATTGGCATGGACACCTTGCAGTGTCCACCCCACAGGCCACCAGAAGGGGTGCCGTCTGGGGCAGAGCCAGTGGAGTTGAGGACCCTGGTGCCCACACCTGCCCGCAGTCGCTGCCCCTCTAGCACAGGTCCTTGGGATTTGGGGGAGTGGCTACCCATGACTTCGGGGCTGCTGGTGCCCCTCCACCCCACCATGTCCCATTTGCCCTGTTCCTGCTTTCTGAAGGGCCTGGCCTTCTGGGTCTTCACAAGGGAGCAGGCCAGGCCCTGGCTCCAGGGCCGGTTGGGCCGGTGCTGGGCCTGCGAGAGGACAGGCGGAGTCCCAGGTCCTGCCCCCAGAGGCCTGGAGGCCCAGCTGCAGCAGAGTCTACACAGCACGCGGGCAGGTCCCACAGAGAGAGGGAAGGGATGGAGGGTAGTCAGAGCCCTGGGTCCAACTTCAGCTCCACCACTTGGAGCCCACAGAGCTGGTCCTGGGACGGTTCCCCTGTGCACGCGCACGTACACACGGGCCCTCGGCAGTGGCCAAGGTCTCAGCCAGCCCAGGAGGGCACCGAGCTCTGCCCTGGCAGGGATGATTCTGTCCCCACAGAAGATGAGGGCTTCTCGGGCCAGGCCTCTGGGGCCAGGGTCCTGCTCTGGGGTAGTTGCCTCCACAGACCCCCTGTGCATTAATTTGGAAGTTTGGTGTCCAGGGGCAAGTGGTGTTTGAGAGGCACAATGTATCCACGTCACAAATGAGCGATGGGATTTGCCGTGGGGCCTGGGTCATGCCTCCCTGCCCCCTCCCCCGAGAGGCTTGCTTTGTCATCAGGTCCCTGTGTTTGCATGTGTCACTGCCCGGCCACCCCTGGTCAGCAGGTGGCCACGGGGGGCTCGTTGGAGGCCCATTATCAGTGCTGGTTGTGAGGGATGATGGAGGGCAGGCCCATCTGCACACTCATTAGGCCTTTTGTCTCTGGGCCAGTGGGGAAGATGGATGAAGGCTGTCTCGAGGCCCCTGCTGCCTGGGGACATCCGGGCCCAGGATGAACCTGGGCTGGGTGTTGGGTGGGACCTGGACAGAACCAGGTCAAACGGGCTTACCCGGAGAGAGCTGAACAAGGCAGTAGTAGTGAGGGTCAGTCAAGTGGGGACTCAGCTTGACCAGAGCCAGCGTCCGCCCCACGGGAGTGGCTGCTGGCACTGCAGTGGTGCTAAGTCCAGGCTGACGGAGTTCTCAGACCAGCTGGGGAAACAGGCCCGAGAAAGCCCGGGACTTGCCCAGCGTCCCTTCAGGAATTGGGCCTGGACACGATGTGGGATGTGAGGGACTTGCACACACAACCTGCCTCCCGTTCAGCGTAGACCCAACGACACGCAGATACCTGGAGCGGGCCGGCCCCCGGGGTCTCTGGTGAGCACCCTTCAAGGCTGCGGGGGGCCGGGGAGAAGAGGTTCAGGCCCCTGTAACTGGGAAGACAGCTCGACAGCCCAAAGCCACATGTACGCGGGGCCAGCAGAGCCCTGTCCTGGGCCGCAGACACCTGGGCGAAGGAAACGGCTCAGGTAATCTCTTCTGTTCCCGAGTCACACGCGAGGACCTGTGGCCTAGGACCTGAGCCTGGCGTCAGGGTCGCCTGCCCCAGGACGGCCATTTGCAGGTCAACCATCCTGGCGTCCCCAAGGCAGGCGGCGTGGCTTACCTAACTTACCCCCGATCGAGGGAGGGCCTGGTATCCAAGTTGCGCAGAGGAGGGTCCCCAAGATGGGACGGGACTGGCCAAGGCCACCAGCAGGACAGCGACACAGCCATGTCACACCAGGTCTGCCCACAGCCTCCGCCACTCACCCCTTAGCCTTCTGCGGTTTTGAAATGGTTGGGACAATGACAGAGTTCCCCAAGCAGGCTTCCCCCTCTGCCACC